AGCAAAAATCTGCCTTTAAACTTAAAGGGTTAGTTCACCCAAAAATGAAAATTAAGTCATTAATTACTCACCCCCATGCTGTACCAACCCCGTAAGACCTTCGTTCATCTTCGGAACGCAAATAAAGATATTTTTGATTGAGTCTGAGAGCTGGATCAGTCCTACATAGACTGCCTAAGGGACTGGCTCTTGACGGCCCATAAAGTCATTAAAGAAAAGGTTTAAATATTCCATGTGCCTACAGCGGCTCAATTATAAGTTTATCAAGCGACGAGACTACTTTTTGTGCGAAAAAAACATAAATAACGACTTTATTCCACTATTCCATTACTTCCTTATGGGCGCATGCGCGAGAACTGAGACGAGGGCGTTCTCATTCGTCTACTTCTTGGAGTTTTACCGCCACCTACCGTATAAAATGATGATCCATATATAAGGCGCTCTGGATTATAAGGAACACTGTCGTTTTTTGAGAAGGCTTTTAAGTGCACCTTATAGTGCGGAAAATAGGCAATTTGAAAAGCGTATGTACAGCGCGCATCTTCCTCTGCTTGTAAACAGAAAGTTTTGCGCTTCCAGCTATATCGGCACATCATCTTATACGGTAGGGGGCGGTAAAACTCCTAAGCGGTGAGCAGCCGGTAACAAGAAGTAGACGAATGAGAACGTCCTCGTCTCAGTTCTCGCGCATGCGCCCATGAGGAAGTAATAGAATAGTGGAATAAAGTCGTTATTTATGTTTTTTTCGCACAAAAAGTAGTCTCGTCGCTTGATGAACTTATAATTGAGCCGCTGTAGTCACATGGAATATTTAAACCTTTTCTTTAATGACTTTATGGGCCGTCAAGAGCCAGTCCCTTAGGCAGTCTATGGAAGAGTGATCCAGCTCTCAGATTCAATCAAAAATATCTTTATTTGCGTTCCGAAGATGAACGAAGGTCTTACGGGGTTGGTACAGCATGGGGGTGAGTAATTAATGACTTAATTTTCATTTTTGGGTGAACTAACCCTTTAAGGAATAAAGATTTGACATAATTGTGATAATTATTGATATCGATTGAATGATATGTTATCGTGATAATTGTTTAGTGTTGTTCCTGTGTTATTGATGCTTAGGAAAAGGGAGCCTTCAGTTTGTTACTCTTAAGAAAATGGAACCTTTAAATAATGAAACATTACTTTTAATGAAAGACTTTTGAGAGGAAGTTATTTTTCGTAATTCGTGTAGGTCATAAATTTAAATCATAATGGTCATAAAAAGTCTTAAATTTGACTGACGAAACCCTGTCTAAGGCACTGTTTACAGCTGGTATGAGATGTGTTTTGGTGGATCGGATCACAAGTGGACGACACTAAAGTAAATACAGGTGTAAACGCGGTCTAAAACACTTTCAACCACTTCCAGAGGTAGTTTAAAACACATTCGACCTGATTGCTTTCATGAGTGTGTTCAAACAGCCACTAAAGAGCGTCTTCTCTCCGTCTATTGTCCTCATGAGTGAACATTATGGAAAAAGCTCTAGCCATACAGGGGTTTAACTTCGTCTGCCCGTACATTTACCCGCCCATAGACCCTACCCTTGAAGAAATCAGGGCAGAATGGCTGAAAATATTACTTTTGAGTTCTTTGCGAGCAAACACAAAGTTTTGAAATAAAATGTACCGTGTCCCTTTAGTGGCTCTGCATTAAACAAAATGAGCAATTCTTAAAATAAAATTAAAAGGAAAACTGAAAATAAAAATGAATAGTATACAAGTAATAATACAATAATACTGTTTTAAATGTGACTACTGTTTGAATGTTTTGTGCATGCATTGGTAATTTTTGTCATCAAATTTCCATCAGTTCCTTTGTGCATCGGTGTGGAAGAACCGCGCGAATCGGAAACCAAGGCAGCGCTCTTGTCTTTCTTCTGCCAATGGAAGAGTCATACGTACATTTCTTGTCCATTAATCAAAAGGTAAGTCCCAGAGACACTTCATCTAATATACAAGACTTTAAACATGGAAAAAATACATTTAAATGTATGCATTTGGCTGATGCTTTAATGATATGCGTCTTCTCTGCTCATGCATTCCCTGGGAATTGAAGTGCAAATTCTTACCTTTTTTGTGCCTAATACTATTGTTCTCCTATATTATGGAGTTTAAGTTTAACCCTTATGCTGCATTAGGGACATTTTTGGTCTTTTGCAGTTTAATTTCTTTGACCATTTTGGCTGTTTTAATGCAAATGGTATGAAATTTGGCAAAATTGTGACTTTTTGGATGCATGTAAAAAATGTGATCCCATTTTGCAAAATATGTATAACACACACTGTGTAGATCAAATAGTAACACTCAGCACCATAAAGACCAAAAATGGCCCATTGAAACCCATTAAAACGTTGTTTAAATCTGAGGCTGTCAGTAATACATGAAACATGATTTTTGCACAAACATCCTTTCATTTTGAAGCAAAAGCATTATATTTGCATTATATAGTGTATTCCACCAGATGACGTCACTACATATTTATTCCCTATGGGTGGAAATGCACCTTATTTTAGGCAATAGGCAATGTTTAATAGGTGGCCATTTTTGGTCTCTAACGCGCTAAGTGGGATTTTTTGCAAAGTGGGACTGTGATAATCCAAATCTAAAGTTTTCTCTTTGCATTTAGTTTATTGAAAATAATAGAATTTTTGTGTTTTTTCCTCTTATACAAATCGATGGTTTCACAAACAAAACTGGTAATTAAAGGGTTAAAATCCTGAAATTGAATACATTTTTGGTAGTTATGATGAGGACTGATGCTGGTTAAAAGATTTAACTTGGTAAAAGTGGAACATAATAATAATATATATATGGCCATTTTTGGTCCTTAATGCACTCAACGGTGTTAAAAATCTAATGCAGCACAAGGGTTAAATAAAATAGTGTTTGTTCGTTATAGTCCTGTGTTTTCCCCCCCAGTGTCCCCTTCAGTTGTTCCCTCCAGTGAAAGACGTGGTTGACGTTCTGCCTAAAGTAAAGGTGTTGGCTTTACGTGACAGAGCAATGTTTGAGAAGGGCATGAAAGCCTTTGTGTCGTGTGTGCAGGCGTACGCCAAACATGAGTGTAGTTTGATATTTCGCATTAAAGGTGAGTGACTTTGTGTCACACATTTCATAATAGAGGCATAATCAAGATAATTCAGCTGATTAAAATGATGTTTACTTCGTACAGACTTGGATTTTGCTGCTCTGGCCCAAGGCTTTGCTCTCCTCCGTTTGCCCAAAATGCCTGAACTGAAAGGAAAGACCTTCCCCAACTTCAAACCGGTGACCATCGACACAGACGCCATCCGCTTCAAAGATAAAAACAGGGAGAAACTGAGACAAAAAAGACTGGCAGAGCAGAAAGAGAAAGAGAAGCCATTGAGGAAGAACTTCATCAAGAACAAATCCTGGTCCAAGCAGAAGATCAAGAAGGATAGAAAGAAAAAGAAGACGGCCAAAAGAAAACTGGATGAGGTATGTTATTAGTATTTTTCTCTGGAAATCCGGTTAAAGAGCTGTTAATGGACTCAATGCTAAACTTGTGTGGTCACAGGAATCAGATGCTGAGGACGAAGACCTGAACGAGCTCTTGAATGACACGCGTCTGCTGAAGAAACTCAAGAAAGGAAAGATCAGTGAAGAGGACTTTGACAAGCACATTTGTTCACATCCCAAACAAGCAGAAACACACAGTCCTGATGGAGAATGACGTCACACGCATCATTTTGACTGTACTGCACAAGGACGTGGATGCAGTCATCACAAATGTGCTTTTGTACTATCTTCCATATACATCAAATAATGAAATAAAGATTTCTATTGGAAATGTAAGAGTGTTATGATATGATCTATATTTTCCTGTTAACGATAATGAATGAAAAGCAACCAAATGAAATATGACCGCCATTCATATGTCTAATTTTAACTGGCGCACATAAAAAGAAAAATATATCTGCTATATTTGTGTAATTTAGTATTTGAAAGTCAAATCCTTAAGTTTACTTTCTATGGTATAACAAGGTTTAAACAAGGGGTTTTACATCTTTTAGATGCCACAGACCCCCCAAAAATATGATCTATTTATCTATTTATGTTCTTGGATAAAAGCCCAATTTATATTGTAAAAAATATAATATTTCATTTCTTTTAAGTTGAGTATATTACATTTTAGCACTGTACTGTTAGATGCATTATTTATTCGCTTATTTATTTATATATATATATATATATATATATATTTTAATGAAAAATTTTACTATTAGTTTACATTTTTTTACATTGTTTTATCTAAACATTTCCATTAACCCCATCCTAAATTTTCAATTTAAAGATCCAATTTATGTCATGAAAAAAATAATATTTTAAATATTTTTAGATATTATTTGGAAAATATTTGGTTTCTATTATTTATTCAAATAAATTCTACTGTTTAATGCATTATTCATTTGCTCATTTATTTACTTCTTTTCATATTTTATTTATTTAATTTAAAATTGTATTTATTTATTTATAAATGAAACATTTATTATTATTATTATTAGACGTATTTTTGCGCTGTATTTTTCTCTAAACATTTACATGGATCTGCAAAATATTTATTATTTTTTTAAAATGCATTATTTATTTGCTTTATTGTCGTATTATATATTAAATAATATATTATTGTATATCAATATTATTTTATATTTTTTTATCTAATTTGTATTTATTTGTTGTAATCTAATTGGTATGTATTTTTAACTAAAATATATTTGTATTATTCCATTTTCACACTTTTTTCCCTCTAAACATAACCCCTGCTTAAACAATACCTTAAAGATACTTTCTGAAATTTTTTAAGCGAAATATAAATTGTAAAACTCGGTCGTACCATTTTTGCTTGCGAGAAAAAGCACAAATGAGTCGGTCTTTTACAGTGACACCAAAATGACACACATGACTCCAGTCTCTCCTGTTTAAAGTCTTTCCGGAGTGCTCGCTCTGCGCATGCGCACAAATTAATCCTGCTCAGCTCCATCATGGCGGCTAGGGGCCATGTGCAAGACCCCAACGACAGAAGACTGCGACCCATTTACGGTAAGATTCGCACCGCACCTCTGGGCTTAAAGAGACTCCGCGTGTCTGACTTGTGCTGTGGGACCGGCCTGTGCGTTATTGGGTTTATTAAAGCACTACAGGAGCTGTGGTGAGCCGGTTAGGCCTGTGGAGCTCAAGCCGCGGTGTCTGTTCGACTGCGGTGCCGGATGACAGTGCGTCCTTAAACGGTCACACTCTGAAGTTTCAATCGGTTAAAGAAACCCGGTTTATAATCCATTTAAACTTAGACATGTATAAATGTCAAAAGATCAGTGTTTATGTCATTTGATCAACCGGCTTATTACCTGTGTGATATGTCAAAGAGATTAGTTGCACCAACAGGAGGCATTTGTGCTTTAATAATTAATATTTTATATAGGTTGTTATGCGTATATAGTCTTAAGCATATGTTTTACATGGTTAATGATTTATTAATGCTCATAATATATTGAAATCACATTATAGACTAGCTTTGTGTCTGCATTATCAGAGATAGACATGCTTATTGTCTTTCAGAGATTATTTATAAGCATTATTATTTATGTTATTATGAAATAACTAAGGTTTTTAATTTGGGACATTTTCTGGTTAACTCTTAAACTGAATTGGTTTGAATGTATAGCCTTGAGGAACACCTCTGACATTTGTGTTTTAACTACCAAAATTATGTGAAATGAAACCTGACTGAATGTCATGTATATATTATAACATGTATTTAATGCTCATGTTGTAGACATTAATGTATTTGCATATTATATAGTGCTTACATTGCAATAAAGTCAATAAATCTCTGTGCATCTTTTATTTAAAGTTACATAGTTCTTACATGATCATGAACCTATTACATACATATTTGAGACTAGTTTTTATTAAACAATATTATATTGAAATAATTAAATTTAGAATCAATCATTTTTATAAAAACTAGAATGCTGTTTTTAACTAATCAAATACAATTCGTGGAAATGAGTTCAAACTGCAGATTTGTGCACCAAATTGAATTTATTTTCAATTTGAAAATCAGTGTTGTTGTCCAATATTTTTTAAACAATTTTGAATGGAATATTATGTCAAAAACACTAGATGCTGCACTGTGCATGTGAGGTTTATCACGATCAATGGATCCATGACCTCTATTCTGCTGCTTTGTGCAGTCTTGCCATCCTATTGTGTGAAATCGATCGGTATTTGCGTGGGTGATTAATTAGAAATATAGTTTATAAAGAAAGACGCTATTTTTGGATGTATGAATGGGCAGACACAAGGAGCAGTTCTATTGAAAGTCCAAATCTACGGTCTGGCCCGGTTAATTTTGGCATGATCCAGCTGACATGTGACATGGGCCTGTGTTTTTAGCAGAGAGACTCATGGGAAGGGAGGGGGATCCTGCACGGAGCAGCCGGTGAGAGAACGTTCTCACAGTCAGGGGTCTGTCTGAGCCGTGCATGTTTTGGGTGATGCAGTGGCATGTCTGCAGGCGTTCGGTCCTGATTACTGATGCTGTTATACCCTCACTTGTGTTTTAGCACCATTAAGTGTGCAATCTACCTATAATACAAATTTTAAAGCGGTCATATTCTACATTTCCCACATTCTCCACTTATAATCCCACTCAAGGTTTTTGCGGCAAAAAAAGGTTTAATCATGATCATTTCTGAGCCAATAGAGTTAAACAGGCTGCTTAAAACGATAGGCTAGTTCAGTTATTTTGTCCTTGTTTACTCACTCATGCTAGAGCCCGACCGATAAGTGAATTTTGAAGGCCGATACTAATATTTGTTGGTTTTAAAATCCGATATATCGGCCGGTATTTATTTATTTTTTTCCAGAGATTATTTATACGCACTTTTATTTGTTATTATGAACTAAGGTGTTTAATTTGGGACATTTTCTGGTGCAGAAATGCCCTATAAATGGCTTGAACTCTTAAACTGAATTGGTTTGAATGTATAGCCTTGAGGAACACCACTGCCGATTATAACATTATAACTGCCGATATAGCGATAGTTTGGAAAATGCCTAAAATCGGTCTGGCGTATATAATGAGAATATAATTTTTTAGGGATTGCACCTGTATGAAAATTGTCTGAGTACCGATAATTCTTTATATGTTAAATCCAGTGTTGGGTAAGTTACTCTAAAAAAGTAATTAATTACTAGTTACTAATTACCTCTTCAACAGTGTAATTAGATTACTGTACTAATTAAATTACTGTACATATCAATCTCAACCAGCTGAATAATACAAGGATAGACATGAATCTGTTTTAATTCTTTCAAATAAATGCTATAAAATTGCATGAATTATCCTTTATTAACAGACCAAGGTGGAGAAGGTTACATTATAAAAACATACTTTTGTTTTTAGCATCAGACAATAGGCTACATTTTGATGTTAAACCCACTATTGTTTTATGTCTGATCTCATGACATTTCACACTTTTTTCATACGAATTTGTACGAGTGTGGTCGTAATATAGACGCCTCGTAAAATGCATACGAATCGCTGTGAGATCGGATTGGTCTATACACAGTATTTACCTCAATTACATCAGAAGTAACTGTAATTAAATTACAGATAAATTAAGAGTAATCCCTTACTGTACATTTTCAAGGGAAAAGTAATTAAATTACAGTAACTAATTACTTAGTAATTAGTTACACCCAACACTGGTTAAATCCACTAACTGATATATTGGCAGATACATCTAAACTTTTATGTAATTTTTGAGTCTGGTTACAAAAACTGAAGTTTTAGCATTAAAAGCCATGACCCAGGCACACAATTAGTATGTTCTCACAAATTTATGTAGCCGATATGACAGACTTGCGCTGCACATGTTGCACTGTATTTTCCTTTTTTGAAGTGATTCCAGTCATATTTTTGAAGCCATTCAAAAGCATCATGTTGAACAGTGTGCATCTCAAGTGTCTCAGCTGAAGGAAATAATACACTAATTATCGGCATTATACATGACACATTTTCTTATCGGACCGATAGCATTAAAAATGAACGTATTGGCCGATATATCAAGTGTTTATTTGCTAAAAGACACTATCAGTCTTAATTCACACTTGAATGGAAACGCTTGGTTTCTCTCTTCTGTAATCGTCAAGGTGTTGGTAACTTCCGCACTGGTGCTGTGCTGTTATTGAACATGAATTTCTCTTCTAGATTACCTGGACAATGGCAATAACAAGATGGCAATCCAGCAGGCTGACAAACTGCTTAAGAAGCACAAGGATCTTCACTGTGCAAAGGTGTGTCCCTTTTCTTTATTTTTAAACTTATGTACTGCAAACTTCTGTACGCTGTAAAACAGGTTGCATTGCTTCCGGTTCAGGTGTTTTCTATGTGTTTCATTAAATATAAAGCTGTTTTACTCGGGATGCTTTCAAAGGAGCGAGCAAAGAAAAGCGTAACCAATGTCCATTACATATGGAGATTCATATCTAAAAGTTTCAAATAACATTTGAATATTAAAATAAGAATAAGAAAAAAAGAAATAAGGAATAAAACGGCAACCATAAATGAACTTACTAGCCGATTTCCTTAAAGGTACAATATGCAGGATTTTCTGCCACTAGGGGTCGCTAACCTCTTCCAATAACAAAGGCACATAGTGATGACGTATATTCCGCATTAAGCTGAATTATGGGTTTGTCATCAAGCTGATTGATCTTTTATGGATGAGTGAATACATTGATGTTTTTAACATGACTGTAGTATGAAGCAGGGCGCGATTGCTAGACGTATACCAGCGCCACACGCAACGCGAGTCCCGCGGATATAAAGGAATAAGGACATTTCATTCTACTGAACTACATGCTGAATACTCACACAGGTCAGTTTATTAGAGGAGTTAAACTTGAGGTAACGCAGCGCTGCTTCAGTTACTCAATCACACTAAACGGCATTTGAGTGTGTTGAAAGCTACTAAGCTAGATCAACATTAGAGAATAACATACAGATCATATTCTAACATTTCATCATGTTGAACTAAATAATATTGATTAGTTTTATGTAAATTCTCTCACCTGTCTAATGAAGTACATGCAACACTCAAGGCCAAAGTCGCGGATGTGGAGCTCTCGGCATCTCGAAAGATGTTGATCTTCCTCTTTTTGTCTCAAAGTCTGCTTGCCATGGTCCATAATGTTTAATCAAAACAACAACAGCGTGAGCGTCCCGCTAGGCATAACGGGCATAACCCGGTTGTCAACGTCTGTCGCCATGGTTACTATTGCAGTACGAGCTTAAACATGGCGGAAACCGGGGGTAACGCGGATATGATGTCATTGACTGGTTAGTTCCTTGGTTAAAATTGCAATTTTCTCACGATTTACAAATAGTTTGAAACATTTGGGATATTGTAAGTAATCAAATTAACAAAATATATAACATTGGCCTAGTGGTTTTTAGCTATTATACTGCAAAAATCCTACATATTGTACCTTTAAAAGTCCATAGATATTGTGGTCAGTTCATACGGCTGTAATAATCACACTAAGCCACATCATGATTTTGGTTTTAAGCGAACACTGTTTCATTCTGGCCAGCTCAGGCTGCGATTGGTTCCAGTGTCCATGTCTCGCTTAAACGAGTGGTCACGAAGCATCAGCAGAACTGATGTTTAACGCTATACTTCACGTGACACCGTGGATAGCGGTCGACACAAAAGACATTGTTTAAGAACTGAAATAAATGAATGAATTTGACCATCTAGATTGATAAATTAGCTCTGGATGCATTTATTTGCAGGTCTTGAAGGCGATTGGTCTGCAGCGCACCGGCAGACAGGAAGAAGCCTTCACGCTGGCACAGGAAGTGGCCGTTCTCGAACCAACAGATGACAACTCTCTGCAGGCACTGACAATCCTCTACAGAGAAATGCACAGGCGTGAGTGTTAAAAGCTCTGACACAGAACTGAAAAGCTGCAGCAGAATCTCAAGCTAATTCAAATGAACTAATACCACTTTTTCTTTCCGTAGCCGAATTAGTGACCAAGCTTTATGAAGCCGCAGTCCGGAAAGTTCCAACAAGCGAGGAGTACCACTCTCACCTCTTCATGGCCTACGCTCGGGTCGGAGAGTACAAGAAAATGCAACAGGTTCTGTTTGTGTTCGCTCTGATGTCATCAATCGTTACAGGAGGGCTGCTTAATTTGGTCTAATTGCTATTGGCTTTATGCACAGCTGCACTACTTCCTGAACTTAAGCCAGCTCCTTGTTTCCTGTCTGCCATTATTGGCCAAATTGATTAATTCAGGTGTGTCTGATTATTGTTGCCGTGACTACTGAGGTCAGGCACACCTGAATTAATCGGTTATTATTAATTAATAAGGGGCTGGCTTATGTTCAGGAAGTAGTGCAGCTGTGCATAAAGCCCATTGCCATTTAAAAATGTGGTTTAAAAACTGCTCCTGGTTTGTAGGGTTGCGTTTGGCCAATAACGTTACTAAAAATATTATATTACAAATAAAATATAAAATTTCACTGTAAAATAAAAAAGTGTTGTGTTCTAGTACTTATATGTATGGCTTCCTTAATTTCTGCATTTTTAAACTATAAATCATTAGTCTTTTATTTTGGCGGAAAACCGCAGCGAGCCCGCAGCCCCTTAACTGTCACTCTCCCGCTACTGTGACGCCTAACTTTACTTCATTATATTTGAAATAAATCCTAGTTATGACAAGTTATATATCGTTGGAAAGGTCAAACACTTCTAAATAAATATTCTACCCCTGTTTTGTGTTCCAAATTATGTAGCAAGAGTAATTGATGAATTTATGATAAGAGTGCACCTCAAAAAATCTTAAATCTAAATTTTTTTGTAAAATATATATTTTATATAAAAAAAATATAGTACAGTATATTTTATTTAATGTAAATTCAAACTTCCATAATTTTTTCATACTTTCATTTGTTTTCACTTCAGCAATAATCTGCTGAGTGTTTTCTTTCAAACAAGACCAAACTTGGGTATATATTCCAAAGAATTCTTGAATTACAACCATTTAAGTTTGAATAGTGCATTTTAACCCCCATTCTCAAAAAGGGGGGTGACAGCTAAGGGGTTAAAGGGACAGTTCACCCAAAAAATGAAAATTGTCATCATTTACCAAACCTGTATTGAGTTCTTTCTTCTGCTGAACACAAAAGAAATTTCCGAAGAATGTCTGTTGCAAAAAAAAAATATATTATTTTTTAAATTATTGTTTTTTAATTATTATTTTTTATTTAAAAATTATTTATTATTTAAAAAATATATTTTTTTCCATACTATGGAACTCAAATGGCAATATCATCTTTTGTGTTCAGCAAAAGAAAGAATTCATACAGGTATGCAACAACTTAGTTGTTAGTAAATGATGACAGAATGGAAATTATCCCTTTGAAGTTTTTCTTTTATTGGTAACAGCTGCTTTATAAGTGCATTTCAATTTTGGGGAGATGGTTGGCGCGTGTTGCATTTCCAAATCCATGTAACATGCGCCTCTAACTCCGAGCAGATGCAGAGATGGAGTTTGTGTGGAGCAGCGTTTACTGTGAACAGATGCTGCAAACACCAGATCATGAGCTGCTTGCGTGTAAATGAACACAGTGCTGTGCTTCACTCATGCAACATGCAGCGCATGTATTTATTTAATAACATAGCAGCCTTTGCAATTTGATAAACGCAATTTAAAATTGAGATTTCTGCTTAAATGGCTCAGCATTATTAAAGAAGTAGTTCACTTTTGAAAAAACTTTTGCTGATAATTTACTCACCCCCATGTCATCCAAGATGTCCATGTTTTTCTTTCTTCAGTCGAAAAGAAATGAAGGTTTTTGATGAAAACATTCCAGCATTTTTCTCCGTATAATGGACTTCAATGGGGTCCAAACGGTTCAAGGTTCAAAAGACAGTTTCAGTGCAAACTGTTCAAAGGGCTTTAAACGATTCCAGACGATGAATAAGTGTCTTATCTAGTGAAATGATCGCTCATTAAATAAATAAATAACAAAGTTTAAGTTTTATAAGCTCAAATGCTCGCCTTGCTCTGTTCTGTGATGCACGTTCGCGACTCTCCTGTTCAAACTCGTTCATCAAAAGGAACGAATCTTTTTCTGAGTCAATTTGTTTGTTTCGTTGGTTGAATGAACCAAATGACTCTGAAAAATATTTGTTCATTTTGATGAACGAACAGGAGAGTCACGAACGTCTGTCACAGAACAGAACAAGGCGAGCATTTGAGCTTATAAAGCTTAAACTTTGTTATTTATTAATTAAATGAGCGATCGTTTCGCTTGATAAGACCCTTATTCATCGTCTAGAATCGTTTAAAGCCCTTTGAACAGTTTGCACTGAAACTCTCATTTGGACCTTGAACTATTTGGTTCCCATTGAAATCCATTATATGGAGAAAAATGCTGGAATGTTTTCATCAAAAACCTTAATTTCTTTTCGACTGAAGAAAGAAAGACATGGACATCTTGGATGACATGGGGGTGAGTAAATTATCAGCAAAAGTTTTTTAATCATTGTTTTTGTTGAAAGACTTTTCTGTCTGTTTACTCCTGACAGGCTGGAATGGCTCTGTATAAAATTGTCCCCAAAAACCCATATTACTTCTGGTCGGTTATGAGCTTGGTGATGCAGGTTTGTTTTCTCACTTCTCACTGCATAAACAATACATATCATGGATGAACCAATGCAGAACAAAACGATATTCAAAATTGCCTTTCCAATGTCCATCAGTTCATTTCTCCATCAGCCCTGTCATGTGTGTTTCAGGCCATCTCGGCACAAGACGAAAAGCTCTCTCACACCATGTTCCTGCCATTAGCTGAGCGTATGGTGGAGAAAATGGTTAAGGAGGAGAAAATAGAGGCAGAAGCAGAGGTAGGACGGGTTATCAATAATCTGTTTCTGTTTATTTCAGCCGTGTAAAGTTTCTGATGCATTTTACTTTGGCTGTTCCAGGTCCAGCTGTACTTCATGATCCTGGAGCGTTTGGGGAAATATGTGGAGGCGCTGGAGGTGGTTCAGGGGCCGCTCGGAGGTGAGGAGAAAAAAATTGTTCTTCAAAGGAATATTTTGGATTATTTCCAGTTGAATGCTTTTGTAATGCTGTCATTTACCAGAGACGATGAGAATATAAAACTGAACAGCAGTTACAAATGCCTGGTGTTTTGCTCCATCTAAGTGGCACATTATGGTTCAAATGTCTTTTTGGTATAAAATAACTGCATTGTGCAGAGACATAATTAGGATGAAAATAACTTTTGGAAAAAAAATTTATGTATATATATATATATATATATATATATCAAGTCTGGGGAAAGACTTTTTTAATGAACTTGGTACTTTATACAGCAAAAATTACATTAAATTGATCAGAAGGTCAGTAAAGACATTTATAATGATACAAAATATAGGGCCCTATAAAATCCGTTTTATTTTTTCCCAAATTCCGTTTTTTCCATTTTAATTTTTGCAAATTCCGTTTTTTCCGTTTTAATTTTTAGGAATTCAGGTTTTTTTTTACCCTTTACTATTATTTTAGTTGTAAATAGAGTGTGCTTTTAATGTTAATGATTAAAATGTACACAAATAAAATAGGCATTTACTCTTAAAATGACAAATACTGCATGATGCAACATAACATCATGCATCGGTATATGCATTGGTATATTTTCCTGCTTTTTTGTCCTTAGCCAATCACATGCCTGATTAATGTCAACAGGGCTCAACGCTAAGGTTTTTTTTTTTTTTTGGTCCTTACTAGAAATTGGTAATCAATAAATATTGTGTTATTGTAAATATGTATGTTATATATGTTTTCATTGTGTTTGAACCGTGCAACCTTAATAAATAAGGTTATGACACTACATTTCAGATACTATTGAAATTTCACAGTTCTCGATTCCAATTTTGATATCGATCCAAAAAAATACTATGCTAAATAATATACAAGTACAGACAGGGCTTGATTTCAAATTTTGATCTCCAGCCACTGTGGTTTGTGGTTTTCCGAAGTTACTAGCCACTTAGCATTTTCATGGCCACAATTATGACCTCGATACCATGGGGTAAAAACTGCCAAATAGATCTCATAATTTGGCAGCAGGTATATTAGGCTGCTGTCACTTTAAGACCTGACGCACAGATCCATTATAATCCGCTGAGTACAGATAAGATATCAGTCAATGGTATCTGTAATTGTATGATTTCTGATTATGTGGAGAAACTCAAAATAAAAGTGAGGGGGGAAAATTCACCGCAATAAATCGCATCCAAAATAAAAGTTTGTGTTTACATAATATATGTGGGTATAGTGGGTATAATTATTTTGTATATATAAATACACACACATGCATGTATATACTTTATATATATTTACACAATTATTATTATACATAAATATAAATATTTGATATATTAATAACATAATTAAATTCAATTAAAACATTTTTCTTAAATATATACATGCATATGTATGTATTTATATATACAAAATAATTATACACACTACACCCACATATATTATGTAAACACAAGCTTTTATTTTGGATGTGATTAATCGCGATTAATCATTTCACAGTCTACCGTTAACATTTCTTTTCACATTTCACATGCAAAAGAATGTGCAAACCCTTTATCTGCATATTTGAATGTCCCTCGGTCATTTAGCTTTGTGTTTTTCTCCCTCAGAGAAGCTGACCAGTGAACTGCAGAGCCGTGAGAACAAATGCATGATGCTGTATCGCCGTCTGGAGCGCTGGGCCGAGTGCAACTCGCTGTCCTGCAAACTGCTCCTGAAGAAGTGAGTCCACTACTGATCAGTTGACTTCCTGTTCCCTGAACATAAATAGCTACTTCAGAGTGAGGTTGTTCTAGTTTAGCATTGCATTTTTGCTACATAAGGTGTTAATCGGTAGATTTTGTTTCTTTCTGCAGCCCTGATGACTGGCAATTCTACTTGCTATATTTTGACTCTTTGTTCCACCTCATTGATCAGAGCTGGACGCCTCCACAGGAAGGAGCTCAGTACGTAAAAAGTTAATTGCATGCAAATATTTAGCTGGGAAAGCATTTGTCACACTGGAAACGGAAGGTCAAGTACACATCATTGTATACTGCCTGTCCGTGATGCAGGTATTTCATCAATATTGAGCACAGTACACGTACTGCATACTAGAAAGTAGTGTGCCATTCTGAACCGTCACCCTGTCTCATGTTCTCATGCATGCTGTGTTGTTTCTCTCTGTGTTGCAGTTCTTCAGAAGGCGAGGTGCACTCCTCCGTGGCTCAGTCCGTCTGCTTCATGAAGGAGCGACTGGCCACAGAAGATGCCAAGGAGTCGAAGCACCTGAGAGGACCGTACCTGGCCTGTCTGGAGCTCATCAGACGGCTCAGAGAGCGGAGCTGTCCTGAAGTGCAACAGCTAGGTACGGGATGGGTCGGGGCGGTTTACACACGACACTTGCTGTGTGTTTCTGACGTGTTTTCTCACCATGACGCAGGTGAACCTCTAGAGCTCATGTTCCAGTTCTTTGTGAAGTTTGGAGACAAGCCAAGTTGCATCACAGACCTTAAGATCTTTCTGGACCTTCTCGCTCCTGACCAACATGTGCAGGTTAGCACAAGAAGATGCAATGCATACTTTTCATACCGTAAAACCAAACCCAAATAGACGCCTGTCTCTTTTACACTGGTCGGTGTGGCTGCAGGTTTGGGTTAATAAAGGCCGGGCCTGTTTTTTAGTTTCGGGTTGTATTTAATCGGATAAAACCCGTCAGATCGTCCGCATAACGAGCAGAGAGAGAGCCAAAACACCACGAGTGCTGTCTTGCGCTCTCTCCCTCGTGCATATTAATCAAAATCAATTTACGCGATAGTAAAAGGTCGGAAGACCGCAGTTTCACGAGGAGCATTTGAAGATTTTTAAAGATCAGAGACTCAATGAATCAAATAATATATATTTATATATATTATATAGGTATATATATTTAGGGCTGACCAAATTAGCGTGGAATACATTTTTTCAGTTTTAAAATTATAAATTAAAATTAAGCAGAATCCGTTTTTTCTGTCATAATTTGGCTAGTGTTACATTATATGATCAGGCTCCTATTTAGGCAAATAACACAATAAATTATGCAAAAAATGCAGTCTTATAGGGATAGTTCACTTTGAAATTAATTTTTGGTGTGTTTTATCTTACCTCAAGGGCATCCAAGATGTCTTTGTTTCCGCAGTAGTTCCAATTTTGATTTTTTTTAGGTCAAACCATTCTTGTCTGTCAGTCATATAATGGAGGTCTATGGTCACCACCTCAAAGAGCATGCACAGAAAAGTCCAAATTAAACATGATTTAATGACTCGTAAATGTAAGTACAAATTGATGGCCTAAGACACGAAACGAGCGGTTTGTGTGAGAAAACCAACAGTATTTATATCATTTTTACCTTTTGTAACCACAGCCACGTCCAAGTGATCTGAGGGCGCGGGTGCTTCAGTCTGCACAAGCGCCGGAAAGCCCCGGAAGTGATCTCTCGCGCGTGTACGTTAGGCTTGCCGCGATAGACGGTGTTGACGGTGTTACCGGTTTTAAGCCCCATCACCGGTGACATCACTTTCCCACCGTGACACCGCGATGTCTTGACTTTTTTTTTTAAAGTATTCGTTTTTGCTAAAATATTTATTTGAATTAATTAAAAATAATAATTTTCAATTATTTAGTTCTGAAGAGAGCATTATAATTAAAAATGAACTGCGCAACGCGTGCTGTCACGTCACAGATCAGCAAGCATCAGGATTCCATTTAGCACGTGTGGAGACGAGAACGAGTCAAATTACAGAAAAGCAAGATAATGGCGGAAGATTTGGTGTCAAAACGCAATGCAAAAGCGCCTGTTTGGCAATATTTTGGCCAATATATATTAATGTTAATAAATGCCAATTTATAGTGTTTTACTTTTTTTTTAGAGTGCTGTCATTTATGTAGGCTAAGGTCCTTTTTAAAGTTTTTATTTTATATTCGTCTCTTTTTATTTGGTTTTATCTTATTTAAACTTTGTTTAATTTATTTAGGCCTATTTTGTTTTCTTATTCGTTAATAAACGTTTTTTTTTTTTTTTTGGGCCCACAGTTTGCGGATTTTCACTTTTTTCAGCCTATGCATGGGGTATTTTTATTCGTTCGTTATGCTAATAAAAGTTCTGTCTATATTTTATTCGTTTATTATTCTAATAAAAGTGCTGTCTAAATAAAAGTTTATTGTCAGCGAGTTGTTTTTTTTTTTTTTTTTTTTTTTTTTTTTTTTTTGTCCATTCCAGCAATTGACGCTGAATTGCAATTGACGCTTATTTCGAAAGTGAAAGTATGTCATTTATGTAGGCTAAGGTCCGTTTTGAAGTTTTTATTTTATATTCGTCTCTTTTTAATTGGTTTTATCTCATTTAAACTTTGTGTAATTTATTTAGGCCTATTTTATTTTCTTATTCGTTAATAAACGTTTTATGGTTCTTATTTGTTTGGGCCCACATTTTTGCCGATTTTCACTTTTTTCAGCCTATGCATGGGGTTATTTTTATTCGTTCGTTATGCTAATAAAAGTCTATAAATAAAAGTTTTATTATCAGCGAGTTGTTTTTTTTGTCCATTCAAGCAATTGACGCTTATTTCGAAAGTGAAAGTATAACGCGCACGCATTTAAAAGCTATTTAACCCCCCCGCCCCGCCCTCCACGGTGACACCGGGATTACCGGTGTTGTCACACGTCGATTAACCGGTGGGAAATTTTCCTCACCGCGGCAACCCTAGTGTACGTCACTCATCGTTTACACAGAGATTTCAGAAGTGTTATCCTTTCACTGTGAAGATCTAAACGTATTTAGATGGAATTGCAATGGAAGACGATTTCGATACATCAACATTGATTTTTTTTTTTTTCGCAACCGCACGAGAGATCACTTCTGGGGCTTTCCGGCGCCCGTGCCTTCAGATATACTTGGACGTGGCTGTGGTTACAAGAGGTAAAAACGATATAAATGCTGTTCGTTTTCTCACACAAACCGCTCGTTTCGTGTCTTAGGCCATCAATGTGTACTTACATTTACGAGTCATTAAATCATGTTTAATTTGGACTTCTCTGTGCATGCTCTTTGAGGTGGTGACCATAGACCTGCATTATATGACTGGCAGACAAGAACGGTTTGACTTAAAAATACGAAAATTGAAAATACTGTGGAAACAAAGTCACCTATATCTTGGATGCCCTTGAGGTAAGATAAAACACACCAAAAATTAATATCAAAGTGAACTATCCCTTAAAATTAGTTAATGTCTTTAATGAACTAAGAGTTGTGAGAAAATGAGATCTTCGTCACACCAGCCTAATAAAGCACAAAGCTGTTAATGTCTGTCATTAATGTTAATCAAAGAACAAATGTCACAGAACATTTCAGCTTTAAGGATTAAACTGTTTAATTCATCATTTATGCCGTTAAGACTGTAAAACGTTCGATAACTATTTAATTTCTGACCTGTTAGACAGGTATGGCCACTGGTAAATATGACATTTATTATAATTGGTGTATGTGAAGATTGTTTTAAGTTTGATCGCAGGAATGAATTACATTTTAAAGTATATTAATATAATAAACAGTTTAAATTATACAATTTAACTTGTAATAACATTCATCAATATTACTGTTTTGACTATTTATTATTAAATAAATGCAGCCTTGGTGAGCAAGAGACTTTCAAAAAGTTTATATATATATATAAAAATAAATATGTGTATGTATGCATACATTTGTAGGTATACCCTTACTTTTTTGTGGCTTTTTGTATTTAAGAACAGACCACTTAGACAGAAAGAGATGTTCTTGAGTGCTTCTAACTTTGCTGCGACTGTTTCAGTTCATCAACAGGCTGATGGAGGCCGTGCCGCTGCTCGCTCCAGGAGAGGACGGGTTCGCGCTCCCGGGAGACACTCGGGCTCTGCAGAGACATCTGTGTGTGACGCAGCTCAGCCGCTGTCTGGGTCTCCAGCATGCGCTCAACACCGAGGGCAAACTGGGCCTCATCAAAGAACTGAAGGCGCATTACCGGCACGGCTTACAGTTCGGTAAGCAGATGAATAGGCAGGTTGGACTATTATAACTTCTTCCTTTTTTAAATGACATAATGCCAGCCTCTTATATTTTCCACGGCAAGCACGAGTCATATTTTCGTTTAAAACTTTCACATTGATTATTTTAATAGACCCGTTTCAATTCACAATATACATCGTTTCCAAGCAGCTTTACTGAAAATCCATTAGTCCGCATTACAATTTAGAGTGATCTGTTATCAGAGGAAACGGTCAAAGTTATGCATATACAAAATCACAGTTAGCTAAAAATGTATTCATTTAAACTATGAAAAAGGCAGAAACAATGTTTAACCGACTTGTTTAACCAATGATTATGACATTTACAAAAATGTACAGCAGTCTTACAATTTCCTGTTTTATTTCTGCTCTAGGCAAGTCGTGTTTAAAAACAGAGCTCCAGTTCTCGGATATGTACTGTCTCATGGCGGCTCATGTCTATATAGACCTGTGGTTGGAGACGGGTACGTGTGCTCCTCATTTTCAGAGTCCGATTTATTCAAACCTGTCATGTTATCGATGTGCGAGTGCGTTGTTTGTGTGTGTTGTAGGCGATCAGAACATGTTGTGGCAGTCTATGGGGATGTTAGAAGAAGGTCTCTCCCACAGTTCCTCCAATGCTCAGTTCAAACTGCTGCTTTTGCTTCTGCACTGCCGTCTGGGGGCTTTTGAGCCGGTGGTAGATCTTTACTCCAGCCTGGATGCCAAACACGTCCAGCACGACACCATAGGGTAAGAACAGAGCGACTACGGGAAACAAATGAAGAGTTCAGATGCAAAAGCCTCTGAGTGCCATTTGAAATTTTCTTCTAGAATGGTCATTTTTATCAAGCTTGTATATTTAAGTTCAGTAATTTCACTTAAATGGCAATTCATAGGTAATCTTCATTGTCATTTAAGTGAAATTACTGAACTTAAATATATAAGCTTGATAAAAATGATCATTTTAGAAGAAAATTTCAAATGGCACTTAGAGGCTTTTGCTTCTGAACTCTTCAAATATGTCTTTCATTAATATGTTAAAGATGGCAATGAATCATTGTGCACTATTCATCAGTGCACCTTTTTCTAAATTTTAAAGAGCAGTTCTTTTTCAAGATGCAAGCTTTAGGACATTGAATACATTAAATATTGTACTTCTAAAAATGAATAACAAGATTGGAAAACTAGTTATACCAGCTAAAATATACACTTGTTTCCGTGTGTGTTTGTGCACATCAAAACCGAGAAAAAACGTGAAAGTACGCAATAACTTCATCATGTAACTGAGAAACAGTGTTGGTTTAGGATTATTTATAAGCATTTTTAAATACCTTTTATATTTTCAGTTTTAGTCATTTTGTAAGATGTTTTTCCTTTTAGTTTTATATATTTCTATTGAGCTCATTTCATTTTTTTAGTGTCAGTAATTGTAGTGCTTGGAAAACTGAAATAAAACAAGCTTTTATTTGAGCTTTATTTCAATTAAAAATAGCGTTTTAATTTTAGTAAGCAATAACGACACTGGTTAATAACAAGTTTTATTATGTGATGAATTGAAAAATTAAGTACACCAACTTGTATTGCTTTGTGTTCCAATGAAACGTAATTAAAATACACTTTAAAATAGTTTTATCCAATATAAACTAAACAAGAACTTAACAGTTATTGAGCTAATAATATCAGAGTCTATTTTCATGATCAAATCCCTGTATATAAATAAAACTCTTGGAATTATTTTAGTACATCACAGTACGCCTTAAAGGAGTAGTTCACGTTTAAAAAAACTTTCGCTGATAATTTACTCACCCCCATGTCATCCAAGATGTCCATTTCGTTCTTTCTTCAGTCGAAAAGATATGAAGGTTTTTGATGAAAACATTCCAGGATTTTTCTCCATATAATGGACTTCAATGGGAACCAAACGGTTCAAGGTCCAAAAGACAGTTTCAGTGCAAACTGTGCAAAGGGCTTTAAACGATTCGAGACGATGAATAAGGGTCTTGTAAAGCGAAACGATCGCTCATTTAAAAAATAAATAACAAAGTTTAAATTTTATAAGCTCAAATGCTCGCCTTGCTCTGTTCTGTGATGCAGGTTCGTGACTCTCCTGTTCGAACTCATTCATCAAAATTGTTTCCCAAGTCAACTCATTCATTTCATTTATTGAATGAACCAAATGACACGAAAAAAGATTTGTTCATTTTGATGAACGAGTTTGAACAGGAGAGTCGCAGAACAGAGCAAGGCGACCATTTGAGCTTATAAAACGTAAACTTTGTTATTTATTTATTAAAAGAGCGATCGTTTCACTAGATAAGACCCTTATTCATCATCTGGAATCGTTTAAAGCCCTTTGAAGCTGCACTGAAACTCTCATTTGGATCTTGAACCGTTTGGTTCCCATTGAAGTCCATTATATGGAGAAAATCCTGGAATGTTTTATCAAAAACCTTAATTTTTTTTAAAGTGAACTACTCCTTTAAGTTAAATGTACTAGCATGCAGTTTGTTGTTGTTTTTTCAAGGGTTCCTTGTCAAATATCACCCATGCTAAAGCTGTTTCTTTTGGTTCTGTCCATGTCCAGGTATTTATTGACCCGCTATGCAGAGTCTTTGGGCCAGTTTGCTGCTGCTTCCCAGTCTTGTAACTTCTCCCTCAGGTTTTTTCACTCAAACCAGAAAGATGTACGTCATAGTTGTTCTTTTTTAGAGATGTTTTCATGTATGTACAGAATCAAAATGACCATTCTGTCATCATTTCCTCACGCTCATGCTGCTGCCGCTGTGTGTTTGTTCCCGCAGACCTCAGAATACATTATTCAAGCATATAAATATGGTGCTTTTGAGAAAATCCCAGAGTTCATCGCCTTCAGGAACCGACTCAATCATTCGCTGCACTTTGCCCAGGTGCGCACCGAGAGGATGCTGCTCGACCTCTTCCTGGAAGCCGACATGTAAGTCATCTTTACCTGTCGTATATAGAAGTTGCAGGTGGGATTAACCTTCAATCGGGTCATCGGGTGTATACGACCCCAATCGACATTTACTTAATAAAAAAAAAAGGTTCCCTTCATCTCTGTGGAATAAAATTTTGTGACTTTTCATACATTATCTATTTACACACACACACACACACAAAGGTATGTAAAAGAAAGTTTACACTTCCGGTCTTCAGGGTCAATATGACCCCACATTGAAATGAATGGCAAATGTGAAAAAAAACTAAATGTATTCTTCATGTGTCAATAAAAATAAAAAAAATCCAGTATAAATCTGAAAATTTTTACACCGAAATGAAGGCCTAGTACTAGAGCATAAATGCAATGCATCACAAAAAATAATATTTCATATGCTAATGGTGTTGTTGAGGAATTGTGGGTTATATGGGTACAAAAGTACTTTATATCTCCAAAAACACAGCATTAATGAATAGATGAGAAGTAAACAAAAAAAAAATAGATATATTATTTGTATGATTAAAAATGTATATTTTTTGTACAATTACTCAATCAATTGTTGGGGTCGTATAGACCCCGAAGACCAGAAGTGTAAACAGGAAACGAAGACCATTTGAAGGTTAATCTGTAAGTTTCCTTGTCTTTTTATTGCACAGATCATCTCCTCTAGAGGAGAGCGTGAAATCAATGTCTCTGTGTCCGGAAGAGGACGACATCCCGTGGGACAACTTAAGGGACAACCGTGACCTGACTGTTCTCGTCGCCTGGAACCCTAAAGACCGGTACGTTGTGACTAGCAAACATTTTAAAGAGGACCTATTATGCTTCAAATTTAATTTGTGTGTAATGTTGTATTTCTTCTCTATTCGAACTCCTGAAACTCCTTCATTGTAGTCTTGAGTTTCTTCCGAGAACAAACACGTCACAATATTCCTCATTATAATAATTCATATGCAGAATAAAGGGGCGGAGCCTGGTCGAGTTAGTTAGTAGTGTGTTAAACTGGTGGTTATGGTAAGGGGGGGGACATTTCACAAACGCATTCAATCGACCAATCACAACACAATGATCCAACCGACTAATCAGAGCACAGTGTGCTCTTCAGAAGGAGGGGCTTCACAGAGACAGGAACTAAACAGAGCGTTACTGACAGACTGGGAAGAGAGGAGCCGCAACAATGGAGAATAGGAGGGAAAATAGTGTGTCTGAACATTCAAGAGCCCAAAAACAACATCAAGACTTTGAAAAAGGGCGTAATAGGGACTCTGAGCATTCATCCATTTCAATAATGATTATTGATCACCCATTGTAGGCAGCTGAATGAGGAGCACAAGCAGCGCTCTCTCGAGGATGAGACCCTGTGGCTGAGGTTGCGGTCTCTCACTCTGCGTCTGATTGGCTGCGTCTCCACGATGTCGCACCCGCCGGCACCGCGTAACTCGGAGAAGACGACTGAAAACGGAGTGGCAGCCAAACCATCTTTCCTACAGTCACTGCTCTCTCAGCTTGAAAACACGCTAAACCAGGCCACACAGTTCACGGAAAAACAGCTACAGGTCAGAACCGTTTGAGACAGTTTTTCGTTTTTTCAGTTGCTTTATTTCTATTTCAGTCGATTGGTGCTAAGTAGGGTTGGGAATCGTGAGAAATTTTCCGATTCCGGTTCCCCCAAACGATTCCGGTTCCGGTTCCGGTTCCGGTTCCGGTTCCCATTCAATTAAAATATTAGTAAGAGAAAAATCCACAATCCTTTTTGTGTTTATTTCTTATAGTAGGCTACTTGACAAATTAGTTTAACAGACTGGTAATGTAAACAAACTCAAAATATTATTAAGCAATCTTTGCAAAAAAAAAATTATATATATATATATATATATATATATATATATATATAAAGGAAATTAAAAAATTCTGCATTCTCTATAATAATTTAGACCTCTCCTTTATTGTATCTCCAACAGTGAAGAATACCCTCTCAGAAGGAGTAGAATATGCTTTAACACACATATGTGTGTAGAACAGATTATTTTTTAAAACGGTTTGAATGATTGATTCATAAAGACTTTACTTATTTCATTACTGGATAAATCGGCACTCTAGCAGTTAATAAACAGAAATGCGTCTTGCGGAAGAACATTGTTGCCGGAGCTACTTCTCTCTGTTTATGTCCATGACGAGTCACGCAGGCATTGGGCTACTCCGCAGCAGCTGCGATCCGCCGCCCAGTCTAAAGAAGTCCGAGTATTAACGCTTATTACAGGCTTTACGTAGTGATTCAAGATAAGACAAAAACACGGTTTGAAAAAAAAAAAACATTATGATGCACTCGCTCATTGTATATATTTTGTAAATTCTGAACACAAAAAATATACGGACTGCATCTGTTTTGACCACTACCGTCAGGGACGTTGGAACTATTTTGTGAGAGGGGGGGCGGAATTCCCGGTGGTGGGGGGGGGGGGGGGGGATTACGCACCGTTTCAAAATATTGGTATTAAATCCATTTTCTGAGAATTTATCAGTCAACTTGTTGATTAAAATAATTGATTAAAATTAAATACAATTTATAAAAACGAAATTCTTTTAAAAAACATAATAAGTCAGAAGTACTGTGGGCTATGTCTGACTCATTCCATGTTTTCCGATATGGTGACTCTACTGATGGACCGCTTCTGATCCATCAGTGCTTGAGTCACCATATATCGGAAAATAAAACGTTTTAAACATGAATAAAACATATCCTGTTAAGCAGAGCATTAATTTAGTTCGTTTAAATAAGAGATCTAGCGCTAAAATGTTTTGTTTTTAAAATCAAGAGGAACGCTTGTTGCCGCTGCTGTCAGTTGTAGGCTTTGTTCTCTGTGGCGCGCAGTCTTCACTCGGACGCGCACTTTAATCGCCTTTACGTCGGAGACTCTATTCATTCCGGTAAAATCACAAAATAAATGTGTCCTATGCTTGATATTGACTGTAACCACAGATGGACATATTCTGTTTTGATGAGAGAGAGAAAAAAAACTGTACCAAGGCCGGATTAGAACCCGTAACCTCTGGCACTCTGGGGCAAAAGAGCTACCACTAGACCATTCAAACGGTCAAATGAAATCTGGCGGATCGATTTATTTATGTATGGGTTGAATAGAAAGGCTGCACAGTTTGACAAGTTTGTACCCAGCACTTCCGAACGTGTCTCTGTGCCCAGCAAATTTCAAACTGACGCCCGTGCGTGCTTAGGTGAATTTAGGGGGCGGCCGGGGGAGGGGGGCGGCCATTCGAGGGGGGGCGGCCGCCCCTCCCGCCCCCCCTGTTCCAACGTCTATGACTACCGTCAATGTTTACTCAAACTATAATCTCACTAATTCTGTAACGGAAATCATTTGAATATGTGAAACAAATAAATATTTAGACTGTGTGATTGTAAAGCAGTTTCATATCGACAACTGCTCTCTCTCTCTCTCAGCGCAAACAGATTTGAATGTAGGCTAGAGAGTGACTCGGCGGTCGGCGCGCGCAGCGTGCGTGTGTCTGTGTGTGACAAATGCAGCGCGTGTGAGAGCAAATCGCAACTTCAGTGGTGAAGTTTTTGTCATTTAGGAATAAGACGGCGTCTTCTACTCCCAGCACTTCGCCCACATGATGATATCGCATCGGCATCAGAACCGTTTTCGGAACCGAAACTTAGGAATTTTGCACGGTTCCGGTATTTTTTCAAAAACACAACCGGTTCTGGAAAAGAACCGGTTCTCGGTTCCCAACCCTAGTGCTAAGCAGCTCCTGATTGATATCAAAAAGCCAGAGCCCTGACTATCAGCATCAAGTCTCGTCCAGTATTGTTTATATACTATTATAGCATTTATTTAAATTGACTAAACTTACATTTGTATACTTTCAGTTTTCCTTCAATTAGGTTTTTTTGAATTTTGTTTTTCATAATAGTTTTATATTTCCATTCATTTTATTTATTTCACTTAGTATTTCTAAATTTGATGTAATTTTTTTATGGTCAAGGTCTTCATCTAATATTTCGATTTTATATTATTTTAGTTATCAAAAGTGAAATGATTATTAAAAAATATTTTTCAAACTTAAGGAAAACTTTATTTCTTAATCTTCTCAAGACAAAATTCTTCAGAATTATCTTCAAAGATCATAACTAAAATAATTCCTTGAAGTTATAATAACCAATTTCTATTTCAGTCGAATTGTGTTGGGTAGTGAATCTATCATCTCATTGGTTCAAAATTCTTCTCCACATAACTGCATATGCATCATCAAATATGTTCAGGCTCTGAATTTTGCCATTTTTACTATATTTTCTGCTGGATTTTGCATGTTGTAGCAAAAATAGAATTAGAGCCGAAACTTCTTAATGCTGTACCCTGTAAACATTTTTTTTTTACAATCAATAGGACCGATTTCTCAATTTTTCAAACGTCAGTGTAGCTATGGATCATTGTCCATTGTTTGGCACAAAATGCATTCAATAACAACAAAGTTGCTTTAGTTATCAAAAGTGAAATGATTATTAAAAAAATATTTTTCAAACTTAAGGAAAACTTTATTTTATTCCCAAAGATATTTCTTAATCTTCTCAAGACAAAAGTCATTCAAATTTTTCAGAATTATCTTATAATTCCTTGAAGTTATAATAACCAATTTCTATTTCAGTCGAATTGTGTTGGGTAGTGAATCTATTATCTCATTGGTTCAAAATCCTTCTCCGCATAACATCAAATATGTTCAGGCTCTGAATTTTGCCATTTTTACCATATTTTCTGCTGGATTTTGCATGTTGTAGCAAAAATAGAATTAGAGCCGAAACTTCTTAATGCTCTAACCCTTTTTTTACAATCAATAGGACCCATTTCTCAATTTTTCAAATTTTACTGTAGCTGTGGATCATTGTCCATAGTTTGGCACAAAATGCATTCAATAACAACAACATTCAAATGACATGAATTTCTTTCTCACTGAGACAAAACCACAACCAAAACTCTGTGTACTTACAGGCCAATTTGCATGTTTACACACAGTTAAACTTCAAAGTTCAACCCATAACCAAAAGACATGGTGTTACTGTAGAAATGGAGCAAATTACAATTTGCAAAAATTGCAAATTACAAAACTGCATTCCAAAACTAAAAAATAAAATGCTATTAAAACTATTGGATGTAGCTGTAGTCTTTAAATTTCATTACCATCCACAAGTAGTGGGGTGTTCAACCTAGGAAAATTGACATTCACCCTTTATTCAAATATTATTCAAATGTTATGTTATAATATTATTAAAATGTTAAATGTTATTAAAATGTGTTATAGATTTTGTAACCATATTGCGTGGTTGTGCTTTGAGTTCTATTTGTGGTGATAACTCAATGAAACATGACAAATTGTGCTGACATAATATTTGTCCAGACTGTCATGAAAGGAATTATGAATGCATGCAAAAACAAAAGGGAACCAATGAAATATTAATAACCGATTGTGTTGTAGTCGATGTATGCTTTTTGTTTTTCTGTGCATTTTTTTAAATATTCTTTAATTTTCTTATGACAAAATGATTTACCAAAAAAGTTTAGTGTTGTTCTTTCCTCATTTTTAAATATTAATGCTTTTATCAAACTTTAAAACTCAAAAACAAATGTGAAATTGACTGCTGTGCCCAGATAAAAGTTAAAATATTTAAATAGATAAAAATGCCCTAGTGATTTGTCATTAAGCAGCTGTATGTTGTGTTCGACAGCACCAGTACCCGTTTCTGGGGCCCGTGTCGTCTCGGCTGGCTCAGGCTCTCTCCAGCGGTTGCTGTCAGTGTCAGCTCTCGTCCCTACAGCTCCCTCTACACCTCCAGGAGCTCGAGAACGCCGGTCTGGGTTCGTTACGTCACAGTTTGAGATTACAACTGATCTTCTATCCACCTTATTCCTGTCGACCTTACTACATTTTGAATCATGGGTGGCATTTCTAGTTTGGGGAACATCCACTCAAAAATCTGAAACAAATCATGAGGTTGCCCTACAAATCCGTCAGTTTGACTGGATGAGCTGTCAATTTTCCTCTGGTTTATTTTCAGACATCATGAGAATAACATTACACTTGGTATTTTAACGTGACGTTATATAGAACAAGAATATCTATTCTAGCGCTGCTTTCTTTTCCTTGTGATTATTTTCTTTTTTCCCTTTGCAATCCGCTGTAAAAGTATGAAAAGTGACAACATATACGGCACATTTGTGGTCTGTTCTCCCGAATTTAATTTACGATATATTCCATTAATAATTCACTGGAATGCGTGAAGAATCTATCTTTTCACAGGTAAATGCAATTTATAATCTGTCAAAATGATGGAAGTCACTTTTAAATACCGTCACGTATTGCTGATGAACGTTTTTGATTAAGGCAACATATGATTACTACAGGGATATTTAACCTGTCCGTTATTGCTGCGGAAACACTCACACTTTTGAGGTTATTTGGTGTGTACAGTGTTAAAAGTACCTTGTTGAGATTTTTACACTTTTAAATTTTCTTTTAATGTTTGATCTTTTTATAATGTATTGCGTTCATGTAGCGATTCTTTTCAATGATTGTTTAACGGAAGCGTCATGCATCGAATAAGGTGGATAAAGCGCCCATCTGTGTCGCAATCCTTTTTCATTTCATGCCACTTATTAGCAAACTTATTCTGCTACAATCATGGAATTGATATTTAATTGATTGGGATTTATTTATTTATTTTTAGTTGTGAGTTCCTGGCCTGGAATTGTTTTTTACGATCAAAATAATTTCATGTATATTATATATTTGTCATGTATTGTTGCATGATTTTTAATATTATACAAATAATATCATATTTTTAATGCTTTTATTTAATTTGACTTATTTATACACATTAATAATTTTGTCTTGTATTTTCAGATGACTCAACAGAGCTTCAGACACAAATATCAAATCTTTTCAAGTCTTTAGCAGTACAACTTCAAGGTATGCCATGGACTCAACATGTTTAAAATTAATATTTTTGCTCATATTTCATTTGTCACATTTCATTTCAAGTTCATTGGAAGACATTGTTTTAGATTAGTTTTGTTTTAGATTAAGTCCATGTGGCCATGAATAATAATAATAAACTCCTTTCAATATCACAAATTTACAAAAGTGAAATTTATGTTGACTCTTTTTCTGTATGCCTATCCAGATATGTTGGAAAAATGTAAAGGTGATCTATTAGAAGTTAAAGATGCTCAAACCAAGACGCAACCCTTTTTACTGGAGAATCTAGTCTACTTTGTTGAAGTGAGTCTATCGCCATTCAAGAGAATACACAGCTCTTTTTAGAAAATAAAAAGCATTCATTCTTAACTCTTTGTTGCAGACCGTTTGTATCGTCATATGGGTGTCTCATTACTGTGGAAGCGTCCTCCGGCCCTTAAAGTCTAGTTTACAGAAGAAGAAGAAAAAGAAAAAAGAAGCCAGCGCTGTAACGGTAACGCTTTGATTATTGAAGCTTTTTCCTGAGTCAATATTTATGAAGTTTAGGGTTGTGGGGAATGTGGCTCACTCTTGTTTGTTTATGCGCTGGTTTGTGTCTCCCACACAGCCGGCAGTGATCTCGGCCTTCCAGGATTTCAGCGGCAGCTTGCAGAGCCTTCTGAACCAGGCCCTGGAGCTCATCAAGAGCCAGGAGATCAGCCTGACGGCCCTGAAGCTGGGAGCCCTCAGTCTCCAGGGACAAACTCAGTCTGAGGCGAGTGACTTCAGAGACTGCTTTGTCTCATAAAGTCAGACTTTAAAGTCTGCTTCAGTGGAATTTATGCACTTTTACAGTAATTCATATTTTGAAATGTATTGTTCCAAATATAAGACAATGTTTTTGTTCTTGGAAATGCATAAAAAATGTTTCAAATGTGGCTGTCTTATATTCGGCATCCAAAGTTTTACATGTCAGTAATACACCTGCAACAATAGGGAGCGTCAAACGAGTGTTCCCCCAGAACTAATAAATGCAGCGGAGTCAAAAGTATTTGTAATGATCCATAATGAATTTTCTTCCAATATTTTATTGAAGCTACACTGTGTGATTTCTCCATCTAGTTCCCCATCTAGCGGTGATCATCCAGGGAATATTAGTTTCTGTTTCTCTCAATTCCGATTTCGTTTTAACTCCTACGGTGGCCAATGTAGTCCAAGATTAACATGGCTTCCAGTTCGACCTCATCCATGAGTGTTAACTCGAGCGTAAACACGAAAGGCGAAGCTTGAATTAATGGGTATGTCCCTATTTTGCTAATGTACTTTCAAGATGGAGGGGCAACATGGCGACCGACTTACCCGTATGTATTTTCAATGGCATATTATACACTCACGAGAATAATTTATTACTTGAACGAAGTAAATATACATTAATGAGCACATATATTTGAAAGAACTAAGTGTTTTTAGCTAAGAATAAACTAAAAGAGTTACACGGTGTAGCTTTAAACTGTTTTTGAGAGACTATTAGAGTTGCACTTGGGAACAGTCTTACAAACCTTTTTGAATTCCATGTCCTATAAATTGCATACAGCAAGTGAAATGCATCCGTGTGAGTTTGAAACGAAGTGTAGCTAGCATGTTTTTGACCGCTGTTTTCTCACTTCATTCAGGCGGAAGGGACCTTCACGAAGAGCGCCATGGATAAGGTGCAGAGCAGCTACCTGCGATCGCTGCAGGAGATCGGGGAACTGTTGAAGAAGAGAGTGGACACATTAAAATCCCTCAAAATCTGAGCGCTCCATCGATCCACCATCCGATCCGGTCCCTGACCCGCACGGCTCCACGCGACGGCGTCCTCGGTCCCCAACTCAGTCTGTGAACTCAGCTGGTCGAGATCTCCCTCTCCTCCTATTTATCCGTCTCTTTACTCACGTTCAGATACAGGCACACTGTAAAGTTCAACAACGGCTTCAGCACAAGCATCTACGGTGCGCCCAGCGGCACTTTTAAATGGAAACGTAACTTGATATCCCTAGCAAAACTACATAGGCAAATGAATAAGCAATTTTAGAAGCACTGCTATAAATTATTGTACATAGTGTGAAGATAACGAATATCAACGAGAACTCCTTGGCGAATTAAAGTGAACTGCTTTGTCCTTTTGTCAATGTCTTGCGTTATTGTCTCTCTCACTTCCCAGTCCTAGACCGTAAGAAGCCAACTTCCAGACTGACGCACCGCGTTTATGTAGCCGATCGCGACGCACGACCAGCCGAGAGCTAAACTGGTCCCGAGGAGATTTCGGTGGGGTGGTGGTGCGAGTATCCGGATGCTTTGGGTGCTTCTATTATGATGTTTCTTTATATATTCCAAATGACTTTACTTGAGCCACAAGCGTTCGAAATGTAGCTTTCCCGGCGGTTTGTTCGAAATCGTTACCGTACGGTAATGAATACGTCAACGTAGCATTGAATGCTACTTGAACGACATGGTGGGGTTTGGGAAAGTTTGTGTACTTTGGTTAAAAAAATGATTGATGATGAGAAACAGTTATTCAATAATGTTTCAAAATTAATTTTCATGCTTGTGTCTTTGGTTGGGCCGAATTGTTTACTTTGAACTCTAAAAAATTGTTGATTGCACTGATGTCCCTTCAATGATGAGGTTTTATTGTTGCATACCAAAAACGTCTAAATTAGCCTTGCGTTACCGTCGCAGTAGAGACTAAGGTAGGTTTTTATATGACTGATTTGTTGGTGTCTACCGGGAAGTGCAACTTGTTTACAATGTTTCTGAGCGCCATTATGAATCATGTTTATAGCGTGTTATACGGTGTGCTGCAATCTACGAGCTTTCACTGCTTTATACCTCCTCGGGGAGGGAGGGAGGGATGATACTTTTCTCTTTTGTCAAGCTTTTTTATTTTAATCCAACTCAACGGGTTACAGGACAAGTTGTGCAGCGAGCGGCTCTTTCCATCGCTCCGGGACTGAAGGGCTCATTTCGCGTCCTCGCGGCCTCAAAGTACGAGGACGACAAGCGCTTCTGGACCGAGGAGGTCGGTTCGAGAAGTCAAGAGGTGGTTGGAAGCGTGTCGGCTGATAATCTTTTGTTAGGGAATTTGAGGAAATGCAAACAAAAACACTGGAATGTGAAAAGGAGTTTTTTTTTTTTTTTTTTTAAATAAAAAGTAAATGTTCCACATGCCGTGACTGCTTTCGATTTCTTGCACCCTGAAGCCATAAAATGTTTTGACTATGTATTATTTTTCACATAATCTTCATTATTGATATAAAATTACAAAAAGCAAGAAAATGCAGTGAGGAAAAAAAATCCTACTATGGAAATCAATGTCTACCGTCAACTTACTGGTTAACAACATTATACAAAATATCTTTTGTGTTCAACAGAAGAAAGAAATTCATGCTGGACATCAACATGGCGGTGAGTAAATGGCAAAATTAGAATTTTTGGGTAAACTGTCTCTTTAACACTCTTTAGCACCAAATTTGAGGAAAAAAGCAGTCACTTTTCATGAACAAACATGAATGATGCTCAGGCCAGTGTTTGTGTGAGAAAACGAACAGTATTTATATAGTTTTTACCTCTTGTTAACAGCCGTCGAACTGCTCTGAATCACATGTCCAACTGAACCGTATCCAGACGTTACGCCGGAAGTGATCTCTCGCGCGTCTACATCACGCATTGTTTACACGGAGATTTCGAAAGTTTTACCTTTCACTAAACATATTTAGATATACGGAAAATCGCAATGATTTCGATATATCTAAATATGTTTAGTGAAAGGCAAAACTTCCGAAATCTCCGTGTAAACAATGCGTGAAGTAGACGCCCGAGAGATCACTTCCGGCGTAACGTCTGGAGACGGTTCATTTCAGTTCTGTTGGACATGTGATTCAGAGCAGATCGACGACTGTTAATAAGAGGTAAAAACTATATAAATTCTGTTCGTTTTCTCACACAAACTGCCGTTTCGTGTCTTAGGCCATCAATGTGTACTTACATTCACGAGTCATAAATCATGTTTAATTTGGACTTCTCTGTGCATGCTCTTTGAGGTGGACCCCCTAAAACTGCATTAAAGGACTGACAGACAAGAACGGTTTGACCAAAAAATGTCAAAATTGAAAATGCTGTGGAAACAAAGACACCTACATCTTGGATGCCCGCCTTGAGGTAACGTAACGTTAAGCTAAAACATATCAAAAATTAATTTCAGTGAACTATCCCGTTAAAATCTAGTGACATATCAGGGAAAGTGTATGATTCATTGAAATACATATTTTGCTTACAGCTCCTTTAAATGATAAAAATGTCAAATTAAAACAAAGTAAAACACTAAAATGTTTTTGTTTTTTTATTAGTTTACCTCCGTGTCATGTGACCATTAACCATCATAAAAGATCCGTGAACTTAATTTTATTATCATCATCATTTTTGTCATAACTTATAAACTTAAAATCTCATGGAGTTCTTTTAGAAAATATCAGGACAAAGAGGTTCAGCTAACAACAACAAAAAAGAAATGACGTGAATTTGAATATGTTTGAAAGACAAAAGCCTTAGAGACATATAATACACGGTTACATGACTTACTGAATGATCATTTTGAATGATTTTTAAGTCACTGTTTGCAGATACCAGATGAATGAGTAGCACAGTGACTTCTCTTAAAAAAGCTTTTTTTTTCATTGTTAACTTTAAATAAAGCTCACTCTGAAATAAAAATGTTACAGCAACAAGCCATTTCCTCCCAAAAGTAGTTTATTTAGCGTTGCGAAGACATTTCTCCATTGACACCCATTCAAAACATGACCTTTTGTCTTAAACTGATGTGTCTCACCACACCTGCCTTTATTATAAGCGATTTAAGTAAGACTGATGCCTGTAGTCTATATAACTTGCTTTCTTGTGCGGCTTGTGTGCTGTGATGGAAAGCGAAGACTGACACAAGCAAGTGCTTTTATTTGTAGCTTTAACAGTTTGACAATCACAAATGTTTAGTTTGAGGCTTGTTAGATCTTTCCTATCAAAAGGTATTAATACACCAATCCCACACATCTGAAACCTATGAGAAGAAGGGTGTGGAAACCAATACAAAGAGTGACTGTTTAACTTTCTAAAAATAAGTGGGTGGATGTGTTGGATCGTAAAACATGACGAAGGCCGCTTGATTCTGTGCATCTGTGAACCAAATATGCAAACATCAAACATCTGAGAAGCGGACGAGCCCTTGCACTACAAAGACATTGTGTGGCACACCTGTGACCTGCGATGATGATAATACTGCGTGTAATGTGTTTCTGTTGGGGTGAATCTCATGAAAAATCTCATATTTCACATTGAATAAAAAAAAAAATTACATTTTGCATAAACTTAAAGGAGTAGTTCACTTAAAAAAAAAAAAAAAAAAAAAAAATTTGCTGATAATTTCCTCACCCCCATGTCATCCAAGATGTCAATGTCTTTCTTTCTTCAGTCGAAAAGAAATGAAGGTTTTTGATGAAAACATTCCAGGATTTTTCTCCATATAATGGACTTCAGTGGGAACCAAACAGTTCAAGGTTCAAAAGACTGTTTCAGTACAAACTGAAAACTGTTCAAAGCTTTAAACGATTCCAGATGATGAATAAGAGTCTTATCAAGCGAAACGATCGCTCATTTAATAAATAAATAACAAAGTTTAAGTTTTATAAGATCAAATGCTCGCCTTGCTCTGTTCTGTGATGCGCGTTCGTGACTCTCCTGTTCGAACTCGTTCATCAAAATGAACAAATCTTTTTTCGAGTCATTTGGTTCATTCAACGTATGAAATGAACGAACCGACTTGGAAAAAGATTCGTTCATTTTGATGAACGAGTTTGAACAGGAGAGTCACACAGAACAGAGCAAGGCGAGCATTTGTGCTTATAAAACTTAAACTTTGTTTTTTTGTTTTTTTAAATGATCGTTTCGCTTGATAAGACCCTTATTCATCATCTGGAATCATTTAAAGCCCTTTGAACAGTTTGCACTGAAACTGTCTTTTGGACCTTGAACCGTTTGGACCCCATTGAAGTCCATTATATGGAGAAAAATCCTGGAATGTTTTCATCAAAAACCTTAATTTATTTTCGACTGAAGAAAGAAAGACATGGACATCTTGGATGACATGGGGGTGAGGAAATTATCAGCAAAAGTTTTTTTTTTTAAGTGAACTACTACTCTAATGCAGCCCGAGTATTATTCATGATGATTAAACATCACCTCCTAAATTCTCACTGTAAACACATTTAATCTGAATTACTGTAATGCAAAAAATATTGTATATCACTATAGAATTTATTTCACCACTAAAGTAGCATTACAGATTTTTAGTTTATTTGGTTTAATGCAATAAAAGATACTAACAGAAATGAGTTTTGAGATGTAAAATGTAATGTTTTTTCCTCTCCAAGTGAAACATGAGATTCATCAGTCAGGGCTGCAGAAAGCAATATTCTCTCATTTCTACAAACATAAAGTAAAACCAAACAATGAACAAACTTCCAGAGTTATCCGCACGCTTTCGTGAATCTTGACATCATCCAGCTACGAGGACACTAAAATAATACGAAAATAAAAGAACAGCACTTTGTTTTTTCGTATAAAAAACAGCTCGAGCTCCATTTCTAAGCAGCACGGGTGTCCTCGCGTGAGACATTATGTAATATATTAAACTCCCTCAATCCCAAAGCAGCCTGTGCAACATGTTTCCTCCATCCGTTAAGCACCGAGTACACTAAACCCAGCGTCTTCGGCTACTTCCCCCTCTTGGATCGTCCTCTCCGGCCGAGTTTGCCGGAGCCGTGTGCCGAGGGCCCGGGCTGCGGGGGGGCAGGGGCCGCGGCGATGTTGATCTGGCCCTCCTGGATCTCCTGCCGGGTGTCTGCGGGCATGCGGTCGATCTGCTGCTGCGTCTCCAGGTAGAACATGACGTCCCGCAGCTGTTCCTGGAGCTCAGCGATCTGGCCTTCCTTATTGGCCGCGATCTCGTGACTCCGCCTCTCCTCCTCCTGCAGCTGCGACTGGAGCTGCGTCTGATTGGCTCGCAGGCATCGGTTCATCTCCTGCTCCTCACGCAGCTCTTGACCGAGCTTCACCACTTTGAGGTTCAGCTGGGAACATCTGACAGAAAAACAGCACAAAAAGCCTGTCAATAGTGTATTATATTACACAAATGTCATATTAAATATTAAAATGATGAATTGGCATTGTAGGTGACTCGATTTTCACAAACTTAACATGGTAATTTCCTCCCAAAAACTTTAACTTAAATACTTTCATTAATAAAATCCCGTTTTAAAATACTGTAAATAAAATCTTCCACTGTTTGAAGGAAATTCTTATTCATATTTTTATGTATTATTATTAGTGGTGTCAAATCGATTAATCACAACGCATTAACAATAAATATATATATTATGTTAGATGCAATGAATCGCGATTATTCAGTTTGATAGCTAATTATTATTGTAGAAGAAACATTAACTTGACTATATTTAAGTTTTATTTTAGTATTAGAGATAGCTTAAAGCTTGTTTCCGCCACTGAATAAAAAAAGAATAATAATTGCGACTTTTAATCTCACAACTGCAAGATATGAGGTCAGAAATGTGAGAAATAAAGTCGCAATTCTGAGAAATAAAGTTACAATAGCGAGATATAAAGTCGCGATTCTGAGAAATAAAGTCGCAATTGTGAGATATAAAATCAAAATTCTGAGAAATAAATTCACAATTCTGAGAAATAAAAACGCAATTTTGAGAAATAGTCGCAATTGTGAGAAATAAAGTTGCAATTCTGAGAAATAAAGTCACAATAGCGAGATATAAAGTCGCAATTGTGAGAAATGAAGTCGCAATTGTGAGATATAAAATCGAAATTCTGAGAAATAAAGTCGCAATTGCGAGAAATAAAGTTGCAATTCTGAGGAATAAAGTCGCAATTGTGAGAAAAAAAGTCGCAATTCTGAGAAATAAAGTCACAATAGCGAGATATAAAGTCGCAATTCTGAGAAATAAAGTCACAATAGCGAGATATAAAGTCGCAATTCTGAGAAATAAAGTCACAATAGTGAGATATAAAGTCGCAATTCTGAGGAATAAAGTCGCAATTGTGAGAAAAAAAGACAGAATTGAGACATTTTATCTTACAATTCTGAATTTTTGTCTCACAATTGCAAGTTTACATCTCACAATTCTGACTTTATAACACATAATTGCGAAATTTGAAATTCTGACATCTTTTCTCAGAATTGTGAGATATAAACTCGCAATTGCGAGTTATCAGGCCAATTCTAAAGAAAAAAAATGACAGAATAGTTTATATCTCACAATTCTACTTCACAACACACAATTTCGACTTTATATCATGCATTTCTGAGTTTATAATACGCAATTGTGACTTTATATCTCAGAAATAAAGTCAGAATTGCGAGATGTAAACTAGAATTGTGAGACAAAAAAGGTCACAATTACCTTTTTTATTTTTCATTCTGTGGCGGAAACAAGCTTCCATAATTAGTTTGTATTAATATTTTGAATATTACTTTTTATTTGTATTTTTTCCAGAAATAATTGTATTTTTGTGATTTTTTAAATTTATTTTGTTTATTTAAGTTAGTGCATCAAATTAAACTATGTCACCTTGCAGCCTATAGCTGAAAATAAATACATTCAGTTTGTTTTTTAGATCAAGTAATGAAGGTTTATTTAACAGTTTTAGTTTCAGTCAACTATAATAACCCAGTTACCGTCGTACATTTGTGTCTGGCCCGTAATAAAGAGACCTGAATGTTTTGCATGATAGTGATGTGAATGATGATGAAGTAAATTGTACTTTTTCTCGATGGATTGTTTTTCTTTAATGAGTTCGTTCAGTTTCCGCTCCAAACTGTCACACTTGTCGATCGTCTCCTTGAATTTGGCCTTCATGTTGTTGATCTAAAAGACACACACACACACACAGAGGAGCTCATTTGAGTAACTGCAGATTATTATGATTTTAAACAATGTTTATTATGGATTAGTATGGAAACGGTCCGGTTCTCACCTCCTCCGCTGTGTCTTTCTCCAGATGAACTATTTTATTCTCCCAGTAAATGCGCTGAGAATCCAGCTGGCTGGTTAATAAATATGAATACTATCGAAAAAAGATATTAAAAAACATTATAAGAGAAGCTGACAGAAGAGTACCCAACACAACACAACTCTCCACACAATATGTGGTTTACAGAGGCTCACCATACACGTAATGGTTTTTATACTGTACAAACTGTAGATTCTCTCCTATGTCTTTTAAGCCATTTGGTTTACAAGGACACAGGAAGTGTCCTCATAAACCATGTTTATGTTGTAATACCTATGTCATTACATACATTTACACACATAAACCATATATACAAGAACACACACACACCTCGAGCTGCAGCGCATCGATCTTCTCATCCTGACACGTGTCTCCTTCACACTCGTACTGCACCATCTTCCCGTCTGTTTTACTGGCAACAAGCCGGTGGACGTAGTTATCTGATCGATATAAAGACAGAATATTCAGAAACTATTTTGTAAAATGTTTAAAATGACAACATTAAGAGAGGATTCAAGTGAACATGAAACAACATTCGATGCATTTCACTTCCACACAATTTGACATTTTTGAGTGAAATATTAAAGTTGAACTATTATTCCCTTTTTCAAATTCAATGTTGTTTTTGTGCTCTACTAGAACAGGTTTTCCTGCTTGAATGTTCATTATTTTCCTCATTTTCTCCATTGTTGCGGCTCCTCTCTTCCCAGTCTGTCAGTAACGCTCTGTTTACTTCCTGTCTCTATGAAGCCCCCCCTTCTGTAAAGCACACTGTGCTCTGATTGGTTGACTGGATCAGTGTGCTGTGATTGGCCAACCATTACAAGTGTGTTTGGGAAATGTCCAGCCAGTTTAACACACTATTAACTAACTAAACCAGGCCCCGCCCCTTTATTCTGCATATTAATTATTTAAATGAGGAATATTGTGACGTGTTCGTTCCCGGAAGAAACTCGAGACTACAGTGGAGGCGTTTCATGAGTTCAGAAACACTGACACTGATATAGAGAAGAACTTTTTCATGTTCAAACACCAACATTACACACTAAAGCAAGATGAACATGTAAAAAGCATAATAGCACCCCTTTAATATGATTTTTTTAAGCAATACATTGTAGGCGGAATATGATTTTATCCATTTATAAAAGTAAAAAATTTTAATTTTAAAAGTTTCTAACTGAGTGTGTCCACTAAAGCGTTTCTTTCATGTGGCTATCATATTCTTTCCAATTGTTTTCACCACGTTTTTGAAAACGCAGGAGCGTAACGAGGCGTTGAGTGTATGTTTCACACTGAATCGCTCATTGCTCAGTGCTTTTTACCCGTCGCCGAGAGCTGATGAATGGGCAACATTTCTGGTAATAAGCAGCGCTCATCACTGTCACTTTTTACCCAGCCGTCCAATCACAGTGGAGAAGGGGCGGGACAAACCGCCACATTCTGCTTGTAAAACATCAACAGATGACAACAAGAAGCATAATAACGAAACAAAATAATTTACAAGAGCCAGAGAAAGTACTTTGCATTGTATTCAAATTGTATATAGAAACAACAGAAACAATTTATCTGTAAAGCAGATTTATCTAATTTATCATAGCAAGCAGAGTCTTAACTGACACGCTCTCAAGCGCCCAAAGCGAGCTGGCTAAAAACGCTTTGGTGGACACGCGGGCTAATCTGATTGGACGAGTGTTTAAGAATGTGAAATAATGGTTATTTTCAAACATGTGACCGCACATCAATTAAATCATGTATTATTGATTTATTGCCAGCCACTTTTGAATCTCTGGGATCTATGCTCCTGATCTGGGACGTCACACACCTCCAGCGTAGTCCCAGACCCTGTGATTGGTCAGCTGCATGGCGTAAGTGTGCTGCGTCTCCTCGAAGTGCTTGTAGGCGTGACGGCTAATGTAGCGTCCGCAGCCGATGTGACCGCAGATGAGACAGATCCACAGGTTCTGGGAGAGATTAGCACATATACATGTCAAATATAATACAAGCAGGGAGTAAAGTTCACTTTAAAAAAAAACTCTTGCTGATAATTTACTCACCCCCATGTCATCCAAGATGTCCATGTCTTTCTTTCTTCAGTCAAAAAGAAATTAAGGTTTTCGATGAAAACATTCCAGCATTTTTCTCCATATAATGGACTTCAATGGGGTCCAAATGAGAGTTTCAGTGCAGCTTCAAAGGGCTTTAAACGACACCAGACAATGAATCTAGTGGACTCTTATCAAGCGAAACGATCGGCCATTTCAAAAATAAATAAAAAAGTTAAAGTTTTATAAGCACAAATGCTCGGCTTGTGCTGTTCTGTGATGCGCGTTCGTGACTCTCCTGTTAGAATCTTTTTTCGAGTCATTTCGTTCATTTTGTTCGTTGAATGAACCAAATGACTCGAAAAAAGATTTGTTCATTTTGATGAATGAGTTCGAACAGGAGAGTCATGAACGCGCATCACAGAACAGAGCAAGGCGACCATTTGTGCTTATAAAATTTTTCATTTATTTTTGAAATGAGCGATCGTTTCGCTAGATAAGACCCTTATTCATCGTCTGGAATCGTTTAAAGCCCTTTGAAGCTGCACTGAAACTCTCATTTGGACCTTGAACCGTTTGGTTCCCATTGAAGTCCATTATATAGAGAAAAATCCTGGAATGTTTTCATCAAAAACCTTAATTTCTTTTCGACTGAAGAAAGAAAGACATGGACATCTTGGATGACATGGGGGTGAGTAAATTATCAGCAAAATTTTTTTTTTTTAAAGTGAACTACTCCTTTAACTAAAAAAAAAAAGATCAACATTTCTGTTGATTGAAATCAAGCTAAAATAAAATATAAATATTAGAAAATGTGAAATGTTGCCTTGGCAATAAACTGAAATCATTTTAAATTGAAGCAGTATAATTATAACCTGGAAATAAATAAAAAATAAAACTGAAAAAAAAAACTAAATAGCAATATTTAAAAAATAATTAAATAATTAATTAATTAAAAACGAATAAAATGACAAAACAAACTGACTAAAAAATGTACTAAATTGAACATGAAACTGTTATATAACTAAAAATATATAAATAAAGGATAAAAGTGAAATAAAAACTGAAATGGCACGTGTGTGTGCGCAAGATAGACTGCAATTAACAATTATTATGATAATCAATAAATGACTTTAATTTTACTAATTTTTTTTATTTTATTATGATTTAAAAAACCCTTTTTCATTCATTTCAGGTTTCATTAAATAACTACATTAGTTAACAATACATCTAAATCATTTATTAAAATTATTTTGAATCTCTAAATGTATTTACTAATACATTTTTAAGATTAAAAGTTGTATTGATTAACATTAATGCAGTGTTAGTCCATGATAGTTAATGCATTAACTAATGTTAACAAGTTATTCCATCCATACAGTGCGCAAATATGTTGCTTTTATGGATTATGTGCAAAATTAAAACCATCACATTCTAAAACTTGCCCACCGTAATAAAGTAACATAAGTAACATAAGCACTGACTAAACCTATGACCCATTACAACAGTCCCTTCATATTTAGTCATAAAAATACAACAACATGTGTTAAATGTTCATGCATCTAATGCCTTGTTCACACTACATGAATTTAAAATGTTGGGCTGAACTGTGCAGTTTACACTACATGACTTGCTCTCAGTGAAATCATGAGTGTTCAAGTTGTTTAGCTGTTCACACCACACAACACAACGTGATTGATCCACAACAGGAGGTAACTCACTACACGAGTTAACAACGCACTACACAGAGATACAACCACGATCGGATGATAAGAGCATATCATTTGTGACTTAATGAGAGCTGTTTCAGTACTATAGTACGGTCTAAATCCTGAAAATAATCAAACAAATAACGAGTTGACAACAACACGATTCTATCTGGTCTAGAAACCATGTTTTGTAACGAAAAACCACGCAATAAAACGAACCAGAAATGACGCGAAACTGCAGAGAAAAACACAACGCGAATACGGACGTCAGACAGAAACTAGTGCTGCACACTGTTTGCTCGACGATCTGCTCTGAGAAAAAAAAATGCAAAAAAGAAAAAGTAAGATTTACCTGGTGTCCTCAACCCATGCGTTGCTATGATTGGCTGTACTCATGACATCACTGAGATTGAGTCGCGCGACTGCTCGAGATATCTAGCATGCTAGATATTTTTCTGAGCTCGGTGACCTGTCTGCGAGGTGTCTGCGAGCTGTCTTTGATGCGTTGTTGGCTCTTTCACACTAACTGATTGGCGAGCGTTAATCGTCCGCTAATCGCCCACGATTTGCACGCGATAACACCCTGACTTGTCGGCGACTCAACGATTTGCAAATCGGGCTTAAATCGGGCTTAAAATCACGTAGTGTGAACTAGGCTTAATGTGCAACAAAATGCATATTTAACACAGCAGAATTGTGAGTATGAATGTAAAGTATTGCCATATTTAGGATAAGTTTAATGAGATGCAGGATTACTCCGGTGTGTTACCTCTTGCACTCCACACTCGAAACACTTGTTCTCCTCCACGGGTTCAGGAGTCTGACAGTATCTGCACACCGGACACCTGAGGAACAAGCAAATCACAAACATCTCCCACTCATTGGTGCATCAAATATTGAAGAATATTTAATAGGGCTGGACAGACATCAATTTCAGGATTCAATTTTGATTCACATGCCTGCGATTCGATTAGGATCTTGATTCAATTTAATATGCATTTGGACAGTTACAGTATTATGTCATTTTTCTTAAGGACAAAAATCTCTTTCAACTATTGTTATAAACTATACAGGAAACGGGTCATTTGGTTCATTGCTTTATTATTCTAATATATTTTATATTATTTATATAAATATTCATATTATAATAGGAGGTTATACTGTATATTACAATAATGGTGATTTGTATACAAACATTTAAATTGAGCCATTTTTAATAATAATAATAATAACTTTTTAATAATATGATTGTTTGTTCACCAATTCGTTTTTTTTTTTATTATGGATTTATTTATTTATTAAAAAAATATAGTAGTGGTCAAAAGTAATGTTTGATTAAACCATCAAAATATGAGAAAATGTTTTATATTTTTTAAATATTTTAAATATGGGGAAAGAACAAAACACTAAACTTGGTTTAGGTACTTTACTGTATCTGTCAAAATTATTTGACCCAAAAAAAGGCAAACTACAGGTTTTATTTTACTAAAAAGATGCATAGAAAGCATATATTAACATAATCAGTTATTAATATTCTCTCTTGTTTTTGTTCTTTTGTCAGGTCAAAATTTATGTCAGCACAATTTCATTGCGTTATCTCAAATAAAACAATCGACTTCGAGCACAACTACACAATATGCTTACAATAACAGATTTTTAATAATATTTTAATAAAATGTGATGTAAATTTTCTGGGGCTGTGAAACGATTAATCGCGATTAATCGCATTCAAAATAAAAGTTCGTGTTTACATAATTATGTGTGTGTAGTGTGTATAATTATTTTATATATATAAATACACAAACATGCATGTATATTTAAGAAAATAAATGTGTTATTAATAGATCAAATATTTATATTTATGTATAATATTAATTTTGTATAAATGTATATAAAGTATATACATGCAAATATTTCTTAAATATATACATGCATGTGTGTGTATTTATATATACAAAATAATTATGCACACTACACACACATATATTATGTAAACACAAACTTTTATTTTGGATGCGATTAATCACGATTAATCGTTTCACAGCCCTAAAATTTTCCTAGGCATGACATCACTTTTGACAGGTTAAGTAAAAATATGATGAATGTGTAATGAAATTTATTAGATGGGAGGCGCCATAAAGTTTAGTTCCGTCAGATTTAAATATTCTTCGAATTTAAGAATCGATATCGGTTCATCAAAATGAGAAACGGTAAATCGATACTTTCAACCCAGCCCTAATATTTAATATGTGTAACAGGATGTGTTAGGGAGTGTGTTCACATCACTAACTCAATGTAAAAGCATTAGTAATAGTGATGCGTGGATTAACAAACACCACTAATAATATCTTGACCTACATTTCATGCCCTAATCATCAGTCTAATCCATCATAATTTCCCTCTGAATATCATTTCTCTCAGAAATACACTGGTTAAATTCATGTACGTGTCAATTCATGTGTGTTAACACTTCAACCTGAAACCAAACCAGTAGTTTCCACTCCCATTGTGCTAAGGAAATGTGACATTGTGACTTTCATCTCAAAGGTCAGAGGTCAAATATGACAATTACACACAACAACAAGAATAGAGAACAGCCCAGCAAACTTATCACGTCAGTGAAGAACCAGGACGAAAAGATTAAAAGTGACGCACGTAAATAACAGAAGACAGTGAACGGCGTGTAAACACCGCGTCACATGAGAAGAATGTGTCACTGGAGAAGGGTGTGGATGAAATACTTCAAACTAAATACGGGAAAAATACTCCCAAAGTTACTATAAAGTCTACTTCATTTAATACAATTCACAAGAATTATTATTATTTTTATTTTATAACTTAGTGTTTACTTTAGGTAATTAAATGTAAAATAAAATTTTCATTTAAAATTAAAAACATTAAATCTTTAAAAGTTACTATAAAAATTACTTAATTTAATAAAATAAATTATAAAGTTTTTTTTTTTACTTTTTAACAATTTTACATTAAAAACATTCAATTTAATTTAAGTTACAATAAAGTCTTTCTTTCTATATATATATATATATATATATATATATATATATACATGTGTGTTGCTTGCAACATACTAAGGAAGAAACAATATCTATAAAAACTTATAAATCATAATTGAAATATGTCCGAAAAGGAGCGGGGTGAAGCAGAAGATACGGAATTTTCTGTAATAAAATACTAATTTATAATAATAATATGAATTTTTATTTTATATTTTAACTTGGTGTTAACAATTAAATATAAAGTAATTTTATTCACTACTTTATTATTGTAATTTTATTTAAGTCAAATTTCTTAAAGTTACTACAAAGTTTACTTAATTTAATCAAAAAACATTTCGGAATAATAAAGTTGTTTTACTTAATAACGTATTGATAACTGTAAATAATGTAGGACGGGAAATTAATGATAATATTTAATAATAATTTTCCCAACTCAAACCGCCTTGGATTAAAAATGTAAACGAAAATGGAAATGAATCTTTATAATAATCTAAATGGTAGCGTGAGTTTTGCTTTGGCGGTGTTTGTGAATGACAGCACTCACGTGGCATCCTCCCATCTCTGCAGACACTGGCTGTGAAAGCTGTGGTTACACAGGGTGGTCAACACACCGTTCACGGACTCGTCCATGCGCTCCAAACACACCGTACACTTGGGCAGCTCTGTCAGGTCCATCACGGGCAAACTGGCACCCTGGTTTATAATGAAGAGTTTGAGATCATTCAAAACATTCCAGAACGCTGCCGCTATTGTTGTGCATGTAAATCAGTGCTGGAAACACACGTGTGTGAATGTGTGTGTGTTTAAAACAGCTAGTCAACAACAAAAAAGGTTAATCCTGGTCACTCAAGCAATGCATGGGCCTACAATAGTGTTCAACAAGAGTGGAAAAGTCGATTGTTTTGAGATTACCAAGTATAGTAACACTTAGTGTTAACGGTTTGTTGGAATCACAATAGTTGCTTGCTTTAGTAAACGCCCCTCGCCGTACCTCTTCAGATTTGATGACTTCTGCCCGCTCCACATACACTAACTGGCAGACCGCATCCTCAATGGAGTTGAACTGACGGCCGTTGCTTGTTGTGTAGAAGCTGTCGGCATCGGCCTAAAGACATTAAAAACAATGAAACTTTAAACATCAACAAACTTCAGCAAGCTCATTTTGAGGTGATTTTGCAAATCATGTGGGAAAATGTTTTAAAAATTTCTCACTTTAAAAATAGTAAAAATTACATCTTTAAACTTCTATTTTTCTGTGGGAAAAATTCGAAGTAGCTTGAATGCAACTTCCCACCCTTGCTTAATTTAGTATACGTGGGTGAATATGCAAATTATCCCCGCCTCCACTCACTCACTCACTAGTAAACGCTACACGATGACAAGTGGAAATACTAGTTTAATTCAGCCATGCATGTTTGAACTAGAAACATATTCAGAAGAAGAATAGTGAATTATACACGCTCGTCTACAAGTCCATGTACTGTATTAGAAAGTTAATGCGTTTTATGCAATTTTCGACAATCTTTCTTTCTAAATTTTCATCGGTAATGATATGATTTCTTTTTTTATGTTAAAGGAGGAGTTCACTTTTAAAAAAAACTTTTGCTGATAATTTTCTCACCCCCATGTCATCCAAGATGTCCACGTCTTTCTTTCTTCAGTCGAAAAGAAATTAAGGTTTTTGATGAAAACATTCCAGGATTTTCTCCATATAATGGACTTCAATGGGGTCCAAACGGTTCAAGGTCCAAATGAGAGTTTCAGTGCAGCTTCAAAGGGCTTTAAATGACACCAGACGATGAATAAGGGTCTTATCTAGCGAAACGATCGGCCATTTCAAAAATAAATAAAAAAAGTTTAAGTTTTATAAGCACAAATGCTCGCCTTGCTCTGTTCTGTGATGCACGTTCGTGACTCCTGTTCGAACTCGTTCATCACAACGAACAAATCTTTTTTCGAGTCATGACTCGAAGGGTCCTAGATAAGACCCTTATTTATCGTCTGGTGTCGTTTAAAGCCCTTTGAAGCTGCACTGAAACTCTCATTTGGACCTTGAACCGTTTGGACCCCATTGAAGTCCATTATATGGAGAAAATCCTGGAATGTTTTCATCAAAAACCTTCATTTCTTTCCGACTGAAGAAAGAAAGATCTGGACATCTTGGATGACATGGGGGTGAGTAAATTATCAGCAAAAGTTTTTTTTTAAAAGTGAACTACTCCTTTAACGACTGTTTATTGATTTTTCTTTTTAAGGTCAAGAAATACAAAAATACAAAGCAAAAAGCAACTATACAGGTAATACTGATTACATAAATGTTAGCACTCTTTAATATGGCGTGATAGATCACTGTAGCCGCCTCAGGATCACACACACGTGAACCGATCTTCTCATCTCCTCTTAACTACTAGTTCCAGCACTAAATAAATATGACAGTAAGTTGAAAGACACATAATTAAAATACCGAAGTGAATCCTGTCTTATGAAATCACTCAATCAGAGTTTCAACCAGGGAAAGACGTTAATAAAACAGCTTGTAGGATATATATCACTATAATGTCACTACAATTTTACAATCACCTCAAGAAAGCTATTCAATCTCCATAAACTCATTAGTCAACTAGAAAAAAAATCTCTCTAAATATCTCATTTTGCTAAATATATGCACTGCATATGATATTGTGTGCATATATAATTAACTAATTGATTTATTTTCGGTTTTGGTTTTCGGCCAAATGCCTTCAGAGCATCACTAGGTGTTGACTGATACATTTGCACATGGTTTGTCTTAAAGGTAGGGTAGGTAGTTTTTGTCTAAAAAAAAATTTTCCCCAAATTTGTTTTAACTGTCTTTATATATCAATGCATAATTAAAATGTAAGTACTCTGAAAATGAGATTACAAAAATCGAGTGTCTGTAGTCCTCTCAGTGCTGCAATAAACACAGCTCATTATTCCATTTACTCCCACCCCCTTCCAAAGCCACGCCCCCAAAACACATAAACGCGCGATGCCGACCGCGGCTCAGTCAGCTGGAGGAGGACATGTTTATATCGATACTGGTAAAGTTTAAAATATATTGAGTTTGATTCGGTAATGAGCTAGTAAAATAAGGCAAAGCTATAAATAGCTTCACTGATTCGCTGACTGCATATGCAGGTACTGAGAATTGTGACCGCTCTTTCTCTACCATAATTGTTATTTATTACTAGCTTCCGTCCGTGCCTCTTCACCTCCTCGAGCCAAACGTGTGCGCGCATGTGGGCGGCTCCTAAAGCAGCAGGGGTGGTAGCCATGGTAGCAAGGGAGAGTGACAGACGCCCAGCCAATCGTTTAATTCATCCCGAATGGAATAATGAGCTGTGTTTATTGCAGCACTGAGAGGACTACAGACACTCGATTTTTATAATCTCTTTTTCAAAGTACTTACATTTAACTAGGCATTGATATATAAAGACAGTTTAAACAAATTTGGGGAAACGTTTTTTAGATGGATGGATGGATGGATGGATGGAAGGAGGAATGAATGGAATGGATGGATTGATGGATGGATGGAACAATTGATAAAACAAAAGAAGAATAGATGGATGGATTGATAGATGGATGGAAGGAAGGAACAATGGATGGATGGATGGAATGATTGATAGAACAAAAGATGAATAGATGTATTCAAATGGATGGATGGATGGGTGGAGGAAATGATTGATGGATAGATGGATGGATGGATGGATGGAACAATTGATAGATGGATAGATGAAATGAGGAGTGGATTTATTGATGGATGGATTGATGGATGAGGAATGGATGGAGGGAGGAATGAATGGAATGGATGGATTGATGGATGGATGAAACAATTGATAAAACAAAAGAAGAATAGATCGATGGATTGATAGATGGATAGATGGATGGATGGATGGAAGGAAGGAACGGTGGATGGAACGATGGATGGATGGATGGAATGATTGATAGAATAAAAGATGAATAGATGGATAGATTGATATATGGATGGATGGATGGATAGAACGACTGATAGAACGATAGATGGATAGATGAATTGAGGGATGGATGGATGGAGGAATGGATGGATGGGTGGAGGAATTGATTGATGGATGGATGGATGGAACGATTGATAGATGGATAGATGAAATGAGGAATGGATGGAGGAGTTGGTTTATTGATGGATGGATGGATGGATGGAGAAATTGATTAATGGATAGATGGATGGACGGGTGGGTGGAGGAAGGGATGAATTGATGGATGGATGGATGAATGGATAGATGGATCGATGGATAGATGAAATGAGGAATGGATGGAGGAATGGATTTATTGATGGATGGAGAAATTGATTGATGGATAGATGGATGGAATGATTGATAGAACGATAGATGGATAGATGAATAGAGGGATGGATGGATGGGTGGATGACTCACCTGACTCCTGAACTTGACCAACACCATGTACTGGTTGGGCGTGGAGTCTCGGATAATCTTCATGTGCTCCATGACGTCATTGAAGGGAGCCACAAACCTCATGAGGTCATGGCTGGTCATGGTGGTCGGGACAGTAAGAACACACAGCATCGCACTGCGCCTCACGTCCTCTGTGAGTGACGTCATCTTACTGTCCATACAACATCACACAAAACCAAGTCAACAATGCAACAAAGTGTCTTTTGTGTCTATTATCTAAACTTATACACAACGAATTGAGGCACCATGTAAATAACTAGGTCTATATAAAAAGTACCGCAGTACCGTAGAGAGTATTACTATTAGCCACAATAGATAGAACGACAGACAGAGAACGATAGATAGATAGATAGATAGATAGATAGATAGATAGATAGATAGATAGATAGATAGATAGATAGATAGATAGATAGATAGATAGATAGATAGATAGATAGATAGATAGACTAACTTAGTCTTATAGAGGTGCATGATGCCGTGGACGATCTCCACCGACGGGTTCCCGCTGAAGAAGGAGATCTGGTCCGGCAGCTGTTTAGAAGGAGAGTCTGGTGTCGTGCTCTCGCTCGTTTCATCTTTGGCATGTTCGTTTACGTCTCCGCTGGACTTCAGATCTTCTTTCCCTTCCTCAGCTCCTGATGGAAGAAAACACAGTCCGTTTACTCACTAACAGACTGGTGTTGGAGTGACGTGTGATTCAACTCGAGGTTCTGTGGCGTGCCGACTGGATCGGCTCCATTCCTAGAGCTTCCGAACAAATCATTGAGGACTGATGGGGCGGTGAACCCGAGGTGACCCGTGATCAGTCCTAGAGCTCCTCCTGTCCGGTTTTAGGGGAAAAATAGGTCCAATAGGTGCGCCGCAAGAACACCACAGACACAGTGTGATCAACATGGGGAAATCTCAGAGTAAAACTGGGAGTTATGAAAAATATGATATACCAGTGTTTTACCAGATGATCATCTTTATCTATCTAACTGTTTTAATTTTCCGTGCTTTTATTTTGTGATTATTTCAATTCCTTTCAGTAAAGCACGAAATGTATGAAATGTGCTACATAAATAAACTTGGTGTCGGTGGAAGCGAGGAACTCACTGACCTGAACCTGCGCTGGGCTGGAAGGTCTCGATCACCATGTCGCTCATGACGCGGCTGCCCAGATGCTGGTGGAGGATCGCTGATCGCTCCACGTCTGTTCTCCCGTCCAGCGTCACTCTGGCGGAGACCAGAGCTTTCTCTCTCATCTCGTCCTCCGACATCTCTGGTACTGTGGGACACGTGACACCAGTAAAAAGCAGCAGCCCGACTCAACATAAAGACATTCTAGAAACAAGCTCAAACACACTGAGGGTGTCAATGCTCTCTGTGACATTCAGATGCATCGTGGGATTAATTAAATCAGAAAACCATGATATTCAGCATCTTGTCACGTGCTTCTCTTGTATCTGTGCTATTCTCTTAGCTCAGGTCAGTGATGCTCTGAATTATATGGCTAGTGTTTATATGTATTTATGCATGGTGTGTTGTATGATTACACTAACCAGATGGTTATATTTAATATATACCATGTCACTTTAAGAACAATAATATGTACATTGCACTTTCCTTCTTCTAATATTACCGTGGTAAGTTGTTATATATCCTAAAACATGATAATATTAATACTTTTGTATACAACCATGATTGATGATATGTGAATATAGCCATCATTCAGTGCCACGGTAAAACAAAGTAAATGTCCGTTATGTAACAGTAAACGAGTGAAACTCACCGGCACAGTATTGAAAACCCTGCGGGGAATCAGACTGATCAGCGAGCTCGAGTCTGATGACAACCAGAGACACACTCATGTGTTCAGAGGATCAACAACTGACAATAACAACACGAGCTCATCAAACACGACACGGAATCAAACACAAGATTGTACACGTATTAAAGGAGTTTCGTCAGAATCGTATGCCATTAACGCTCAATAGAATTATGCTTTATTATTAGAAGAATAAACGCCTGAAAACAACAATGACGTTTGATAACCAACGATAATTACTGCGTTACTTCCGGGGTCAAGGGGATAATTTCAAAACAAAAGCCCTTGTATAATTCTTGGTAATTTATAATAAGAGACAAACAACCAAGGCTTGTGAATAATATAATGTTAAAAATATTTAAATGTGTCATATATCGTTGTATATTTATGATTATGCTTGAGAACGAAAGAGCGTTTATCCCGGGGGCAAGAGGGATTTCAAAACAAAAGCCCTTGTATAATTTTTGATCATTTATAATAAGAAAAAGTAACGATTTGTCAATGATATAATGGTTGTGGTTGGATATAATGAGATATAATGGTTGGTATATATAATATAAATAATCAAAATAATCATATTCTATATACATATATACAATTAAAGTCCCAATTAAATCAATTGTTTTTTTATTTTTTGGCTTTCAGTAGCCTATTACGGAGCCCCTCTAGTCCCACTTTGGTAAAAAAAAATTAATTATAACTATCTTGTGGCCTCAAGATAGTAACTCGTGGCCACAAGATAGTAACCCGTGGCCACAAGATAGTAACTCGTGGCCTCAAGATAGTAACTCGTGGCCACAAGATAGTAACTCGTGGCCTCAAGATAGTAACTCGTGGCCTCAAGATAGTAACTCGTGGCCACAAGATAGTAACTCGTGGCCTCAAGATAGTAACTCGTGGCCTCAAGATAGTAACTCGTGGCCTCAAGATAGTAACTCGTGGCCACAAGAAAGTAACTCGTGGCCTCAAGATAGTAACTCGTGGCCTCAAGATAGTAACTCGTGGCCACAAGATAGTAACTCGTGGCCTCAAGATAGTAACTCGTGGCCTCAAGATAGTAACTCGTGGCCTCAAGATAGTAACTCGTGGCCTCAAGATAGTAACTCGTGGCCTCAAGATAGTAACTCGTGGCCTCAAGATAGTAACTCGTGGCCTCAAGATAGTAACTCGTGGCCACAAGAAAGTAACTCGTGGCCTCAAGATAGTAACTCGTGGCCTCGAGATAGTAACTCGTGGCCACGAGATAGTAACTCGTGGCCTCAAGATAGTAACTCGTGGCCTCAAGATAGTAACTCGTGGCCTCAAGATAGTAACTCGTGGCCTCAAGATAGTAACTCGTGGCCTCAAGATAGTAACTCGTGGCCACAAGATAGTAACTCGTGGCCTCAAGATAGTAACTCGTGGCCACAAGATAGTAACTCGTGGCCTCAAGATAGTAACTCGTGGCCTCAAGATAGTAACTCGTGGCCTCAAGATAGTAACTCGTGGCCTCAAGATAGTAACTCGTGGCCTCAAGATAGTAACTCGTGGCCACAAGATAGTAACTCGTGGCCTCAAGATAGTAACTCGTGGCCACAAGATAGTAACTCGTGGCCTCAAGATAGTAACTCGTGGCCTCAAGATAGTAACTCGTGGCCTCAAGATAGTAACTCGTGGCCTCAAGATAGTAACTCGTGGCCTCAAGATAGTAACTCGTGGCCACAAGATAGTAACTCGTGGCCACAAGATAGTAACTTGTGGCCACAAGATAGTAATAGCAAGATACCTATGAATTTGTTAGTGTGCTCCAAAACAATGACAAAATTTGAATTTAGAAGATATAAGCCTTCAAAACTTACAGTCTCTCACTACTTTTAAAGAAACTTTGTCAGCAAGATGGTAGAAAACTGTATATTTATTGTCTACCACCATGGACTGTAAAGTCTACCACCCACAGCTACTTATGCCAACGACAGAAATGAGCTCAGTTACAAATATAGCCAAATATATGGGAGAGCGTTGCTATATAGAGTGATGATATTGTATTACAATTTATATATAGCACTTCAAAGTCAATAGCAAATCAAAACTAGTTAGCACATCCTTTGTAATTGAAAATGTTTAATGACAAAATATGGTTACGGTTACCAGAGAGAGAGAGAGAGAAGAGGAGGTAAAGTGAGAGCACCAAGAAAGGGACCCCAGAGAATAAAAGAGAGCCAGAGCAACAGTTACGATCTTATTTTATCCTTTCCTCAGACCATGACTAAAACCCAAAATGTGCCAATCAAATAATTACAACTTCCCCCGCGGTACTAAAGTTGTGACAATTTCATCTCAAGGATAGTCTAACTAAGGGAAAACATTCCCTTACAATTTATACATTTAGAGGGGAGGAGTTTACATGGTGGGGGGAGAAACTGAAACAAAAGCAAATGTATATGATTCAACAGGCACCTCAGTTCATCAGCATAGCAGTTTTCTGTGCCTTGAGATGCTAATCTGGAGGAGTTACATTGAGGAGGAGTCTCTTGAAACAAAGCAAATGTAAATGATTCAGCAGATCACCAGAGACGCTAATCTAATCAGTCTGACCAGCGTGGTCACACTTTTACCATTACAAAAGCAAAGCTGAAACTTGAACTTAATGGCCAGGAAGTACATAAAGACAAAAGCTAATGTGTGACACCTGGAATGCTTGGCTTAATCTTATTGGCCTCAAAATGGTAAACACTCACATTTTTCAGTTGAAAATACGGTTAAACCTTTATGAAACATTTAATAAATTTGTATTCCTTCACTGACCACTGTTGATATGCTACATTTATACTTTAAAACTTTTAAGCTACACTGTGTGATTTTTACCTCCATCTAGCGGTGAAAAGGTATATGATCATCCAGTGAATATTAGTTTCTGTTCCTCTCAATTCCGATTTCGTTTTAACTCCTACGGTGGCCAATGTAGTCCAAGATTAACATGGCTTCCAGTTCGACCTCGTCCATGACTGTTAACTCAAACCTAAAGCTTGAATTAACGGGTATGTCCCTCTTTGGCTAATGTACTTTCAAGATGGAGGGGCAACATGGCGACCGACATTAGAACCCCTTACCCGTATGTATTTTTAATGGCATATTATACAACGCAAGAATGCTTTATTACTTGAACGAAGTAAATATACATTAATGAGCACATATATTTTTGAAAGAACTAAGTGTTTTTAGCTAAGAATGAACTAAAGGAGTTACACCGTGTAGCTTTAAGATAAACATTTTTGATGTTTTCCAAGAAACACGTCGTTCAACCCGGAAAGTAAAAGTTGCGCACCAGTTGGTTTGAGCTTGAGCTTCTTATCAGATTTTCTGTCCAATCAAATGCTCTCTAGAATCTGAAGCTCCACTATAAATAGACGCAGAAGCTGCGGCTGAAATCGGTCACTCTTCACACATTTTCAGTTTTCTACATGGTGAACGGCACAGAGTGCACTATATAGGGGATAGGGAACGATTCAGATATGCTTTTATTGAGGCGAATGAAGTCTGATTTCGCGTTAGTGTCACGCAAACCGCCACAGCTCCGGTCCAGAGACACGACAGCACATCACATGACCTGCATTTGAAGTGAACTCTACACTGAATGCTAAACTTTAACGTGAAATGGAGGAGATTAGAAGGTGAAACGGTTAAAGATTAGAAGGAAACTGCTTTACCGAACTCAACGGCTCTGGCTGAGCTGTGATATAAACTAAACACCATTGGCTATTTTTAAAAAGGGGAGGAGCTGTTTGTGTGTCTTCCTGTTTCAGTGGAAATTAGGCCAGCACACACTTCAGTGGGACTTTAAATTGAAATTCAGTTTATGTAAATTTAAGCATCAACACAGCATACAGAAGTACACATACTTAAAAAAAAATGCTTGTAAAAATTCAAGACGTTCTAAACATTCTAAAAAATGTTACAGTGAAAAACTGCAACACACCCAAGATATGAAAACTCTCATAAAATCTTCTCTCCATCTAATCTATGAGGTTATGTTGTAAGGTGTAAAAGTGCTGCTTTATTTGCATAGTCACATTCTCTGTAACTCTAAACCACCAAACTCCACCCTGATAAACAGCAGCTCACACACACACAGTCATCTGGTACAAACCCTCACGAAATCCTCCACAATGCTTCATAAAAGACATGAAACAAAAACTCTGCTGCTTACGTAAACCTACACACGTGCACTGGATTCAATTACTCGACTTTCCACCAACAACATTGCAACTACAATTCAACTTCCCTTTCTTTCTCAGAGATGACGTACAATGAAGTAAGCTATTTTTAAACCCACAAAGGTGCACCAGAAGTGTGTTTCTTTAGGTGCGTTCCATTCGACAGGGTCCCTACACAAGTGTTCACTGCTCCCTACTCCCTGAACACGATATATCAGTTGAAGTGGACTTCATTGACTTTCTGTGAAGTGATGTATCAATGTTCCCTTATTCCCTATGCCGTTTGTAGTGCCCTTCGAACTGTACATGTTCGTTCCCTTCGAATTGGAATCTCACTTAAGATGGCAAAATACCCTGTGAAGTCCACTTCACAGTCCACTTACTTACGGTTGAATGGAACGCACCTTTTCTATCGTGCTTGATGGAGGAACTGTGAGGGGGGTGTGGTTTGGTCGAGAGGATGGTCTGACTGTGATAGATAGAGGAGGAGCTGAGCGCGTTCTCGTGTTAATGCTCGTCTGGCTGACTGTGGGGAAAGTCGCCTCCTCTTCCTCTCCTCTCCTCATCAGTTACGCTTCTTGAGGAATTTGATATTTCAAAACCACACTCCAGCTGTTATTCAGAGTGTTTACTGAAGGTAAGCCAACTCCATTTGTATAATGCGTTTGGCCCTACTCAAGTTTTATATGTCTTCCTGTTGCATCTGATAGCAGTATTGCAGTAACCAGTGCAGCTGAAGCAACTGTCTCCTCTTGCTGAACTTCCTTTATTTAAGTGGTCTTTGCAAACGCACTTAAGAGCTGTGGGAGACGTCCAGCTTGCAACTTGATCCGAAGCAGTGTTTTTACCCCTGTTCTCCTAAAGGGGTGTGTGGAAAGGATTTCCAGGAAGGAAACCACATCTTTTTTTCCAGGAAAAGCAGAATGTGTGGAATGTTGTACCTATAACGTTTGTGTTTAAATATACCGTTTTCACAAGTTTTAAGGTGAAACACACATTTCTGCAGGTTTCATTGTTGGGGCAAACAGAGAGAAGCCTCTTAGGAGCAAGAATCTGCACGATTTGTCATTTGATACTTGATGGTCAGACAATAGTATGCATTTTCATGAAAGTGAGCTCTTTTGTTGGTTTTGTTGCAGATGAAACTTGTTTAAATGGAGTATAATTTGCATGTGTGTAGTTGTAAACGCTATGACTTTCAGCTTCCACTCGAGGTGAATGCAGCTGGAAAATAATGAATGATATTGCCACATCCCTTCATTCTTATATTCGTTTTGTGGGCAAATGCAAACTGTCAAATGCACCAGAATAAAGGCGCAATATGCATCACAATGCAGAAGCAGAAACGTCCAATTCCTTCTCATTTTTTGTGGCATGTTTGGTTTGGTTTGGTCGTGCTCCAAACTCACAATTGGTCAGGGCGCTAAAAAACAGTCGGCATTTGCACTTTTTGTTGCTGCTTGTGGAACAGAAATCAAACTTGAAACCGCTATTTTTTAATATTATTATGCATGTGTTTAAGATACAGGCAGTTTTACATTGAGAGTTATTCAGGAAATGCGATTACTTTGAGGTGAGCGTGCTAAATAAAATACAAGTTAAAAAAAGTTTCCAAAAGGTGGTTTGGTAACACTTTACAATAAGGTTCATTATTTAACATTAGTTAATGTATTTACTAACACGCACTAACCATGAGCAATACATTTGTTACTGCATTTGTTCATCTTTGTTAATGTTAGTTCATGAAAACACAGCTGTTCATCATTTGTTCATGTTAGCATTAACTAATGTTAGCAAGATTTTAATCAAGTATTAGTAAATGTTGAAAATAACATTAACAAAGATTAACAAATGCTGTATATGTGCTATTCATTATTAGTTCATATTAACTAATGTTAATTAACGAACCTTATTGTAAAGTGTTACTGGTGGTTTTCACAGAAATGCTATTGAAAAAACACTTTGGGTTCCCCAAAGAACGTATCAGTGAACATTGTTTTTTCCACTATAAAGAACCTTTTGTGGAATAAGAATTTTCCAGAAATGACGATATAAAAGGACCCTAATTTTTAAAGGTGCAGTAACCAATTTCTGAGAAACGCCATTGAATAGAATGCCGAAGTGATGACGTCACTTTGTAGGACAACTCGGAAGCTAGCGGCGCATGGGATCGATCGAAAAGCAATGCATTTTCCCCATAGACTTTTGGAAAATCGCAAAAAATAAGATCTGTGTTCAACAAAGAGATGTGACCCTTACACGTTTTGTCTAGCAAGATAATCTTTACAAGTTAATCCAAAATGTATACATTTTGAAGCCTACATGAAGTTTAAAAAACCACAAGCAGGTTATAACTGTGTTCTATGTCATAGATCAAAACGTGAAAATATTTAGAGGCTTTGTTCACCACAGACCTTATTTCAGGCAATTTAGCAAAAACCCATTCAAAAATCCCATAGACTTTAGAGCGAGGGAACCGGGAGTGCTAAATGCTAACTCACTTCCGCGTTTTGGCCTACAGAGTGACGTCGTAACTTCGGCACTCTATTGGACAGAGGGGCACAACACACTAGCCAATCAGCAGTAGGGGGTGTGTTCACAAGTGATGGGGGAGGAGAGAAAGTGAGCGAGGAGATGTAAAGATTGTAAAAAGAGAGATGGCTGAGAGACATTAGGCTTGTTTGAGATGAGTAAAATCTGCACAGACCCGATCACCGCGAAATGCATGCCGGTTAGAAATGTGTCCGAGTGTGGTCCGCCTTGCTCTGATGTCATGCTGATGCGTACAGTTGCAGTGTTGATCAAAAGCATGATGGGAATCATCATGTTGTTGACAACACAGCTGAATGCTCATTGGTTTAAACAACCGTGATGTACTGTTCTCTTCTATTTTTTTTTTTTTTACTCTGATGTTTTAATGATAAATGAAACAAATTACAAAGAGAAAATCACTTTTGTAGCTTTAACAAAGATAACCTATATTAAATGTATACAGTCAAGACAATGCAGTTAGACTTAGCTATAAAAAACTGTTTATTTCATTTGTATCTTTGTTCCATTGTATTTATGATTGTAATTTGTTTTATTAATTTCTATGCAGATTAACTCCCCTACAAAATCACCAAAATGATTCATTCCTTCCAAATAGAACTATTCAGTTCATCTGGTGAAATTGTTTCATAGCCATTTTACTGCAGATTGTTGCTAGTGGAACAGAAATAAACCTTGAAACAAAATGTTTAATTTTAGTTCAATTAAACAGTTTAAAGAAGTAGTTCACTTTAAAAAAAAATTTGCTGATAATTTACTCACCCCCATGTCATCCAAGATGTCCATTCAGCCATTCTTCAGTCGAAAAGAAATGAAGGTTTTTGATTAAAACATTCCAGCATTTTTCCCATATAATGGACTTCAATGGGAACCAAACGGTTCAAGGTCCAAATGAGAGTTTCAGTGCAGCTTCAAAGGGCTTTAAACGACACCAGACGATGAATAAGGGTCTTATCTAGCGAAACGATCAGTCATTTAAAAAATAAATAAAATAGTTTAAGTTTTATAAGCTCAAATGCTCACCTTGCTCTGTTCTGTGATGCGCATTCGTGACAGGAGTTAATCAAAATGAATGAATCTTTTTTCAAGTCATGACTCGAAGAGTCCTGATAAGACCCTTATTTATCATCTGGTGTTGTTTAAAGCCCTTTTGAAGCTGCACTGAAACTGTCTTTTGGACCTTGAACCGTTTGGACCCCATTGAAGTCCATTATATGGAGAAAAATGCTGGAATGTTTTAATCAAAAACCTTCATTTCTTTTCAACTGAAGAAAGAAAGATGTGGACATCTTGGATGACATGGGGGTGAGTAAATTATCAACAAAAGTTTTTTTTAAAAGCGAACTACTCCTTTAATCAATTGTTCATTGTTTGAATGCATATTGCATTGCCACTATTTCCCAGGCTGGAAAATCCTGTAAAAACTAGTTGGATAAATGTTTACAGTGGACATTCAAATAATTTTTTATTTGCATGGTGTTTACTCAAATTCTCCAGCTCTGTCTCATTTGATACATTTCTGCATTGCTTTCCACAGATGGGAGAACAAGACCCAAGTGACAGGCTGAGAGGGGACCAACCGAAAGAGACGAAGGAAAATGGCGTGGCGAGTTTCTCCCAGTTCTCCTCAAGCGTACGCACCATGGTGCGCATCCGCCAGAAGTACCTGGCCATGAAGAAACGCCGTCTGGAGATCGCGGCGGTGTCGTCCCAGAGCTTCGGTTCCTCGCGGTCCACCAGCCCAAAGGTTTTCACCTTCGACAATCTTTACGAGCCTGTAACCAGCAACCCCCTTCTTTCCCCACGCAAGCGAAAGAAAAAGAGGAAGGGTCGAGTCTTGTATCCGAGCAACAGTTTGAGAGCCGTACCCACGAAAGAGAGCAGCCGAGCAAAGAGCTGCCTGTACTTGTTGTTCGTCATCGTCTTTCTACAGATTTACAACGCCATCGAGAACTTGGACGACCACGTGCTCAAATATGACCTAGAAGGCCTGGAGAAGACCATTAAACGGGAAGTGTTTGGCCAACAGGAAGTGACAGAGCGCCTTCTGGGTCATTTACATGATTATTTGTCAACTTATGTACACAACAAACCTTTAGTGTTGTCGTTTCATGGACCTAGCGGAGTTGGGAAGAGCCACGTTGGGCGACTACTGGCTCAGCATTTCCGCTCGGTTGTTGGCGACGAGTTGGTGATGCAGTACTTTGTGCTGCACCATTGCCCGACAGATGACGATATCCCACAATGCACCAAATCTCTGGACTCTCAAGTCTCTGAAATAGTCACACAAGCTGAGGAATCAGAGAAGATACCGGTTTTCATCTTCGACGAGGTGGAACACATGCCCAGGGAGTTGCTGGACACGTTGCGAGACCTAATTCATTCCCAAAACAACAACGAATACTTAAATGCCATCTACATCCTCATCAGCAACCTGGGACACGAAGATATCACCAAGTTCGTCCTGCACAACTCCAGCGTCTCCGTCTCAGGGCGTCTGAGCTTGAGTCAGGAACTGACACCTTGGTTACGCAGTTACCTTCAAGGACACCACATGCTATTTTTGGAAGCAGAGTTCTTACCATTCATGCTTTTAGAGAAGAGCCACGTGATGGAGTGTTTTATCGACGAGATGTCCAGGGAAGGGTTTTACCCGGATCGACCACACGTGGAAAGACTCGCAGAAGAACTATCGTACTATATAATTGGCGAACAGGAGTTTTCTCAGACTGGATGCAGGCAGGTTGTGGCAAAAGTGAACCTTCTCTGAAACTAAATCTGCCGTGCAGATGAGCAACATGTGGAGCTCTTCCATGATATTTAATTTCAGTGTGTATTCAACATATTTTTGTACATACACAACTGGTCAAAAGTTTGGGGTCGGTAAGATTTTTAATGTCTTTGAATGAACCATCTGCTCACCAAGGCTGCTTTTGTTTAATTAAATACGCAGTAAAAGCTGCGTAAATATAACAAAATATATTTAAAAATGTTATTTATTTTTATGGAAACGATGAAACCACAAAAAACGTTGAAAACTGCAAAAAAACAGATGAAAGTTCAAAAGAAAAGCATTTATTAGAAACATCTTTTGTACATTATAAACGTCTTATTCATTTTTGATCAATTTTTATGCATCCTTGCTGAATAAAAGTATTAATTTCTTTCAAGAAAAAAGTACTGACCCCAAACTTTTGAGCGGTCGTGTATTCGTCCTCATACACTTACTGTGAAGCAGGTCCATGAAACAAGCACAGCTGTGATTAACAGCTCTTTTCTTTTTTAACCCTAAAATAGTGTTGATTTATTTTTAAAAAATACTTCCCTTGATCTAATATTTTAATGATAATTGATCTAATATCCATTGATACATATTTTTTTTTTGGACTCAATTCTACAATGTTAAGTGGGTGAAAAAAAACCTCCTTAATCTTGTATTTGGGTCAAAAATGGGCACCCATAGAAATGAATGGGAAAAACTGTAATTTAGAGCATTCTAAAATAAGCCAAAATAAGACAGCAAAGTCACTTCATCTTTAGGTTTTAGCTCTAAGAACTTATTGGAATGATATATATATATATATATATATATATATAAAGATTAAAATTAAAAATAAGCATAATTTACATCGAAAATATGGTATTTTTTGAAGTAAATAAATTCAAAAATAGCCCCAAAATAAAAATAAACAGCATAAATGGATAGACAAAACTTTATCGAAGACAGTGATATAACATTTATAATAAATAAAGTCCTCTCTGCCCACATTTGTCCACAATTACAGGATTAAGGGCTATGAAGTGAATACGGTTTGAGGGCTACAACAAAACAATATTCAATCGTACTTTGTTTATTAGAATTTCTCAATTTCCACTGGAAAAATTAGGTAAAAAGACCAAGAAAATTGTAAAATTAGAGAGAGTGTGTGTGTGTGTGTGAAAAGCATTTGGTATGTACAATGCATTGAAATGTGCCCATAGAGTGTTTAATGATCAAATTGCTCTTTTGTACACCAGAAAATCGCTTTCTAACTGTAAATGAGTGTATAAGAAAGTGTTGCACGCTCTAAAAAAAAACACACGCTATTTTGTTGGTTTCCTGTAAGCTCTATAAGCTCTATCGTGAGAAATAACCCACTACCATCATGCAATTTCTGATCTTCAACTCATCAATGCGATAAAACAAATGTAAGCGCTTAGCATCTCCAGAGAAACACTCCAAATGCTTGCAAATCTACCACTACTTGTGTTTTTTGGCTCTACGTAAATAAACGACCTTCATTAAATAAATTAGCAATAATTTTTCCCTTAGAAGGTCACATGTTACGGCCGGTTGAGATCGAATCACTCTGCTCCTAAAACCATCAACATGCCGCTAAGTGTTGTTAGTCATCGAGTGCTTGTGTGATTCAGGAGGGGTGTGAGGGATGACATCGTCTTCAGTGTCTTTTGCACTACGGCAGCTACGCTTCCAGCTCAAAACCCAGTCCGACCTTGTGTCCGCCGGTGTTGAAGTTTTTTCCATCGATGAGGGCCGAGAGAGTGAGTTTCACCCCTTGACAATGAGAAAAGGTTAATAAACATCTATAACACTAGTGAAAACATCTTTAGAATGAAGAACTAGTGTGCTGCATGTACATTCATGAAAAAATGCTGTGTTTTGTGAAAATGTATATTGCAACAGTAAACATTTTAAACTATTTGTTTTACATTCTTCCACTATGTTGCATGTTTAATTCAGTGAAATAAAAAAAAAATGAATTGCATTTAATAATCTATATTATAAAGAATAATTAACATTAATTAATCAAATTAAAAATCACTTTGCCTCATTCTTCACTCAAATGCATTGCATTGTGGATGGATAAGCAGCGTTTTGGCAAATGTCATCGAGTATTCTGTGCAAATGGAAAATTCACAAACTGTGCCTAGTTTACATATAAGAGATCATAAACAATTATAACATGTTTACCAGGTCGAAGACTCTGAGTGTAACCAACTCCAATCAGACTGGAATTGTTCACTTTGGCCTGTTATAAGAAAATAATGATAAATCAAAGTCAGGTTGGTCATTCCAAGCTTTAAAAATGTAATATAGCTTCCATGCATTTAAAGGCAGGTGAAGCAATTTATGCAAATGCTTCTAGTTTCATGTGTTGTTGCAGAATGTGTCAGAATAATGTGACGCGCGTGTGCATTTGCATTCTTCACATTGCTGTTATATGCAACCGAACCACATGCTTCTTGCAATGCATTGGCCAAGCATTTGTGTGTAAAGATTGTAAACTTACAGTCAACGAGGCGTCTTTATCTAGCTGGTACTTTGCAGCAATCCCGAAGCGCGTGCTGTTGCTGCCGGTGGTCCAGGCCAAAGTGATGGCCGTCTCCAGCTGATCGTTCACCTTCTGATAGATTGATCCTCCAAACTCGGCTCCGTCATTACTGGTGACGCATGACGACACAGTTCATCTACAACATGTACTATCTATCTATCCACACACACTCCTGCATCACAAACTAGCACTCAACACTACAGTTCAAAAGTTTGGAATAATTCAGATTTTATTTTAATATTTCTGAGAGAAGTCTCTTTTGCTCATCAAGGCTGCATTTATTTAATCAAAAATACTGTAAAAATTGTAAAATATTATTACACTTTAAAAGAACTGTTTTCTATGAGAATATGTTTTAAAGTGTAATTTATTCCTGTGATCAAAGCTGAATTTTCAGCATCATTACTCCAGTCTTCAGTGTCACATGATCCTTCAGAAATCACTCTAATATGATGATTTGCTGCTCAAGAAACATTTGTGTTTATATATATACAAAATAATTATACCCAGTGCACCCACATATATTATGTAAGCACAAACTTTAATTTTGGATGCGATTAATCACGATTAATCGTTTGACAGCCCTACTTTTACTTGAGTTTAACTCTAGAGTCTTTTTACCACCCCTGTCTTTAATTAACGAATTATTTAGGATCAAGTTACTTATGTTTGCATACATGCCAACTTTAAAACCCCTAATCAGCTGTTTCTGTTGTTTTCTCTGATTCTTACACGTTGGTGTGAAGCTGGAAGTCTCCGGTCTTGTATCCCAGAGCAAAGTTATTTTGCACCAGTTTGGACTTGGCTGTGTCGAACGCCATCTGGTAGCCCGCGAGCCAGCCTTCGTATCCCAGAACCGCTGAAGAGTGCACGACCGGACCCTCAAAGTCAATGTCACAGCTCACGTTGACAAACTCACGCTTGTAGCCGGACTTCAGTTTACCGCTTTTCTTACTAAAGAAAAAATAACACTGTCAAAGAACAAAATCATCAAACCGACCTTGATGCGTCAGACACTAACAGCTCACCTCGTGTTTGGGACAAAAGACGTATCCATGGCCACTTTCAACCCTTGTACAAGCTGAGGAGACAACACAACAAAAGACACAAGATTCATTGCGCTGAATGTGATTTCAACAAGTGGAATACAGTAAGTTCCTGGATCAACATCTGTGTTAAACCTGGAACAACATTCCAATCAACCAATCAGATTTGAGGGACAAGAGAAAAACCACAGAATGTTTTTGCACGGATATTGATGAACTTACAGGTGTTATTAGTAGTTATATTTACTTTTTTGAAGACACACTTATCGCTTGTAAAAGGGATAGTTCATTTTGAAAAATGAACAGTATTTAAATCGTTTTTAACTCTTGTAACCACAGCCACAAAGCGCCCACGCCCTCAGATCACTTGGACGTGGCTGTGGTTACACAAGGTAAAAACGATATAAATACTGTTCGTTTTCTCACACAAACCGCTCGTTTCGTGTCTTAGGCCATCAATGTGTACTTACATTTACGAGTCATTAAATCATGTTTAATTTGGACTTCTCTGTGCATGCTCTTTAAGGTGGTGACCATAGACCTCCATTATATGACTGACAGACAAGAACGGTTTGACCTAAAAATATCAAAATTGAAAATACTGTGGAAACAAAGACATCTACATCTTGGATGCCCTTGAGGTAAGATAAAACACACCAAAAATTTATTTCAAAGTGAACTATCCCTTTAAGCTTTTATTTATAGATTTTTCATCTGCTTTTAATCCCTTACAACCCCATATTTTAGTAGATGAGTTAATTCCCAATTTTGGCTTGATCTTAATTTAACTGGTTGGGTTTTAGACTTTAGCTGAAAGAGTAAGAGTAAACGGTAGTCTTTCAGCTCCCCTGATTACATCTACAGGTTCTCCTCAAGCGCGTGTTTTGTCTCCTTTGTGTATTTTACATATGCTGTAAATGACTGCACAAGTAAATACAGACGAGACAGTCATTGTGAGAAATTTCCCACGGCTCAGTTGTTAATGATTTTGTAATATGGTGTGATGATGCCTGTTAGCAGCTTAACGTATCTAAGGCAAAAGACACAAGTATTGATGTCAGAACCGAAGCTTTTTCTTCCTGTTCACTCATTAAGGGAAAGAAGGAGGAGTGTGTGGTTTTTTTCTCCATTCTGTCCCTGAAGGAGTTTTGGCTCCTTGCCACTGTTGCCTTGGTTATTGACGTGCTTAGTTGGGGACATATAATATTTAACTATATCATTGATCTGACTTAAGGTGGACATGGACTGTCTGTATAATTTTCATGTTATCACTGTGAAGCTGCTTTGTATGGAAGCTTGTTTCCACCACTGAATTAAAAAAATTGCGACTTTTTATCTCACAATTGCGAGATATGAATTCAGAATTGCAAGATATAAAGTCGCAATTCTGAAAAAATAAAGTCGCAATTCTGAGAAATAAAGTCGCAATTGTGAGATATAAAGTCGCAATTCTGAAAAATAAAGTCGCAATTGCGAGATATAAAGTCGCAATTCTGAGAAATAAAGTTGCAATAGCAAGATATAAATTTCGCAATTCTGAGAAAAAAACTCGCAATTGCGAGATATAAAGTCGCAATTCTGAGAAAAAGTCGCGATTGCGAGATATAAAGTCGCAATTCTGAAAAATAAAGTCGCAATTGCGAGATATAAAGTCGCAATTCTGAGTAATAAAGTCGCAATAGCAAGATATAAATTTCGCAATTCTGAGAAAAAAAGTCGAAATTGCGAGATAGAAAGTCGCAATTCTGAGAAATAAAGTCACAATTGTGAGATATAAAGTCACAATTCTGAAAAACAAAGTCGCAATTGCGAGATATAAAGTCGCAATTCTGAGTAATAAAGTCGCAATAGCAAGATATAAATTTCGCAATTCTGAGAAAAAAGTTCTGTTAGCAGCTTAACGTATCTAAGGCAAAAGACAAAAGTATTGATGTCAGAACCGAAGCTTTTTCTTCCTGTTCACTCATTAAGGGAAAGAAGGAGGAGTGTGTGGTTTTTTTCTCCATTCTGTCCCTGAAGGAGTTTTGGCTCCTTGCCACTGTTGCCTTGGTTATTGACGTGCTTAGTTGGGGACATATAATATTTAACTATATCATTGATCTGACTTAAGGTGGACATGGACTGTCTGTATAATTTTCATGTTATCACTGTGAAGCTGCTTTGTATGGAAGCTTGTTTCCACCACTGAATTAAAAAAATTGCGACTTTTTATCTCACAATTGCGAGATATAAAGTCGCAATTCTGAAAAAATAAAGTCGCAATTCTGAGAAATAAAGTCGCAATTGTGAGATATAAAGTCGCAATTCTGAGAAATAAAGTTGCAATAGCAAGATATACATTTCGCAATTCTGCGAAAAAAACTCGCAATTGCGAGATATAAAGTCGCAATTCTGAGAAATAAAGTCGCAATAGCGAGATATAAATTTCGCAATTCTGAGAAAAAAGTCGCAATTGCGAGATAGAAAGTCGCAATTCTGAGAAAAAAGTCGCAATTGCAAAATAGAAAGTCGCAATTCTGAGAAATAAAGTCGCAATTCTGAGAAATAAAGTCGCAATTGCGAGATAGAAAGTCGCAATTCTGAGAAATAAAGTCACAATTGCGAGATATGAAGTCGCAATTCTGAGAAATAAAGTCGCAATTGCGAGATATAAAGTCGCAATTCTGAGTAATAAAGTCGCAATAGCAAGATATAAATTTCGCAATTCTGAGAAAAAAGTCGCAATTGCGAGATATAAAGTCGCAATTCTGAGAAAAAAGTCGCAATTGCGAGATATAAAGTCGCAATTCTGAGAAATAAAGTTGCAATTGCGAGATACTGTATAAAGTGGCAATTCTGAGAAATAAAATCACAATTGCGAGATATAAAGTGGCAATTCTGAGAAATAAAAGTCGCAATTGCGAGAAAAAAAGATTTTCTCAGAATTGCGAGTTTACATCTTGCAATTCTGACTTCATAACACATTATTGCAAGTTTGTATCTCGAAATTCTGATATATACTCGCAGGGACGTGCACAGGGGGGTTGCTCAGGTTGCCCGGGCAACTGCCCATATGCCCTTCTCGACTCAGGTTGCCCTTCCGAGGAAAAAAAAAAAATCGTACAATGGATGTAAAATTTCACGTAGGCCTAGACAAAAAAATAATATAAAAATCGCAAAGCCTCATTTACTTCCATTCGGGCACTGAAAGGGAAAGTCAAACTGTTTACGTGGCTGCAGTGCCTCACGCGACCATAGACTGCACGCGACCGGTGCGGTAAGGCACCGCAAATTACTCAGGCCGCGCCTCCATCTCGTGTCGCGCGCTAATTAATGTGTACGAAGTCCATGACAAAATGAAGCAAAACTATCCTTCTCGTCACGAAAAGAGGAAGAAGAAAAACATGAGAGTGAATTGCGGGAACAGCAGTCAGGTAAACTTGTGTTCTCTCCTCTCTAGTTTGATGTCAGCAAAGTTTGATGGTTTTTGGTCTTGCTAACCTATCTGGGCAGGCAGTGCATCTCTTGCATCACTTTTTGCCTGACAAAAGTGAGAGTAAAATACCATTATTTATTACGTTTTGTTTTTTATAAACGACAAAGTGCAACAACAGTGTTTGTTTACTACAGCTCGGAAAACATAACCGCGTCGCGTGTGTTGCGTTCATATGCGCGTGCACGAAATGAAACTCGCATTTTTCAAGCAGAAATGTGGAGACCAGAAATACTGTACGTGAATGATGGCACTCCCAATCAAAGTACACATTATAAAGACACTGATTATCTAGTCTCAGTGTAGTTAAAAACTCTAAACAACTGCACCAATTATGCAAGAAACCAATGTATTGGCAATTTGACATTGATTGACTATTGATTTATAGGCTATATTGAATTTAAAATGATGATTAGCTGGACATTCTGGTCAATATGAATGCAAATCCCTCAGTATATAACAATAAATCAAGATTTGCTTCAACATGCATAAAAAAATAAATAAATAAAAATCATTGGCTACTGATTCCGAAAAATACCCTGGCTGTAGAAAGAACCAAAGTTAATCCCAAAAGCCAAAGTTCAGGGTTGTACTTTATTATTTTCTTCTTATTTATGTTTACGTTAATATTCACTTGTTATCTTAACATTCTATAAAAACGCTTTATTCAGTAAATATTGTTTGTTTGAACCTCATTCTGTTCTGTATTGTTGTACTTGTTCTTTGACTGTTTTGTTTAAAGGAGGGAGGATTGTATTGGGCGGTATTGAGTGGCAATGGCAAATGGTTTACATGGCTCACGGCATCACAGATCAGGTAGAGGGCCCCATAGCAGAATTTTGCTTAGGGCCCCAGGGGGAGGTCAGGATTGGCAAAAAAAGATTGTATTTTTTCCCGAAATCTAAGCGTTTTTTCTTTTTTTGAGTTTTTCCATTCAATCCAGATTATTTCTTTTCAAATAAATAAATAAATAATAATAATTTAAAAAAACAATAAACAACAATATGAGGAACTCTTTTGCTCATTTGTCTCATCTCTGACATTTTGCAATCTTTATAAATAATAATAAGACCATAAGATGAGGCATTGCGTTTGGACATAAACACGGCCAGATAAGGCAATTTGGAAGGTGACAAATTCAACTGAATATATTCCTTCATATAGCCCGTGAGGGGGAGGGGGGGGGGGTGCCCTTTTTTCAGGTCAGAGCAACTGCCCCTCAAAATTCCTGTGCACGTCCCTGTATACTCGCAATTGCGAGTTATCAGGCCAGGGGGAAAAAAAACAGCCTTACAGCCTTGTGTAAAAAGGGACAACGGCGCCTATATTGTCTTAGAAAATTCTCATTTTCTAAAAGTCAATGCTGTCCTTTTCCATAACGTGCTGGTTCGGAAATCTTAATGTGAAATATAAAAAATGCATTAAACAGATTTGTCATAAATAGTCGGTGAAACAGATCTTTTTTTCTTTATAGAAATGTCTTTGCACTATCTAGACCAGATTTCACTATTTTGCTAGGAATGTTGTTCCTGGATCAACAAAATATTCAGGATTCAGGAGCATGTCTTACTTGGCATAATCACAGTGACCATTTTAATGCTACTCTGCAAACGAACCATTTTGATCACATCCTATGCAACTCAAAGGGGTCGAAGGTCATGTCGAGAGTTTGATCTACTGACCTGGTCCTCCACAGAGACTTCTGTACTGAGCATGTTGTCCGTGTTCCACTTCTGGTTCAAACTCAATCCTAGATCCTTCATTTTATACTTGGTCTCCAAACTCCCGCCGGCTTTTCCCGTGTCCGTGTTGGTGGATCCAGATGTGTTGAACTCCTGCAGTTGATTTTTATTAATAAGAAGAAACATTTAGGCATATGTCTGTGCCCAGCTATAATTCGTTTTTTTTTATTTGTACATGTTACAAAACAGGTTTATTTGTAAAAGGTTTTATTTGGCCATTTGTGAGCTGTACATTATTGTTTTAATGCCTGATTTTGAAGTTTCCAAAGTTTGTAATTTCACTTAAAAAAAAAATAGTGTAGATGGATAATATTGGATATTATTTGTCAAGCAAAATTATTATTTTTATTTCTGATATAATCATCACTTTTATTTCTGAATAATTTATAATCTATATCAGCAAGGGCAATTCATCAGTTGATATTTGGACATTTAATTGTTATTTAGGATTATTTAACCATTTTGAATGACTTTTTTTCTTTTTTTAGTTAAGGTTTTACTCGTTTTCATTAGTTTTTAATTTTGTTTTTTTCAGTATAAGCTTTAGCAATCTAAGTATTTCAAGTCAAACATATTTCTAATATTTGTTTAAATTTATCTGATATTTACATTTTATTTTATTTAACATTTTATCAATTAGCGAAGTGATTTTTAATTATTTTAGCTTTAGTTATCAATAACTGACAACCCTGTAACTATCAGCTAAAAGAATCGGTCAGAAACTCTACATTGGTGCTTTATTATAAACTCATAAAATGATGAATAAAAGCAGTACTCTTGTGCTGAAATGTATGAGCAGGTGGCTCGAGACATTATCGGATGACAGATGGCGAGTGATGTGACAGAATTAAGTTTATTTGAATGTGACCCAGAAACACAGGGCTGATGGGATGCGACTCAATTCACGTCGGGTGTGTAGTCAGAAAGAGATGATTCAAATAACGAATACACACACGACGTAAAAATAGTTTCCCACAGATAACTGACATCAAGATAAACCAGCAGTTCCGTCTGTATGGTAAATGATGCGTGATGGTGACCACACGAAACTTGTCAAATCACACAAACGCCCCGACAATAATCTTACCATCTAAATGCATTTCCCAAAATGATGCATCAAAAACATAAAAAATGTGTCAGCAATGAAATCTGCTCGTTATAGAAATCGAAGTGTCCTAAAAATAGACTTTTTTCATGCAAAATATATATTTTGTTGGGCAACATGTTTTCAGGTGAATCTCACAGCGCTACAAATAAATCAACAACTAACTCACCACTCCATTTTGAGATTTAGTCTTGAGGTCCAATTTAACAATCCCAAACCCTGCAAACAAAAACAAGCACATGAATTACTGTACAATGCAAATCGTCTTTAGGAGTGCGGAGTGAGTTTTCTTACCGTAACCCTTGCTGAAGATGTCCTTGGCCGCTTTTCCCAGGTCTGAGTACGAAGGAGGAACAGCCATTATATCTGATGTATAAACCAGAGGGAAATATCTAAATGTCATAGTATCATCATGTCATATGTAAAAAAACTGCACAAGTAGAATAAACAGGGGATCAAACCGCAGATAGAGCAAACCCACAAAACTGCATAATCAGTAAGCAAACCCAGTGTGATTGTGAATATAGTTGTTCATTTTCTAGCCTTGTAAAGTAACCTGTCCTGTTTCTGACTCCCAACTTATGTCGTCTATGAACACAGTAAAACATTGTTTTGAATTGTATTCTGAGAACTTTACTGTGCATCTATTTTTACATGATTATATCAGTGAGGGTTTTTTAATTGCATGCTTTTAAGGCATTAAACACACCTATGACACCTCAAAAAAAAGTTGTCTGTTAAGTGACATGACATGTATGCTGTAATACAGAAGAAACGCCTTCTATAAGTAAAATAGCAAATTTGCATTACTGACAAACATGAGAGGCAAAGAAAACAGCTCAGCATGTGTATTCATGAGGGGGCGGGATTTCAAGCTTGATAATCTAATCAAGCCTTTAAGACTAAATCATATGCAGAAAGTCTTAAATGCTGCACATTTAATCAATATAAAGGGTATTTAACAGCACAAAATGTACAAATCTGACTAGGAAAAAGTGTTTTACTGGGAATGAAGGTGGGATATAGTGCAAAGGAGCTGGTGTCTGTCTCTCAGTAACTAACACATGCTGCTATAACAACAACACTACACAACTAACTGGGTCAATTATATTTAAAGCCGCGTGATTTAAAGTTGCAATCTAGTGAAAACACGATGATAAATTCATACCGAGGATGTTGTTGTTGTTGCTGTTGAGACAAAAATAAAATGATGATGCTAAATAAGCAGAAGCTTTTGAGTGTCCTGTGTTTCAGAAGATTTGACACTCAGCTACAGGACAAAGTGAAGGAGACAAACTGCGCATGCGCACGGGCGTCACGAAAACGATTTCCAAATAAAAGTCCCTGGAAAAAATACAAATAAAATAAAAGGAAAAGTGTATTATTATTATTATTATTATTTTATTTTTATTTTTTATAAAAAAAACAGAGTGTTCACTTTATTGTAACTTTAATCTCCACCAAACTACAATAATTTTTTAGCAATTTTTAGGTCACCATTACGTTTTGATTGGTTTTGTACTCGGGTTTGATATGCAGTAGGCTAATTTGTCATGTTTATTGTTATTCTCATAAACTCATGCATTAAAGCTCTAAATGCAGGCAAATGAGAGAAAGCAGAAGTTTACAGTGAGAGTGAAGGACCATTAGCATTAACATCACTGCTCCACCATTATTATTCAAAAACACATATTACGAACACATACCAGCAGATGTCCTCACATTCACATAATGCTGCTTTGATCTCTCTCTCTCTCTCTCTCTCTCTCTCTCTCTCTCTCTCTCTCTCTCTCTCTCTCTCTCTCTCTCTCTCTCTCTCTCTCTCTCACACACACACACACACACACACACACAATTATATATATACTACTAATAATTAATTAATTGTTTATAGCAAAACGAAAAAGATTGAAGTGTCTGACTTTTTTTAACAAATCGCTGCAACTTAAAAGCGCGTGAAATTTAAGATGGTAAAAAATGTGTATCTTCTAATAAAATTAATACAAGTTTCGTTTATAAAGTTTGCAAAAACAACATATGTAAAGTTTATGGAGCTCGTTTTTACTGATATGATGTTGTAATGTGTTTTTTCACATTCAGGGCATGCCAATGAACCTTTAACAAAAAATGTCCGTTCCACCTTAACACGACTGATGATGATTTTGTTAGAAATATGGCGCTGCGACAGAGACCGTCCCTCCCTTAAACACACACACACACACACACACTACACAGAGAGCAGGAAACTTCGGGCTGTCAAAATTTCTCAGAGAGCCCGTCACTTCACTTATGAGCGGCGTTTGCACTACAAATACAGTTTCTGCTGAGCAGGAGGCGCTTTTCTCTGCAGACCCTGATATTAAACAAGAAAAATGTCAGTGAACCCGAAATTTGTGAGTCCTTTCCACAGACCGCACTTTTTATCAGCCGCTGCGCCCGCCGGACAAGCCAAACTCACACACCCTGGAAAGGCTATTTTAGCAGGTAAGTGTGTTTCTGTGCTTGTGAATCATTATAAAACTGTGAAAGTCATTTCTGTTAATGCTGTGACTGACTCAAGATCAGCTGTGCCACAGTTTTTGCACTGTCATCCACACTGTTTACAAGTCCTCTGCTCGATTGATCCCTACAGGGCTGTAGTCATCATCACTGCACAGGCGAGTATTCACACTATCGCGTGTGTGTGCGTGTCAGTGTGTGGCTGTTTCACTGGAACTGATGCAAAGTAACAAGTAGAACGTTGACACAAAGTAACAAAAGCGCTTTGATACAGTGTAGAACTTCTGTGTTACAATGTAACAAAATGGAATGTGTCAGGGAAACGTCATAGTACACCCGAAAATCAAATCAAAACAAAACAAATAGGAGAATATTGTATTTATTGCATTAATGACAGCCCATTTCGTTCTTTCTGTCATTTAATGCCATCCTTTTCAGGGACTTTTGTATTGTAAAATTGTTTTCATTTTACTTCTGAGGTGAAATACAGTAGTTTTATTAAACGCACAAATTGCTGTAACACAATTGTTTAATTTTAAATAAGCATGCAGTAAAGGCATTACAGATCATGCTGTATAAATACTTGCATTTAAAGTCATTGCATACAATCATTAAAGTCATTGCATACAATCAAAGTCGTTATACATAAAATCATTATTTTGTTTTGCATTATGCTAATGAGGTGGACAAATGTCATGAAAATAATGATAAAAGGGCTTGATTTTGTAAGCAAAATATAATTTATTTGTTTCAGATTTTTGGGGTGAGATATGACCCCAGTCAAGTTCTTTCCCTTTCCTTTATTGATAAAGAAAGTATTTCTTTATAGCTGTTATAAGGGCCTTTTTGTTTAATATTTAACAAGCGGTTGAAAAAAATCTTAAAGGAATGCTAAGGAAATTTCATCATTATTATTTGGAGCTAATAAGTAACAATCAGGGTTATTATCCTTATCTAAAACTATTAAAAATAATTTAATTAAAGCTGAAATAAAATAAAACACAAATAGTTAAACTATTAAACAAAAAGTTAAACTAAAAATTAAACTAAACAAATTAGTAATGTTGAAGCACTATAATTATTAGCTAGAAATAAAACTATAACTAAAATACATTTTTTAATTCAAAATATCAATATTAAATAAAAAGACAAAAGGACATATTGAAATTTAAAAAAAAATTCTTATTCAAAATATTAATAAAACTAAAATAATTTGTATCTAATCTTATTTGTTTTTTATTCTAATTTGGGTTGTGTGTATCTAATCTTATCTTGATTGAATCTTCTAGTAATGAAATATATCAAATATATAAATAATATATTTATTTTAGGGCTGTCAAACGATTAATCGCGATTAATCGCATACAAAATAAAAGTTTACATAATATATGGGTGCGCTGTGTATAATTATTTTGTAAATATATATATATATATATATACACACACACACATGCATGTATATTTAAGAACAAAATATTATTTATATATAAAATATTTATATTTATATATAATATAAATTATATATAAATCTTACAGTATATACATGAAATATATACAAGCATGTGTGTGTATTTATATATATAAAATAATTATACACAGTGCACCCGCATATATTATGTAAACACAAACTTTTATTTTGGATGCGATTAATCACGATTAATCGTTTAACAGCCCTAATGTATTTATTTAATTTGATGCATTTACCATCTTATTCAATTTTTATGATATTTGTATTTGACCCCTGATTCTAAATTATGCAATCCTTTAACATTCTTTGTGTTTTGCGTCAGAATACTGAATGTTTCTTTTAGCCTGACTTCGGCATCAGGATAACTAGACGTGTTGTTGTAGCTTGTCTTTTTCCACTCCTCCCTGAAGTGTCCCTAGCTAGTGTGGTTAATGTCTTGCCAGGGCAGCGACAGTTAATGAGAAACTCATAATAGTTCCACTCACATCTCATGGCGTTCTGCATGAAGCTCATGGCCTCAGTATTGAGTGATAAATGTGCTGAACGCATGATGACGGATGAGGCATGGTCACATTTACACAGTAACATGGAATGCAGTTGCATTGTGAGTGTCGTTCTTGCCAAATGTTTGTTTAATAACTAGAACATGCAACAGCAAGTGAAGTGCACTAGATTATGAGAGATGCATTCAATAGATGTCACAGTTCACGTTTATTCAAATGTTCAAAGTAATTGTAAGCATTTAATTGTTGCAACAACGTAATGACTTTCTCCACCTCTGAAACAATATTCCTTTCTGCTGACCCATTGATGAAAGACCAGTCATCCTAGCACTCCAGTTTGAACAGATAGCTCAGCAGAAAAACACACACCTCTCAGCGCTCACGCACACACACACACATACACACAACACCATTGATTGCATCATAGACGTAAAGCCGGATTAGGTGTGTCATTAGTAGCTACATAAACAGGCAAATAATTCAATGATGCAAACCGAGAATCTAAAAGAAAATAGTGTCATTGTTCAAACTATTTTTAGATATGTCTGTGGAAGTCAAATCAAACGGCTCAAACGTGCATGTCTGGGACTAGACCTAAGCAATGCCTGTGAACCTGGGCACAGTTGTGTCTGGAGCGCTACCCCTCGCTTCCTTGAAGAATCTGATAGTGGAGTGTGTAAAGTGCTATTTGCTTTTATTTGCCAGCTGTATATAGAGATTTGGCCGTGACATGTGTCCTAGTACTGATACATCAGTTAGTTTCATATAATTCTACAAAAGAGAACTAGTGGTATAAACTTCCTTTATAACTATTGTTGTAGCAAGTCAAAAATATGATCCAGTTTTCAACACTGATAGTAAACAGAAATGTTTCTTGAGCAGAAAATCAGCGTATTAGAATAATTTCTGAAGGATCATGTGACACTTACGGAAGCCCTGAACCGCAACGTTAAAAAAAATCTAGCATTTCGAGATTAAAGTCGAAATGTTTCGAGATTAAAGTCGAAATGTTTCGAGATTAAAGTCGAAATGTTTCGAGATTAAAGTCGAAATGTTTCGAGATTAAAGTCGAAATGTGTCGAGATTAAAGTCGAAACATTTCGAGACTAAAGTCGAAACGTTTCGAGATTAAAGTCGAAATGTGTTTAGATTAAAGTCGAAACGTTTCGAGACTAAAGTCGAAACGTTTCGAGACTAAAGTCGAAACGTTTCGAGACTAAAGTCGAAACGTTTTGAGACTAAAGTCGAAACGTTTCGAGATCAAAGTCGAAACATTACGATAATAGAAGTGTGCATTCATAACAGTGCGCGTCCACTAGCTCAGAGCGCGTGTGTGTGTAAATAAATGCACTTGTGAAGTCGAACTGCCATGGATAAACACAAAATAGAAGCTTACTTTTATTTGGGCTTTCAACAAAATTCTACACAGGTGCTAGTGTCAGTGTTTTTGAGGTGTAACCGTTCTGTAACCGTTCAGTAACAGTAACCGTTCTGTCTCCCTCACCGTAAATACATACATTTTAAGTGCATCATTCTGTATCCTCTACGGAAGACTGTATTCTCGTACTCTGATCTCTCGAAATATTTCGACTTTAATCTCGAAATGCTAGATTTTTAATTTTTTACATTTTTTTAAAAAAAAATTTACGTTACGGTTCAGGGCTTCCGTAGACACTGAAGATGTCAGTAATGATGCTGAAAACTTTGCATCAAAAAATATGTTCATGATTTGTAATCACAACATTTTTTCTTTTGTCAAATCAGCTTAAATAATTTATGTGGTTCAGATAACCTAATATTTTGAGTTTCTGATGATTAAATCAATCTCCATTGTATTAACTCAATTTTTCCATTTCAATGAACTTACACTTTTAAGGTTAAAAAAGGTTACTTCATTTTTTTAAGTTAAACCAACAATTTTTTTTACAGTGCAGGAATAAATTACAGTTTACAATATGATATAATAATATTACGCAATATTTTTACCGTATTTTAGATTAAATAAATGCAGTCTGGGTGAGCAGAAGAGCCTTTTAAATCAAATAAAATTCTAGTGTATAGTTTGATATTTATATAAAATAAGAATATTCATTTATATATAAATGGTCTTATTCTTCCATGGTCGTGTGGTGTGTATGTTTTGGTGATGTGGGGATGTTTCAGCTCCTCTTCTCTCGCTCAGGGCAGTGTGTGTGTGTGTGTGTATGTGTGTGTGTGTGGCTCGAGGACCGAAGAGATATGTGATCCAGTATAACCTGCTGTTTCACCTGCTGTTAGACAGATATGTGCTCGTCAGTTTTATCAAAACCTGTTAAACGGGTATGCTTTTTACTGAAAATGTGTTTGTATGTATTAAAACAAATCCTCAGCTCTCCAGAGAGCACAGTTGTACCAGGAATCATCGATGTGAACAAAACATCTAATAGGAGACAATTAACACAAACAATTCAGAGAAACTGTAGTTAATGCATGGGGGAAACATCAGAAATCATTGAGCGGAATTTCATGATGCAAACTTCATCAAATAATAGACAAATTCTGCTGTAAATCAGCACTAAAAAAGACAATAGTGTTCAGTTCAACAACAGTGTCGATTATTTAGATGATACAATATGCGTTTCAGTACATCCCATAGGAAAGAAAGATGTTTTCTTTCTTCTCTAGACAGCCATGTAGACTATCGTCATTCTACTTCTTAATTCAGTCCGTTGTTGCTGTTTCTTTGTTATTATTAGTAAAAATTTACAAGCAATTTCTGAAAATAAATTAGTTTCTACACCAAATGTTTTTTTCAGTGTGAAGTTTCGAAAGAAATCTAGGAAGTGTCTCCAATTGTGCTCAGATTTGACACAAGTCCGCCATCAAAGTTTAAGAGATATTAATATGAATGCAAACGTTTCGGTTGCAATTCATTTAACAGTAAATTACAGTGTAGAAAATACTGGGTAAAATAAGGTAACCACCACATGAGTTAAGGTAAGGTTTAGGGGTAGGTTCACACAGTACCTGGTTATTAAGTGCATGGGAAACAGGACTTTAAAATAAAGTTTCTCGTCAGCTTTTGTGAACGTCTATCCAGGATCATTTCATAGCTCTGTACCCCAACTGTATGACAACTATTGACTCATTGATGTTTATTTTAGTAGAAACATGTCAGACAAAGTTGATACTTGAATGAAAAATTACTCCTGAGCTATGAAAGAGCAATGCATTTTTACATTAACACGTATAGAGTGTATAATAACGTCTGCTTGCCGAATCAAACCCTTTTGATTGATCATTTGAAGCTTTTCTGCACACAGTAAAAGAAGCGTAAATGTGTCAACAAAGTTGAGATCTGATTAAAGAACAGGACGTTCATTTCACAGTCACACCCATCTGTACGAGCAGGGGCGGGTCCAGTCAGCCAATCACAGATGGACACGCCCCCTCTCCTGCAGATGTGCTCAACACACACAGTTAAGGTGGCGACACATCATTGAGGTTAACACATTTACAAGGCATTCGTTATTCATAGAGGTGATCATCGCTTTAAAAGCACGTAATACACCACCTTTCAAGGACACATTACATTTATCAAAAGGGATATTCATAATTTTTCAGAAGATCCAAATAAATGCTGCTCTTTAGAACTTTATATTCATAAAGAGAATCCTGAATAATACTATGTATCATGGTTTCCACAAACATATGAAGCAGCACGACTGTTTCTTGAGCAGCAAATCAGCATAGTAGAGTGATTTCTGAAGGATCATGTGACATGATGGTTAAATTCAGCTTTGATTACAGGAATAAATTACATTTGAACTTTTAAAAAAATAGCCGTCAAACCGTATTCACTTTATAGCCTTTAATCCTGTAATTGTGGACAAATGTGGGCACAGAGGACTCAGGTGTGATCTATATTTTTATTTATTATAAATGTTATATCACTGTCTTCGATAAAGTTTTGTCTATCCATTTATGGTGTTTATTTTTATTTCGGGGCTATTTTTGAATTTATTTACTTCAAAAAGTACCATATTTTCTATGTAAATTGTGCTTATTTTTATGGGGTTTTTTTTAAAAAAAATTTTAACTACATTAAAATATCATTCCAATAAGTTCTTAGAGCTAAAACCTAAAGATGAAGTGACTTTGCTGTCTTTTTTTGGCTTATTTTAGAATGCTCTAAATTACAGTTTTCCCATTCAATTCTATGGGTGCCCATTTTTGACCCAAATACAAGATTAAGGAGTTTTTTTTTCACCCACTTAACATTGTAGAATTGAGTCAAAAAAAAATTGTGTGTGTTCAGGAGGCAAACTTAGCAAAAGTAGCCAAGTCTTGTACCGCTCAGATCAAGGGAAGTATTTTTTTTTAAATAAATCAACACTATTTTGCCCACATTTGTCCAGAATACGGTTTTAGGGTTAAGAGTAGTGTACATTTAATTACTTGACTAAAATAAACAATAATTAATCATTATTAGCAATTTAAATGTATTAGTCACATTTAGTGACCAGAATAGTTCTCTAATATATATAATATAGATAGATAGATAGATCGATCAATAGATCGATAGATATTTACATACATGACAATTTTTTTTTTTCTTGGCATAGTAGTTTTCTGTTTGTTTTTTCCAAAACAGCCTTTAAATATGGCATTATTTTCCATCTGTTACATTTCGGCTTGTATTATTAATATTTTTTTGAATAAATTGTCTGTTTTGCAGGTGGGATAGCCGGAGGCATTGAAATCTGCATCACGTTTCCGACAGAGTATGTGAAAACTCAGCTGCAGTTAGACGAGAGGGCAAACCCGCCTCGGTACAAAGGCATCGGTGTGTATTTACTTCTAATGGCTTCATGTTATTATCTTAAGTAGACACTCAACAATTGTTTCCATGTTAATTGCGTCTGTTTTGTCCTGAGAACTTTCCTGTAATGATTATGTGTAAGTACGCATCAGCAGAGACAGAGTCCACTCAGGTTTGAAGGTTCAAAGTTCAAGGTTTGGGTTTATCTGCCTCTGGACTTTGTGGCCCCTTTTCACAACAAGTTTATCAGCACTGAGTGTTCATTTGTTACACGCGTGCAACCGGCAGGGTCACGTTTCAACAGGCTGGTCATGTTCACTTTTAACCCCAATCCGATGAATGATCGGATGCAGGGGATCAGGCTAGAACAATCTGAAAAGGAAGTTAATGCTTTTAATAATTCATACCCACTCACGTTTACAAGCGCGTTTGAAATGTCTCAGATTATAATGCAAAAATGCTGATAAAGATAGTGAATTGCTGTGGTTCTCTGTTGCTCAGTTGACTGTGTGCAGCAGACGGTGCGGGGTCACGGGGTGAAGGGCCTGTACCGGGGTCTGAGCTCTCTGCTTTATGGCTCCATTCCCAAAGCTGCCGTGAGGTAAGACCTTCATAATAAGCCTCACACACCCGGCCTTTGGCTCTCAGTGTGAAGTCTGTTGCTCAATGCAGCTTATTCTGTCCGAGAGATGCCCACATTTTCCAGTCTCTTTCATCGGCTCGATATTTCTTTTGTAGAGTATAACTTGCTCATCATGACACATCATGTCTTGTCACGCTTGAATGGTTTAAAAGCTTGAATAAGAGTGTGGTCATATAGTGTAACACAAGGATGACGCCATGACGGGAAAAAATGTAATATGAATGAATGGATGGATGAATGAGGGATTTATATAACGCTTTCATATGTATTACTGTATTATTTAGTTTTTAAAATGGTAAAAAAAAACATTGAAAATATATACTATACTACAGTATACTATAAAACTAATTAAAAAGATCACAAAAAAACAAGTAAATATATATATGACTAGACTATATATGAATAAAACCTGTACCTCAATGTAACTAAAATAACACTGTTGGTACCCTCACCTAAAGGATTATTAGGAACGCCTGTTCAATTTGTCATTAATGCAATTATCTAATCAACCAATCACATGGCAGTTGCTTCAGTGCATTTAGGGGTGTGGTCCTGGTCAAGACAATCTCCTGAACTCCAAACTGAATGTCAGAATGGGAAAGAAAGGTGATTTAAGCAGTTTTGAGTGTGGCATGGTTGTTGGTGTCTGAGTATTTCACAATCTGCTCAGTTACTGGGATTTTCACGCACAACCATTTCTAGGGTTTACAAAGAATGATGTGAAAAGGGAAAAACATCCAGTATGGGGCAGTCCTGTGGGCCAAAATGCCTTGTTGATGCGAGAGGTCAGAGGAGAATGGGCCGACTGATTCAAGCTGATAGAAGAGCAACTTTGACTGAAATAACCACTCGTTACAACCGAGGTATGCAGCAAAGCATTTGTGAAGAAGACACAACACACACAACCTTGAGGCGGATGGGCTACAACAGCAGAAGACCCCACCGGGTACCACTCATCTACACTACAAATAGAAAAAAGAGGCCACAATTTGCAAGAGCTCACCAAAATTGGACAGTTGAAGACTGGAAAAATGTTGCCTGGTCTGATGAGTCTCGATTTCTGTTGGTAGAGTCAGAATTTGGCGTGAACAGAATGAGAACATGGATCCATCATGCCTTGTTCCCACTGTGCAGGCTGGTGGTTGTGGTGTAATGGTTTTCTTGGCACACTTTAGGCCCCTTAGTGCCAATTGGGCATCGTTTAAATACCTGAGCATTGTTTCTGACCATGTCCATCCCTTTATGGCCACCATGTCCCCATCCTCTGATGGCTACTTCCAGCAGGATAATGCACCATGTCACAAAGCTCCAATCATTTCAAACTGGTTTCTTGAACATGTCAATGAGTTGACTGTAGTAAGATGGCCGCCACAGTCACCAGATCTCAACCCAATAGATCATCTTTGGGATGTGGTGGAACGGGAGCTTCGTGCCCTGGATGTGCATCCCACAAATCTCCATCAACTGCAAGATGCTATCCTATCAACATGGGCCAACATTTCTAAAGCATCTTGTTGAATCAATGCCACATAGAATTAAGGCAGTTCTGGGGTCAAACACAGTATTAGTGTGGTGTTCCTAATAATCCTTTAGCTGAGTGTAAATATATACACATACCTATAAATATAAATAAAAATATATACAAACTTGGATATATTTATGTTGCATTCATTTATATTTATAGCTATTTCTTTATTCCTAATTCATATTTATTTATGCCTTATTGGGCCCATAAATCAAAGTTCTGCAAGGTAAACGAGAAGGAAGCTTTTTCTTTTCATTTTAAACAGGAAACTTGCTTGTGTTGATGTCTGCAGGTTTGGGATGTTTGAGTTCCTCAGTAATAAGATGAGGGATGAGTCTGGGAAGCTGGACAGCACGCGGGGGCTGATCTGTGGTCTGGGTGCTGGAGTCGCGGAGGCTGTAGTCGTGGTGTGTCCCATGGAGACTGTAAAGGTGTGTGAGATGATTAATGCCATGCGGAGCCTGGTACTTACGGTCTACACAGAGAGTGAGCAATCATGTGATATTTTAGTCTGGTCACATTGCATTGCTCACTTGCAGTCTAGACACAAATGTGAAGTCTTAACAGTTTACTTGTGCTTTACTTGTTATGTAAGACCATCAGACAAGTGTATTAACAGATTTTAATGCATTTATATCTGAAATGCATTGGAAATATAACCAGTGTGAAGTGATTGAACTGTGTTCGATGTTCATTTTATATATATTTTTCTATTTTTTTCTCCAATTTCAGGTCAAATTCATCCATGATCAGTCCTCAGCGAACCCAAAGTACAGAGGATTTTTCCACGGTGTGAGGGAAATAATCCGAACACAAGGTACATGTGTGTGTGGTGAAGGGTTAGTCTTGCAGCGCCACCTCCTGGAGACAAAACACACTTACAACCAATACATCTGTGATATATAAACTGAAACGGCTTTTCTAGAGAACCGGAAGTAAAATAATGGTAAATGTTTTTGAAACAAACTACTTTAACCTTCAACCTCAACTATGAAGTATTACTTCACTGACTTTTAAAATGCAGTTGAAAACACCCTTTTTACTTAGACAAGCTTTTAACATGTAGCTTCCATCTCTATTCTATTGCTTCTTATGTACAGTTTTTTTATATTGTTGTCCATTGATGTTTTTTACTGGAAAGCGCCTTCAAATAAATTTTGATTGATTGATTAAAAAAAAAAAAGGCATTGCATTAACCCTGCTTGCATTTTAATGCATTATATTTTAAGGGTTGGATTTTGTATTTGCTGAAATGGTTGCATATTTAAGCTTTGATATTTCAGTCCAAAACATTTCAAACACATTTTTATTATTTAAAATTCAATAATCCATTTTCACCGTTCATATTTCACTTCCAAAATATTCAAACTGTTTAAAAATACAACCTATAATATTCATCAGGCAATTTTCGGTCCATTTTATTTCGATTTGCAAATTCAGTGGTTCAAAATTCAACAGTAAATTCAACGTTGACATCCAGGAACTGCAGGAAAAGCAGTAGATTATCGAGCATAATCACCATATGCTGTTAGTCGGGGGGTGCAACAGATAGAGCAAGCCATTCATTCACAATTTTAGTATTATTTATACACACTTGTATAGTATTTATTAAAATTTTGGGTATTTTCAGTGTCCTTTTTAATTTGAGTTTTTTAGTGATTAGTTTTAAATTAGTTTTTCATCTAGTGTTTTTTATATATAAATATTAATTATATATTTAGTTTATGATAACACTGGCACAAAATTGGTGTGAATGGAGAATATGAGAATTTAGATGGCTTAAATCCTTGTTTGAAACAAACCTGTTTTTTTTTTAGCTTTTATCATTTACAGATTTGCATATAATAAATCAGTCTAGTTTGATCTCACATGAACATCATGTGACTCAGCTATCCATGTGACCGTCACACTTTAATCAACCTCTGATCCAATCGATTATTTGAACCACAGGACGCTCATTTCAATACAAACCAGTCATTGTAGTCGATAGAAAACGACCCCATTACTTGTTGGGACTCTGAATATTTCTGCTTTGTAAGTCTTTTCAATTACTACCATCTCTTCTTATTTCCCAGGACTCAAAGGAACATATCAGGGATTGACCGCAACAGTCCTGAAGCAGGGCTCAAACCAGGCCATCCGATTCTACGTAATGACCTCTCTGAGAAACTGGTACAAAGGTATGAAACATGATATAATAATTATAAATATATATGCACTGTTTGTGCTAATCAAGCAATGTGTTCCCTATAAATATTAGGTGATAACCCCAATAAGACTATTAACCCCCTCATAACCGGGATGTTTGGAGCCTTTGCTGGAGCCGCAAGCGTGTTTGGAAACACACCACTGGATGTGATCAAAACTAGAATGCAGGTGTGTAAGAAAAAACATTGTTAAACATTCAAAATTAAATAGAAAATGTGATATTTCAATGTTGTTGTTGTCAAATGTTCAATGTCAATGTAATGTTTGCAGGGATTGGAAGCTCACAAATATAAGAGCACCGTTGACTGCGCCGTCAAAATCATGAAACACGAAGGACCGGCTGCGTAAGTTAACATGATACTAAATTAGTCCAACTGTCTCGAATTAGCCGGGACGTCCCGTATTCTGGCCCTAATCTATCTGGTCAAGATTCTTTGATTAATAGAGGTTCAAAGTAGATTAAAGGAGTAGTTCACTTTAAAAAAACTTTTGATAATTGATAATTTGATCATTTACTCACCCCCATGTCATCCAAGTCCATGTCTTTCTTTCTTCAGTCGAAGAGAAATGAAGGTTTTTGATTTAAACATTCCAGGATTTTTCTCCATATAATGGACTTCAATGGGAACCAAACGGTTCAAGGTCCAAAATACACTTTCAGTACAAACTGCAAACTGTTCAAAGGGCTTTAAACGATTCCAGATGATGAATAAGGGTTCATGAATAAGAGTTCATCATCTTTTTCCGAGTCAATTCATTCGTTGAATGAACCAAATGACTCGGAAAAAGATTCGTTCATTTTGATGAACGAGTTCGAACAGGAGAGTCACGAACGCGCGTCACAGAACAGAGCAAGGCGAGCATTTGTGCCTATAAAACTTAAACTTTGTTATTTATTTTTTAAATGAGCGATCGTTTCGACCCTTATTCATCGTCTGGAATCGTTTAAAGCCCTTTGAACAGTTTGCACTGAAACTGTCTTTTGGACCTTGAACCGTTTGGACCCCATTGAAGTCCATTATATGGAGAAAAATGCTGGAATGTTTTCATCAAAAACCTTAATTTCTGTTCAAAAGAAGAAAGAAAGACATGGACATCTTGGATGACATGGGGGTGAGTAAATTATCAGCAAAAGTTTTTTCAAAAGTGAACTACTCCTTTAAATTACTTTAATATTTCACTTTTTACTGTATATATTTTTGCCAATTAATGCTGCCTTGGTGAGCAGAAGAGACTTTTAAAAACATAAAAATCTTACCGACCCCAAACTTTTGAATGGTAGTGTATATATATGAAATGATATTTTGTATGCCATGCACACATTACCGAATTCGAATGACCATGTATTTCATAATGACACCTGAAAGGTTTTGTGTGATGGACTCTTTTTTCTGTCTATTCTCTAGATTTTACAAAGGCACCGTCCCCCGGTTAGGTCGCGTGTGTCTGGACGTGGCTATAGTGTTCATAATCTACGAGGAAGTGGTTAAAGTTCTCAACAAGGTGTGGAAGACAGATTAATGGAGCGCTGGTGCGGAGCGGGGACGTTTACACAGGGGCCAAAACATCTGCAACCGCGGATGACAAAGAAATTAATAACCATCATTTAATCAACACCAACTAATGTGAGACAGAAATCAAATACTTGAAAATTAGTCTAAAGATAAATAGTATTTACCACAATTTAAAAAAAAAATGTTTTTATGTAGGGATCTAATCTTTATTTTTTGAATATTAGGTATAAATATTATATATATAGTGCAGATATTATAATTGTTTTCCGTTGTTTGTTTTCCTTACATGTGATCACATACTAAGTCCTGGAGGCCTTATATGAACACCATAAAGCTTAAACAGAATATGCATCTTAGAAATTTGAATATATATATATATATATATAATCTTACCCTAACTATTTTTGTCTTGGGTTAGACTTTATTTTAAGGGTGACAATAGTTATATTGTACTTACTCAAATAAGTACTGAGTAATATTCATTATGTACTTCCTATAGGGTTAGTTACTTGTAATTATACTACATTTACTGTTATTACTATAGTAAGTACATGTAGTAATGTGTAACTACGTCACCTTAAAATAAAGAGTAACCTTGTCTTGTTTTCTACTACAAATATCTTAAATTTAACAGTGAGTGGCTTTTACCCTTAAAACAAGAAAAATATTGGGTTCAAAAAATTAATTAAATACATTTATGGGGGGAGATTAGTTTATTTTCTGACCATTTTCGCATTCTTGATTTCAACAAAAAATTCTCTTAATTCTGATACATTTTTCATAAAACAAGACTTAATCTTTTATTTTATTTATTTATTTATTTAACTGTTAGTTTTCTATTATGGCATTTGTTTTTAATAATCAAAGGACCAAAAAGGAAGCAATAGTAGGGTTATCGATAGAGATACAGTAAATGTAGAGAAATCAATATCAATATAGATAGGGCTATCAAGATATAAGAGCTTTCATATACATTAAAACAACGGTATCTTAATTCATTTTGCTTCTCAAGATAAGATATTTGTGCTGGAAAACAAGACGAAATCACTGAGTAAGAAACTCATTTTTAGTCACTTTCTAAGATGCATTAAATTAACCAAAGCTTTTAATTATAACACACAAATGTGTTTTATACCTTATAGTGGTACATATGATACATGCACTTTCACATTTGGTATCAGTTCAGGTTTAGTGATTATTTTAAGTGCCTATACTAAAATACATCGTATGATCTATTTTGTTTAATTCTTACTTGTTTACATTTTCATTTCCATAATTTGTATAATTACACCCTTCCATAACAGTATACCTTAATATCAGTGACATGCACAACATGCTGAGCGTAAACACAAATCGTTTCAAAAACTGAACGGTGCTGTTTCACCAAAGAGCCAGGTAACAGGTAACCAGGTTAACAGTAGTTGAATGTTGTAAATAATGTTAAAAAGGTCAACAGATCTGACCAGAGCCTCTTATATACTGATCACGGATCAGTACATGCCTTAAATAACATTCTGTGTGCTTATATCGTCTTTTCCCTTCTGCTCTCCTACCTCAAGACTGACAACAGAGGTGAAATATTCAGCAATATTCAATATCTTTCAGATCAGTGGCAGACTGACATGCAACAGACATTGTAAAAAAGAATTTTTTTTTTTTTTCCAAATGTATTTCAAAACTGTCTTGTCACCAGACCTAAACTGTCTTAACGTGTAGTGTGCAACCCTTTCAGAGGTCATGGGTCAGCTGGGTTTTGCCTTCACCGCACATCATGTGTGATTATGGGAGAAAGTGTAACTGCCTTGAATTTACAGAGAGGTTCAATTGTCAAAACTATCATGTGTGCCTGTGGTTCTTAACTAAGTTTAAAGACATGTTTTAGATGTAATGCCGTGTATCTGAGATACCATGTGTCAGCCAAACTTTAGTGTTTATTTGACTTTGTAAACAGTATGGCGTAACTCTTTTGCCGGGATTATGGCACGAAGTTGAAACAGGATTTTATTTTGTGTTTTTGTAAAAGTAATCCGAATGCATTCCAAATGTGTGACCTAAATATGCATTAATTGTCATGCTAACGAAAAAAAAAAATACATTGTGCCTTCAGCTCATGTTCTAATCCAGAATAAACTATGCTGACTGGACAAATGAGTCCGTTTCTTTTCGTAAATATATTTGACAGAAATTAATGTTTATTATTAGGGCTGTGCAAAAGTTAATTGCGGTTAATCGCATCCAAAATAAAAGTCTGTGTTTACATAATATATTTGTGTGTGCTGTATATAATTATTTTGTATATATAAATACCTATGCATGCATGTATATATTTAAGAATTATTTGCGCTTACATTCTGTATATATTTATAAATACATAATCTATATTATATAAATTTAAATATTTTATATATGAATAACACATTTTCTTAAATATATACATGCATGTGTGTTTATTTATATATACAAAATTATTATATACAGCACACACAAATATATAATGTAAACACAGACTTTTATTTTGGATGCGATTAATCGCAATTAATTTTTGCACAGCCCTACTTATTATATATGTGACGTAATTGATGTTGGCGCCACGTATTTATGTGTGTCAGTTTCTTAATGAACGAGGCATGCTTTTATCATATTCAGAATTCATCAATGTATAGATGCTATTTTCTTTGATGCAATCCCAAGTGGAGTTGTACTTAGAAATGTATTAAACTGCCATTTTCAACAGTGTTTTGGTCATCTAAATATGAAAAGATTCAGTTGGGAAAAAGTACGGTCAATTACAAATAAGTAAATAATAAAGTTACAGAGGTGTCCTTTGAAATTTTATACGTAATTTAAGGAGTCGAGAGTAATATCCAACAATTTGGAAATCTTAAACTCGGTGATCCATCTTTTCTTTGAAGGCGTATAATCCACATTCTGCTTGTACGTCAACAAGCGTTTGTGACGTCAGAAACACTAGCGATTTCAAACCGTGTTTTTGAAACTGTCTTTGGTTCACTGCAGTTTTAAGCAGAAAATACTCAGAAGTACAATTATATGTTCTCATACAACTTTTTATCTTTCTTGGATAATATCACAGAGGAACTCACAAAAAAAAATGTCCACACTTTGCTTTAATAAAAAGAAATGGTGTCACTTTATTTGGATGGTCCTTTTTATCACATTTAGTTGACTATAAATAACGTTGCACCTCCATGTCTACTAACTCTCACTAGAGAGTTAGTAGAGTATTAGTAGACTGCTAGGGTTAGGGATAGAGTTAGTTGACATGTAGATGCAAGCTGCTCAGCTGATTGAAAGAAAAAGTGAATGAACAAGGAAGGAAGTAGGACTACTATTAGTAGGACTAATAATCTTCTCGGGGATAAAGCTCAGCAAGCATCTCTTTGGGGAAGATTCAATTCATTCAATATTTAGCCCGTTTGAAATTTAGCCTCTTCGATATATTGGCACCATGTTGAGAAAGTTTGGTGTGAATCGTTTGAGGCTCCTTGGAGCAGTAGTTAAAAATTCAAAGCTTGATTCCAAAAATCCACATTGAAACAAAAATATCTAACTTCCTGTTGGTCGGAGCTAATGACTGTAAATTAGAAAGTCATCCGGCTCGATGAGAATAATATGCAATATGTACCAAGTTTGTTCACTGTAGGGAAAACTAAAACCAAACACTTTAGTTAAAAGGTGACGCTTCTACACACCCATTTTTAAGACTTTGCGCATGTCTATACTGGCTAACAACTCTGATGTGTGTGTGTGTGTGTGTGTGTCGAGTTTCATGCAATTTGAAGCATGCTATCTCAGAAATAAATATAAAAGTTTGATGCATTGCCATAACAACAGTATTCAAGATATCAAGAATCCTTTCGCAGGTTTATGTCTGCCATGTCGAGACATTATTCTGATAAAGTTTGAAGGAAATTGGGTAAAAATAAGAAGGTGATTTCAAAGCAGTTTGAAAGTGACATGCTTCCATCTGCCATTTGGCGGCTCTATGACTTTGACTCACAATAGTCACATCCGTGTCATCGGCTTCCTACAGCGAACACACAGCTGAAATTTCATCAAAATCTATTAATGTATGCCGAAGTTATAACACACTTCCTGTTTTTTATTTATTTATTTATTTATTTTTACCGATTTTAGGCAGTGGATAAATTAAGAAAGAAAATTGGACCAAAATAAGACCAAACTTATTATGGACTAAACGAAGAGGGCAGGATTTTATTGTTTTTGTCCTGACATTTCCCTCTCGCTGGGAATCTGTGGATGTAAAGAAGTCAACTTTAGCACATTTTTAGGTTTCTCCCACTTGAACCCTAGCCCCACCAACTTCTTCACAGACTTCAGTTTATAACAAACCTTTTAGTCTAGAAGCTATTTAATCTTTCCTCAGGTTAAGTTCATAAAGTTATTGATTTGAATCTCTGGTCAGTATCATTTTTGCAATGGTTTTTCACTTGCCCAATAAACTTTAAATTTGAACAACCATTCATTAAATTATTTGAATCAATCTAGGGTGACCACCCGTCCCGCTTTGCGCTGTACCGCTCAGTATTTTCACCCTTGTCTCGCTGGACGTATGAAGCTGAGACTGCGTTGGTGTCTGCAGCCAGTCCAGACCCTATTCTATCGCGATAATGACCTTGCCAAATGTGCGCTCGGGCTTTCCGTAGTCGCAGCTCTCATCAGCTGTCACTAGACGAACATTTCATTTTAAGATGTAGATATTATTTGTTGTTTTAATATATAAATGAATGATGTCGTCGAAAGGGACGTCGCGAGGTTTTTACTTTAACACAGTGCTGTCTCTCGCGCGCTCTCTGGCTGCTCATCGACCCGCTCCGATTGACAAGGTGAGAGTTTTACTTCCTATTAGCATCTGAAGCTAACAGCTAACACAACCAAAACAAACCATACTTTAATCCTGTACCTAATGTTCGCTCTTATTTGGTTAACCTTTTTAACATGTATATCCAAATGTCGAGGACCATTCATTCAAATCGACTGACATTACGTTTATACGGTCATTGCTTTAACGTTACTAGTTTAACTTTCGTCCTCTTCAAATAAAGATATTTACATTATTAATCATTACCTATGTGTAATCATCTATATGTTGAGTTTAAACTGATTTCAATTGAATAAGCAATGTAATAATTGTTCATTTACTGCTCCGTTACAATACAGTTGTAGGGAACAATCAATGACAGGATAAAACTAAGAATCTAACAACAACAATAATAATAGTAACAATAATCAATCTTCTAGTATTCAAATGCACAATACACTTGTTTTTTAGGAGTGGAATCTATCACTTTATATTATATAACGTTACACACAATCTTTATATTTCATTTTCGTTCAGACATAGGCTAACTGTTTATTGATTTACAGTATGCCTTTTAATTCACTAATGTGCTGGCTGATGTTTCAGCTTTATTGCTCATTTTAGAGTAGCTTTTTGCTTAAAGACTGACATATACAATAACCCTGACACATGTTATTACTGCCTGACAGGACGTGAAAAACCAGATAGGCGTTGCAAGGGTGGATCTCTATAGAAAAGTTATTTGTGACTCTGAGAACAAAACATTTTTCTGAGCCTTTAAATCCATGTAAAGGTGCTCTCATTTAAAACCAAGTGTGTGGGATGCTGCTCCTAAAACTCATTTATACATGTTATATTCTTTATGTATGATGGTTTTCTGGTCGTTTTTTGATCACATAACATGACTTAATCGATAGCCTGTTTTAAAGGGAAGTAGGTTATAAACTTCCGTACACATTGAGGAACTTCTCTACATACTGTAATACTGCATCAAGAAGTTTTCATGATTTGTGTGCACTTGTTATGTAAATTTATTTGTTAGTTTAATTTTTTTTATTTAAAGTTTTTCATCTCATGTGTTGAGATGTAAAAAACATGATGTTTTATTCTTTATTTAAATGAACAAATATGTTTTTAGCTTTAGTTAACTATAATAACTAAATTGATTTTTTACTCTGTAGTTAGTTTGACACATGTAAGATGATGCTTATTATTTATACAAATTAAAGACAAATGGCAGACTGGCTCTTGTAGCTTCCACATGGTTAAGATTGCTGTTTTTTTTTCAATACATTTTCATAATTATAGGTCCAGAAGCTACAATGCATGTGTCCCGTGGACATCCGTGGTGTTTTCCAGCTGGATGAGCGGAGGAGAGATGCTGTGATTGCACTCGGCATCTTCCTGGTGGAGTCTGAGCTGCAGGTACTGGTTTTAACACGGCCACACACATCAGCTTTCTTCATTCAAATAGGGGAGAGCGGGACACATTAACCCTCCTGCTGTATTAAAAAACTGTATCACCTTTCGTATTCCCGGGTCAGTTGTGACAGAGTGGAACGTGAGCTTATAAAACAGTCAAAACTTTATATTTTAAAACTAAAACCATATTGTATCTGATCAGGGGCATCTTATTAATAAGTGAATGTTTCTGTGTTTTACTTTATTACTACAGTTACCGTCCTTTTTATTAAATACTTTGAGATTTTACATTATATTAAAGAATTAGAGCAAATCCACTGTAATGCAAGAAAATGTTCATGAGAAATTCTATTTGAATATATCATTAGGCCTATGTGACATTTATTAGAACATATAAACTCAGTTTTCCAGTATTCATTTAATTAGAAATATCTAAATTTATGAAACATACATATACTTTTCCAACACAAAAACAACAAAAATATCACTCTGGAATTTTTTTCAAACAAATTATATTTATTTTACTTGTATAAATTTCAATTTGAGATGTTAAAGATGATCAACAGCCTGAATCTACAATGCTTCATCAGTAGGTGGCAGCAGAATTAAATGTGGAATTCTATTTAACTCTCTTTGCTTTTTGTTCATTAATGGTTCCTTAGATATAGTTTATTTTTTATGTCACTTAGCCTACATCTTTTGTCTGTTTACTGTTTATAGTTCTATATGCATATTACCAATACAATTCAGCCTTAAAAGTGTGTGACATATGGGACAGAGGATAATTTCAGAAGTAATTTTTGCATATCTAATTAATGAATGTAAAAAAAACTAAGGCTGTCAAACGATTAATCGCGATTAATCACATCCAAAATAAAAGTTTGTATTTACATAATATATGTGGGTGCACTGTGTATAATTATTTTGTGTATATATAAATACACACACATGCATGAATATTTAAGAAAAAAATATTATTTATATATAAAATATTTGTATTTATATATAATGTAAATTATATATAAATCTATATACAGTACATGAAAATACAAGCATGTGTGTGTATTTATATATATATATATATATATATATATATATATAAAATAATTATACACAGTGCACCCACATATATTATGTAAACACAAACTTTTATTTTGGATGCGATTAATCGTTTGACAGCCCTAAAAAAAACTAAAACTATTTCTTAGGTAAAGCCACAGTTGGCTTTCCATGTCAAAACTGACTCAAAATAAATTTAAATGGTTATATCTCTTAAAATAGATATTTTTCAAAATCTGAAAAATAAATAAATGATGTGTATTTTGATAGTTAATGGGATCTTGTGTTAATCAAAGTGAACTGGTGTTGTTTAGCAGTGCTGGTCTGTGTGCTGAATGTATGTTCATTTACTCCTTCAGCACAGGGACACTATTGTCCCATACTTGTTGGTTTTGCTGAAGGGATTGCCCAGAGTGCAATGGATCGAGGAGAGCTCAGAGAGGAAAGGACGAGGTATAAAAAGGTCTTCTTTATCACATTTCCTTGCTTCATTCTTAAATGTTCCTGATCTTACGTGTCTCTCATCCTTGTGTTCAGACACACTCCCCATTGCGGAGAACTTCTCCTTCAGTTTGGTGACGATGCTCTCAGACGTGGCCCAGATGGACGAGTCTATGCGAATCCAGGTGCGTTCAACTTGCTGTTGTTTACCAAGATTATCTGAATAAATCTACTTTTTATTTTTCAACCAGGATCATTCAAATCAAGTTCCTAGTTTCTGTCAGTGTTTCTTTGATTAGCAGCTTTAGACTAATTTGCTACCCTATTGTATTTAAAAAGAGAGGCTTAATTTCTCACCACAGAACACATGATTGTATTGAGAGATGTCAGTTATAATTTGATGTAACAAAAACAAGTTTAATAGGTTGTATTACATCACTAACTGAACATTAACACCTGTGAATACGACAGTACAACGTCTCTCGTTATCATTCATGTTAAATGAATTATGCTGTGCATCTGAGGTCTAAAGAGAAAAGAGCAGAACTAATACATTTAAATTTTCTCAAATCTCTTTCAGATTTTGGAGGCCGTGATGAACCTCATGCAGGTGCTGCAGGAAATGTGTCAGAACATCGAAGGCCAAGATAAAGGTCAGTGTTTACTTCCGGACCTGAATGCTATTCATTATTTTTAGATGTTCATGTGAAATTCATAACTTTCATAATGTGAGTCAAATCAATCACCTGGAAAAAATGAAGAGTGGGATTCTATTTTATAAATCTGGATCTGATTGGATCAAGAAACATGGACTGTCAAATCATTGGTTAATATTTTATAATTATTTACACTAAAGTTTTTTGTGTAAGAAGTTTTTGAAGGAGTCTTCTGCTCACCTATTTGATTAAAAATACAGTAAAAACATTAATATTGTGAATGAAATATTATTACAAAAAACGTATTTTAAACATATTTATTCCTGTGATCAAAGCTGAATTTTCAGCATCGTTACACCATCGAAAGTCTTCAGTGTCACATGACCCTTTTTTAAAAATAAATGTCTTTACTCTCACTTTTGACCAATTTAATACATTCTTGCTGATAAAAGTATTAATTTCTTATTTAAAAATATATATATATATATATAATTAAAGTATATAACTATTGTTTTTTCTTTGCAATTATCACAATGTGACCAGATACATATATTTTAAAATTAAGAAATGATTTAAAATTAAATAAAAAATGAATGAATGAATGAATTAATAGGGTCAGTTTTGATTTCATGTTGACTTTGAATGGCTTAAAGGTGTTTTCAGTGTGAAGTAATTATACCCTCTCTTCTGATTTTCCTACCCAGAATACCTGTGTAAATACACTGTGCCCTGTCTGCTCGGAGTGGTGCGAGCGTTTGGCCGCTACAGCAACACAGAGGAGCCACTGCTGTCTAAACTCTTCCCACGGGTCAGCCATCAGACCCTGGGCACAGGAGAGGGGTCGGAGGTGACCCGACGACGATCCTTTAACGATTTCCGCTCCATCCTACCCACCTCGTTCCTCGCCGTCTACCAGAGCGACTCTTTACGCCGTAAAACCAGCAGTGTTTCCAGCATCTCACAACAGGTACCGAGTGCATCTTCTCCCTCCACCATAGGGGCTTTCGCACCGGGTAATGGTTCCCCCTAGGAACGTTTTCCTGGTTGCATTCGCACCGCTATTAGGAACGTAATAAGTGATGTAAGCCACGCTTGTTGTTGTGACTTTTATTTTGACGGCGCTGAGAACGGCATTAGAACGTTCATTAGTTTAAGATCTGTCTAACAGTCCTGTCAAATACGTAATTAGATAGAACTGTTAGTGTTATACATAGAAAGTAGACAGTATATGAAAAGGTATTAGCGTTTGCCGTATGTTTGTTTTCTATTGTCGCTAGCTGAACAGAAATACATAATCATGTTTCGCTTGGTCCCCTCAAAGTTAAGGTTAAGAGTCCCATCTTTCACTGTTTTCCATGTTCGTAGAGTTATTTTGTGGAGTAAATATATAGGCTATAACAGCTTTTTTTTTTTTAATGGCGGGTGCTGTTGTTTCCCATGCGTTTGGCCAATCAGCTTACTCTAAAGTCATGGATAGTCTGTTTAGTGCTGGTTTAGACCCTAAATTAGTTTCTCCAAAAGTTCCTGAGGTGAAAACACGCCAAAAAAACGGGTACTTCCGCCAATGGTTCTAGGATCTATGAAAAGGTTCCTCTGGTGCAAAAGCCCCTTATGAGAGGGTGTCTGCATCTTTAAAGCGAGACTGCAGCGATCAGAACATAAGCTATATAATGCAAACTCTAGAGTTGCACATACATACTTTAAAAAAATACTAGAATATCAATTCTATTTCTAATACAGACAAGACTAAAATGCATGTTTGAGCTGTTTTAACTGAAAGCAACTCTCTAAAAAAATATGTCAGTTTCATTGTTTTGTCTCGAGATGCACACACATAAAGTTTTTTTCTAAGGAACGTTTACAAAATGGCCTAATCTGTGTAACCAGGCCTATATGATTTAGTCAATAAGTGTAGCATTAGTTGAAATTGTGATTTTTGTGTCTGTAATGACCTCTTTGTGTTTTATAGGCCAGTCCAGAGCGTGCCGGAGTTCCTCCAGGTTCCCCTTCTGACCCTTCTGCTCCTTATTTCGAAGGTAACTTTAAAAAGAACAGCGTTTTTACAGGTTTGCCTACTTAGTATTTAGTAATACAATAGACATGTTTGGACAAGGTTGTGATGTCCACGAATGCTGTCTTGGTTTGATGTGTCCTGACGTGGTTTTGTTTTTGTGCTCCAGCTGGCTCATACCTCCCTGACGGCAGCGCTGTGGACCCAGACTACTATTTCTCCACCATAAGCTCCAGTTTTTCAGTCTCGCCTCTCTTCACGGGCAGCAACAGTAAAGAGTTTGATGTACCACTGGATTTACTGAGGCAGCTTCTGCAAATGGTTAATAATCTGCAATGTCTTCAGCTTCAGTATATTACGTTGTACTTGTATGCCACCTGTGTTTTCATGTTCACTCCGTTGATGTTTTTGTTGTTGCTTTATCTTCTTGGGTAGGTTGAGCACTTTGTGTCCGAATCTTTTATGAAGACACTGGATCAGAATATGGTTGAAGTTCTAGAGGTATATACTTTGATTCAGATCCCGCTGCTTTATGTTTGTTCGGTTCAAAAGACAATGTGTTGATTTGTGGGCCTTTGCTCTTTGTTACAGGTCAATGCGGCTGCTAATCTGAACTACAAGACGTTCAGTGATCCGCTGTATGTGGCCATTTTTAAAATGCTGAGGGACACTTTATACTACATGAAAGGTAAATGTAAATAAGTCAAGTCACCTTTATTTCCATAGCGCTTTATATTAAGAAGCTTAACAGTGATAAACAGGAAAATAATGATTCAATGATGTCAACAGAATTCAATTATACTCTAAAGCAGCTCTAAAAAGACAATAGTGTCATTATTCAACTGAACATTTTGTTATGAATTTTATTAATTTTTATTAATTTTTTATTAATTTATTGTCAGTATTTATTAATGATGATAATAATTATTGTTATATTATTATATATAATTGTTTTAAACATTTATTATAATAACAAAATAACTACAATTTATTACCAAAACAGTAAAATATTTTTGGCCTGTTATTCTTATTCTTATTCATTTATATTTATAAATCACAAATAAATGAAGTTTTCAGTTTATTAACTTTTAAAATATAAAATATTTGTGTGGTTTTATTATTATTATTAATAATATATTATATTTAATATTATAAATACCAAACAAATAAAATAAATTATATTTTATAATAAATGCTTAGATAAATGGCATAGAAGAAAAATACATGTTTATTAAAAAATCTTAATTTTGGGGGAATTTCACACAAATATTTAAGCATCTACTACATGAAAGGTAAATGTAAATAAGTCAAGTCATCTTTATTTCCATAGCACTTTATATTAAGGAGCTTAACAGTGATAAACAGGAAAATAATGATTCAATGATGCCAACAGAATTCAATTCTACTGCAAAGCAGCTCTAAAAATACAATAGTTTCATTATTCAACTGAACCTTTATTATTATTAGTCTTTATTAATGATAATAATAATTATTGTTATATTGTTATATATAATTGTTTTAAATATTTATTATTATAACAAAACCAAAAATACAAAAAACCAATACAAAAATATTTTTTATTCTTATTCATCTATAGAGATGAGATGTACATTTAAAGGCGCTATAGAAATTAAAGATTATTATTATTATTATATTTATAAATCACAAATAAATGAAATTTTCAATTTATTAACCTTTTAAAATATATAATATTTGTGTGTTTTTATTATTATTATTGATAATAATAATCTATTATATTTCATATTATAAATACCAAACAAATAAAATAAATGATTTAAATGAATAGTAGAAAATGGCTATAAATGCTTAGATAAATGGCATAGAAGAAAAATAAATGTTTATAAAAAATCTTAATTTTTGGGGAATTTCACACAAATATTTAGCATCTCTAAGCCTTGCAGTTTTCATTAACTCCAAAAGCTCCAGTAACTCTTAGTACTGTTTGTGTTAAAGTGATTGCTGTGTTCTCAGACCTGCAGGTGTCGTACGTGAAGGAGGTTCATGACTTTGTTCTGGAGCAGTTCAGCAGCAGTCAGTCGGAGCTGCAGAGGATCCTGCATGACGTGGAGTATCTGCACAGCGAGCTGAACCCGCTCAAACTGCGCTGCCAGGCCAACGCCGCCTGCGTGGACCTCATGGTGTGGGCCGTCACGGAGGAACAGGGTGAGATTGAGGGAGTCGGACTGTTCTGGGATCATTTGCTGCATGTTAGTCATGATACACTCTGACTGTTCATTTATCGGCTTATTCATTTATCGGCTTGTTTCTGCCAGGTGCGGAGAACCTTTGCACCAAACTGTCCGAGAAGCTGCAGTCTAAGACGTCTAGTAAAGTCATCATCGCTCACATGCCTCTGCTCATCTGCTGCTTACAGGTGCATCCTGAGTTTTGCCCCTCTCACAATGTGCTAATGAAATGATTATTTTGAACATTATAAGATATTTCATGTATGATTGTGCTACATGTGTTCTCGAAACAGGGTCTCGGACGGTTGTGTGAGCGTTTCCCTGTGGTGGCTCACTCAGTCACCATGTCTCTAAGAGATTTCTTGGTTGTACCCTCACCTGTGCTGGTGAAGCTCTACAAATATCACAGTCAGTACACCACAGGTGAGATCTTCCCCTTGATTTTGTTTTCATTAACAGTTCATTGTGTCTAGATTTATGCTGCTTGTGTCACGGTACATCAAAACAGAAATTAAAGAGGCCATCTTACAAAAGTCTCGATTTTGGGCTCTACTAGAGCAGGTTTTTATACTTAATGATGTGTTAAACACATTATTTTTCCCATATTCTCCATTGTTTCGGCTCCTCTCTTCCCAGTCTGTCAGTAACGCCCTGTTTAGTTCCTGTCTCTATGAAGCCCCTCCTTCTGAAAAGCACTCTGTGCTCTGATTGGTTGGCCTGATCAGTGTGTTGCGATTGGTCAAGAGCTCCAAGTGTGTTTGGGAAATGTCCCGCCCTTTCCATAACCACTAGTTTAACACACTACTAACTAACTCAATCAGGCCCCGCCCCTTTATTCTGCATATTAATTATTTAAATGAGGAATTTTGTGATGTGTTTGTAGACTACAATTGAGGCGTTTCAGGAGTTCTCTGACACTGATATAGAGAAGATATATCCGCTGGAGGGACTGTGCTTTCTGGTCTTTTTCATGCTCAAACAGCAACATTACACACTAAAGAAAGATGAATTTGTAAAAAAAAAAAGCATAATAGGTGCTCTTTAAAAAATATAAACTGTTGGCTCTGTCTAACTCCATTTTCCCCTAAACAGGAACAGGTGAGATCAAGATCCATGTGACCAATGAGCATTCCCAGTCCACCTTCAGTTCTCACGCCAGTAGGAAGAGTCAGCCGTCCATGTACGAGCAGCTCCGAGACATCTCCATCGACAATATATGCAGGTAAACCTCCTCTGTAGTTTTGAAAATATTTTCAGATGAAAGTTATGCCTAATTTCTGTGCACAATTAACATACAATATTAGGAAAAATGCGTTCCAAATCATAGTATGCCAAAGATATAGCATAGTTATTGTGATTTTCAAAGTGTGCATGTTTTATTTATTTTTTCTAATATAGCCAACAATTCCTTTGGATTGCATCTCACACATTCCGCTTGAGACTTTCAGACAGGACGCGGAATACGCGCGCGACGCGCAGGGATGTTTTGTTGCTGCGTCGACCTGCATCGACCACGCCGGTGTTAAAGTTCAAAATAGTTAAACTTTTTATTTGTAAAATAGCAAATCGCGTTGTATCTGAAGGGCAACGTTGAACCAAGCGGTCAGCGTCGCGCATTCCGCGTCCTGTCTGAAAGGCGCATAACGCATTTGACACTTTTCACACGCTCTCCTACAGAGAAAAATCACAGAGCAAAGAGGACACTGACACCGACAGACTAGACAGAGCAGGTTACTTTTGATATGAAAGTTGTTATTGATAAATCAGCTCTTAGGTTCTGATCACAGATCGTTGCTCCTCAGTTCAAGTAAACCGATCATCATGTTACTTTCGTTTTTATTTAAAGATACAGTATAACTTACCGAAAGGTATATTTACTTGTACATAATAACGATCAATCAGTGTTTTCAAACACGGAAAGAGCTCAGTAACACTGCAGGAGAACAGTTGTGTCAAAACGTTACATTTACCTCAGGAAAGCCATTTAATGACCAGCACATTCATTGACTATAGACAAAAAATAGCAAGGAGTATTTTGCTAAATATTATATTTAATTTCTCTCTGTATGTTTACACTATTATGTGAGTTTTTTTTCTTGAGAAACATTAACAGACTGAGGCCTACCTAATATTTTCCAAATGAGTCAATATTGAATTAAGACTGAAATCAAATCCAAGAATTTAATTGAATAATACAAACAGTAACCTACCAGTCATTGTAACATGTTGTCACTAAACTTTAAACAATTTGGTTTAGTTTACCATATGTTTTGAAAATCACAATTACACATTGATACAAGTTGAGAGTTTTTTAGAGACCCACAATGCATCTGTTTTTCTTGAGCATTAAAATATAATTTCATTAAAATATCGTGATAATACCGTATACCGTGATAAAAGCTCAATCAATTAACCGCAGCATGAAAATGTGATACCGGCACATGCCTAATTGTGCAATTTAGCATATTTTATAACTTTAATTGTGACATACAATTTCATTGTGTTTCAATAATGACATGCTACTGTTTAAAAAAATGTGGGTCAGTAAGTATTATTTTACAGAAATTAATGCTTTTATACACTGTTTAAAAGTGTAATTTAAGATATTTATAATGTTACACAAGATTTCTAATTCTATTCAATCTTGTTCTAGAAAGTCTAGTCTAGCCTATAGTATGATTCTGCAGTTTTTCATCTGGTTAATAACCACAGTTACTAAACACTAATAAGTAACTATTTTTCTCAATCCAGGTGTTTAAAAGCGGGGTTGTCCATGGACTCAGTCATCGTTGAGGCTTTCCTTGCCAGTCTTTCCAATCGTCTGTACATCTCGCAGGAAAATGACAAGTATGTTCTGACAGTAACTCAAATCTCATTCATCTTAAAGGATTAGTTCACTTTTGAAAAAACTTTTGGTGATAATTTACTCACCCCCATGTCATCCAAGATGTCCATGTCTTTCTTTCCTCAGTCGAAAAGAAATTAAGGTTTTTGATGAAAACATTCCAGGATTTTTCTCCTTATAATGGACTTCCATGGGAACCAGGTCCAACCGAGGTCCAAACGACAGTTATAAAAGTTTCAGATGCAGCTTCAAATGTCTTTAAACGACACCAGACGATGAATAAGGGTCTTATCATGCGAAACGATCGGTTATTTCAAAGCTTATTCCAAAAATGTAACTTTTCTAAGGACAAATGCTAGCCTTTCTCCATTCTGTGAGGCGCGTTTGCAACGTCACGTAATACGTAATTACGTTCAAAAGGTCACGGGCGACGTAGCCGGAAGAACAGAGTCAGAGTGTTTACAAGTTGAACGCATAGGTTGAACGTGCAAACTAGCTCAAACGCCGTTTACAAAAAAGGAATTAAAAGGTAAAACAACGATGTCGGACGATTTTGATTCTGTACTTCCGGCTACGTCGCCCGTGACCTTTTGAACGTAATTACGTATTACGTGACGTTGCAAATGCGCCTCACAATATATTACAAGGCTAGCATTTGTCCTTAGAAAAGTTACATTTTTGGAATAAGCTTTGAAATAAGTGATCGTTTCGCATGATAAGACCCTTATTCATCGTTTGGTGTCGTTTTGGTGTCCACATTTGAAGCTGCATCTGAAACTGTTATTAACTGTCGTTTGGACCTCGGTTGGACCTGGTTCCCATTGAAGTCCATTATAAGGAGAAAAATCCTGGAATGTTTTCATCAAAAACCTTCATTTCTTTTCGACTGAGGAAAGAAAGACACGGACATCTTGGATGACATGGGGGTGAGTAATTTATCAGCAAAAGTTTTTTCAAAAGTGAACTAATCTTTTAATCCAATTAAATAGTTAGTATTTTAAATCATTCGTTTTCAAAAGCTCTCATCTAAGGGTAGCCTAAAGTAGCATGAAACAGAAGTAGTCTCTTCTTCCTAATTATGACGTATATCTGAGGTAAACGGCTTCATGAAAAGAGAATAAATGTGGGCGGGGATTGATTTTGCCCTTGGGGAATTGAATGAATGGTTGTGGTTTGCTATTGGTGGATCTCAGGTTGTCCCGCCCTCATCATCAGAGAAGAGAAGAGATGCTGCAAGAGGGAGGGGAAGTTATTCTGAGATGATCTGAGACTATGAGGCACACAAATAAAAAAATATATTGATGTGCACGGATAAATCATCATTTGAAATAAATACTGCAGTATTAAATAAAATATAAAGATTCCATAATGTATAAAAGTGAGAAAAACATTGCGTGCGTCTCTCCCGCAGGGAAGCCCACCTCATCCCAGATCACACCATCCGAGCGTTAGGACACATCGCCGTGGCTCTGAGAGACACTCCCCGTGTGATGGAGCCCATCCTACAGATCCTACAGCAGAAGTTCTGCCAGCCGCCGTCCCAGCTGGACGTGCTCATCATAGATCAGCTGGGCTGTATGGTCATCACCGGAAACGTACGCAGCGGTTCTGTCTTCCGTCGTAGAGAGTGTTTCGGTCAGTCTAATAGTGCTAACGTCTCCTTTTTATCTGTTTGTCTCCGACAGCAATACATTTATCAGGAAGTTTGGAACTTGTTCCAGCAGATAAGTGTGAAGGCCAGCTCGATGGTTTACTCCACCAAAGACTACAAGGATCATGGATACAGGTGATTGTTCCCAGGAGATTTCTTTGCTATTTTGGCTTTACCATGAGTGTGTGGATTGAGAAAAATCATATTAATCGCAACAGATAATATCAAGTTGTGCTCTAAATTGTTTCACTCATATATGTCACATCATAGTTTCTTTCAACCATTCTTTTAATACAAAGTAAAAGAACTTGTGCCAAGTGATGAATGCAATAAACAACACTTTGTCATCATCAAACAATATAAATAAATAATAATAATAACAAATTCTGGCTCAATTAACAATAAATAAATACATTTTATATATATATATATATGTGTGTGTGTGTGTGTATCATTACTCCAGTCTTCAGTGTCACATGATTCTTCAGAAATCATTCTAATTTGCTGATTTGCTGCTTAAGCTTCATGCATTTGTTAAAACCATGAAACACTGCAATTCATAATTATCAGATAAAAATATATATTTTTAAATATAAGACATTAAATTAATCAAAAGAATATCCTGAAAACATGTAACATAAATATGAACACAACTTCTTTTTTTTACATTGAAAATAATAATAATTATTGAGCAGCAAATCAGCATATTAGAATGATCTCTGAAGGATCATGTGACACTGAAGGCTGGAGTAATTATGCTGAAAATTCAGCTTTGATCACGGGAATAAATTACTTTTTAAAAATATATTAATTTAGAAAACTAATTGCTGTTTTTACTGTATTTTTAAGTATAAGAGACGTCTCTAAAAAACACCTTAAAATCTTGATTTCAAACTTTTGATACATTAAGATATAGACATGAATATAGATATAGACATACACATGAAAAGTACAGGCAATAATAGTGAGCATGACACTAGCGCATCACAGCACATTAATGTTTACCAAGTGCATGTTTAACATGTCAGTTAACTCAGTATTGTCGTGTTTGGGACAGGCACTGTTCTCTGGCCGTGATCAACGCTCTGGCCAACATCGCAGCGAACCTGCAGACAGAGCAGATGGTGGATGAGCTGCTGGTGAACCTGCTGGAGCTGTTTGTGCAGCTGGGACTGGAGGGGAAACGAGCCAGCGAAAGAGCCAGTGAGAAGGGCCCGGCCCTCAAGGTATCGTGTCTTCAGATTAAAGTCCTTTGTTGTTATTTCTCTACTTCATTGTTGGACAAGCATGCTTGTGCAACATGTCTTGCATTCTTTATATCATACTGCTGTGTTCTCAATGTAAAGACATTCTGAATGTTACATGGTATTAAAAGAGTGAATGTAGAAATGCAGTGTGGTATGCTATAGAAAGGATTGATTTAATTCAGTCCAGATCATGGGTGTTAATGCTGTAATAGGATTTGCCCTTAGAATTCACAGGTGACTGTTGAAAAGTCATGAAACATTTAGTTTCTTAAAGGAGTAGTTCACTTTAAAAATAACTTATGCTGATAATTTACTCACCCCCATGTTATCCAAGATGTCCACGTCTTTCTTTCTTCACTTGAAAAGAAAATCAGGTTTTTGATGAAAACATTCCAGGATTTTCTCCATATAATGGACTTCAATGGGGTCCAAACGGTTCAAGGTCCAAATGAAAGTTTCAGTGCAGCTTCAAAGGGCTTTAAACGACACCAGACGATGAATAAGGGACGATGAAAAAAAGCTTAAGTTTTATAAGCACAAAAATGCTCGCCTTGCTCTGTTCTGCGATGCGCGTTCGTGACTCTCCTGTTCGAACTCGTTCATCAAAATTGAATCTTTTTTCGAGTCATTTCATTTATTTAGTTCGTTGAATGAACCAAATGACTCGAAAAAAGATTTATTCATTTTGCTTATAAAACTTAAACTTTTGTATTTATTTTTGAAACGACCGATCGTTTCGCTTGATAAGACCCTTATTCATCGTCTGGTGTCGTTTAAAGAGCTTTGAAGCTGCACTGAAACTCTCATTTGGACCTTGAACCGCTTGGACCCCATTGAAGTCCATTATATGGAGAAAAATCCTGGAAAGTTTTCATCAAAAACCTTAATTTCTTTTCGACTGAAGAAAGAAAGACATGGACATCTTGGATGACATGGGGGTGAGTAAATCATCAGCAAAAGTTTTTTTAAAAGTGAACTACTCCTTTAATTGGATTATTTGAGTAAAGTAGTGTTTCTGCTTTCTAATATATCTTATGTTCGTTTTTCCTCAGGCATCCAGCAGCGCTGGGAATTTAGGAGTTCTCATTCCTGTCATTGCTGTGGTGAGAGATTGTGATTTCTGAATGTACTGTATACAGTCTACATAGCTTGAAATAGAGTGCCGAAGTGATGACGTCACTTTGTAGGACAACTCGGAAGTTAGCATCGCAAGGGTTCCCTCGATCGAAAAGCAATTCATTTTCCCCATAGACTTTTGGAAAATCGCAAAAAAATAAGATCTGTGTTTAACAAAGAGTTGTGACCCTTACACGCTTTGTCTATCAAGATAATCTTTACAAGTTAATCCAAAATTTATACATTTGAAGCCGATATAAAGTTAAAAAAAAACACAAGCAGACACAATAAAGTTTAAAAAATCACAAGCAGGTTATATAACTGGTGTATTTTATGTCATAGATCAAAACGTGAAAATATTTAGAGGCTTTGTAAACCACAGACCTTATTTCAGGTGATTTAGCAAAAACCCATTCAAAAATCCCATAGACTTTAGAGAGAGTGAACTGGGATTGCTAAAATGCTAACTCACTTCTGCGTTTTGGGCTACAAAGTGACGTCATAACTTCGGCACTCTATAGCGGATTACAATACCCTAAATATATTTATTGGTCAACACTGCCTTGATTTCACAGATTTCTTCTTTTAATGTCTAGTTGTTATTTACATGCATGTTTAGATTTAAGATAATCCGATTTATTAAAAAAAAAAGATGTATATTTATGTTTATAAATTAAACCTGTAAATGTACATTATACAATTGAGATTTGTTATACGATCAGATTTTATTTGTTGCAAAATTTGATAAAACAAACACACTGTATTTTACGTTGTTTACCTACAGTCTGCACATTTTATTATTTTGGTTAAATTCTGTTTGTGTCACTTTGCTCATTTTTTAATCTGTCTGCTTTTTTATCTTATAGCTGACCAAACGTTTGCCGGCCATAAAAGAGGCCAAACCGAGACTTCAAAAGCTGTTCAGAGACTTCTGGCTATATTCGGTTGTGATGGGCTTCGCTGTTGAGGGCTCAGGTCAGATATTTGTCATTTATATATTACTTATATATAATCCAACAGTGACTTGAACACCCATGCTTTGGACACCCATGCTAAAGAAAATCCAACCTTTAAGGACACCAGTTTTCTTTCTGAATGAATAATGTATCATGGCCAAGGGAACTTTATAAGAATGCATATCAATCATCCTATCCTATTATATTATCATTGCCAGCACAGGCCAATGGTAGTTTAAAGTACTTTGTGTTGGCCAGATTTAGGTTGAAACGACGTCACACCAGTTCACCCTTTGATTTAGTTTGATGTATATCTGGGCCTTAAAGGAAGCCTTGTAATAACACAACAATGCTGCTTTATAATACTCCAATATTAATTGATTGAGATCCATTTTTTGGTCCGAATGTGGATGATATCTTCAGCTGATTTTGAGAAATCTTCTTCAGGTTTGTGGCCGGAGGAGTGGTATGAGGGAGTGTGTGAGATCGCAACCAAATCCCCCCTGCTGACGTTCCCAAGCGGAGAACCGCTGCGCTCAGAACTGCAGTATAACTCTGCCCTGAAGAACGATACTGTCACTCCGGTACCTCTTTATTTCTTCTTATTAAATCTCAGATTGCTCCAATATCACCTAATCAGACTGATTATATTTGGTCAATTCCGACATGATCTCCAGGCTTATTATCATTAACTATACGTCAAACCATAAAAGCATTTTCGGTCCCACTTTATATTAAGTGTCTTTTACTAATATTTTAATTAATAATTTGATACAATGCATTTATTGTGTAAATTTACATTGTACTTCTATTTTAAAATACCTGCATGTACTTACAGTTGTAATTATGCTTGTACAGTACTTGTTGTTTTTAAAAAGTGCTCTAAATAAACTTTGATTTGGTTAATTTCTGAAATTTATGATAATTATAAAATAAATTCTATAATTTCACTTCCCTTGCACTTTAACCCAGTCTATGACTTTAACCCACTCTTAAAAGAGTAGTTTACGTTTGAAAAAACTTTTGCTGATAATTTACTCACCCCCATGTCTTTCTTTCTTCAGTCGAAAAGAAATTAAGGTTTTTGATGAAAACATTCCAGGATTTTTCTCCATATAATGGACTTCAATGGGAACCAAACGGTTCAAGGTCCAAAAGACACTTTCAGTACAAACTGCAAACTGTTCAAAGGGCTTTAAACAATTCCAGACGATGAATAAGGGTCTTATCGAGCGAAACGATCGCTCATTTAATAAATAAATAACAAAGTTTAAGTTTGATAAGCTCAAATGCTCGCCTTGCTCTGTTCTGTGATGCACGTTCATGACTCTCCTGTTCAAAGATTTGTTCATTTTGATGAATGAGTTCGAACAGGAGAGTCACGAACGCGCATCACAGAACAGAGCAAGGCGAGCATTTGAGCTTATAAAACTTAAACTTTTTTATTTTATTTATTCAATGAGCGATCGTTTCGCACATTTGAATAATTAAAACGAAATAAACTAAAAGAAAAAGCTAAAACGTAAACACTGTGTATTAGACATATTTAAACAAAATCTATAATAGTATATCAATGATACTAAAATAACACTGAATTTTGTCGTGATTCGCCCTGTTAAACTTTGTGTTTCCAGGCCGAGTTGACTGATCTGAGGGGGACCATCATTAATCTCCTGGATCCTCCTCCTGAGGTCGCTGCGCTCATCAATAAACTGGACTTCGCCATGTCCACCTACCTCCTGTCCGTCTACCGGCTGGAATACATGAGGTACGAGGGAACGCCAGGCTATTAGACTTGATGATTTTGATCTGAACAGTCACATGACTTCTTGTAACTTCTCAGGGTGTTACGCTCACTGGAATCTGATCGTTTCCAAGTGATGTTTCGTTATTTTGAAGACCGGGCTATCCAAAAGGATAAATCAGGTGGGTTTCTAGACGATTTAAGAAATATTTTGTAACCTCCTATAATGCAATACAGTCAAAACCATGTTTTTTTTATGCACTGACTAGGCAGATTTGAGGTTTTAACATGCCTTCTTTCAAGCTAGTAGGAAAAAAAAAACAATCAAAATGCTTATATAACTGATTTATGTCATTTTATTAGTTATCTATTTTGTCTGTATTTCAATTATTATACATGTCTTTAAAGGCTGTGAGATTTTTCTCCACTTAAGCATCACTTTACAAGTTTTATTCCTATCTAAACTTTACAGTTTTATTCCTATCTATATTCTGAAGGGTTTTACTGAGTGGTTTGTTCATATATCATTCACCTCACATTTATATTACATTTTATTGCTAAAAACATGGTGAATTTATTTTTGCCTGGCTGTTGAAAGTATTTTCTGATTTAGGTAAAAATAAAGCAACAAAAAGAAACAATTTTTCAGATTTCCGTTTTGGAAATTTATGTAAATGAATGCATCTATATTGCCTCATTGCCATTTATTAAACATAGCATTTCAGAGAACTTGTAATACAAAAAGAAATGTCTTGATGTACTGTGTTTAATCACCTGGGGAAGTGCTTTTTAGTTCAAACTTGCCCTATTTACCTGTGGCGTCTTGCCTAAAGATTCAAGTTAGCAAATTTATTCATTTGACAGCTTTGATGTGATTATGTCTTCGTTATTTCCTGTTTTAGGAATGATGCAGTGTGTCATTGCAGTGGGTGACAAGGTCTTTGATGTCTTTCTTCAGATGATGGCTGACAAGGTAAATGAAAATTGAAGTGCTTAAAGGGATAGTTCACTTTGAAATCAATTTTTGGTGTGTTTTAGCTTACCTCAAGGGCATCCCAGATGTAGGTGTCTTTGTTTCCGCAGTAGTCATATAATGTAGTCATATAATGCAGGTCTATGGTCACCACCTCAAAAAGCATGCACAGAGAAGTCCAGATTAAACATGATTTAATGACTCGTAAATGTAAGTACACATTGATGGCCTAAGACACGAAACGGCGGGTTTGTGTGATAAAGAAACAGTATTTATATTGTTTTTACCTCTTGTAATCACAGCCACGTCCAAGTGATTTGAGGGCGCAGGCACTTTGTGGCTGTGGTTAAAAGAGGTAAAAACGATATAGATACTGTTCGTTTTCTCACACAAACCGCTCGATTCGTGTCTTAGGCCATCAATGTGTACTTCCATTTACGAGTCATTAAATCATGTTTAATGCTCTTTGAGGTGGTGACCATAGACCTGCATTATATGACTGACAGACAAGAACGGTTTGACCGAAAAATATCAAAATTGAAAATAATGTGGAAACAAAGACACCTACATCTTGGATGCCCTTGAGATAAGCTAAAACATATTAACAATTCATTTCAAAGTGAACTATCCCTTTAATGCTTAATGTGAACAGATTTAGCATCACTTCCAAACTAGACTCAAATGGAGGACATGAACCACTCGTTGTTGTCCTCTAATATTAGAAGTTTTTACTTTTTTTTCCCTAGGATAAGACCAAAGCCCATGAGGAGGAGTTAGAAAGTCATGCTCAATTCCTTTTGGTCAACTTCAACCACATTCACAAGAGAATCCGAAGAGTGGCTGATAAATATCTCTCAGGACTCGCTGAGACGTGGGTGCTTTTCCATTACAACCACAGAAAATGATACTAAACCATATTCTATTGAGATGTTGTTTCTGTAGCTATGATAAAGAATCACTTTCAACTTTGAACTGGTAGAGTCAGTGTTTTTATATGGGTTGGTTGATTATCGGTCATCTCACACACAGTAGAATAGTATCTTATGTTGATTTCTTCTTCTTGACCGTTAACAGCTTGTCTCTTTGTGTTTCTTCTAGTTTTCCACACTTGTTGTGGAGCGGTCGTGTCCTGAGGACCATGCTGGATATATTACAGACCCTGTCTCTTTCACTCAGCGCTGTATGTGCTTCTTCCTTTGCTCAATGCGTTTCCTCGTTTGGAGATTTATTGCAGGAGATGTTTATGATACATTATTGATTTTAAAATCTTGAACTGTTCTTCAGGACATCCACAAAGACCAGCCGTATTATGACATTCCGGACACCCCGTATCGCATCACAGTGCCGGATACATACGAGGCCAGAGAGGTACGTTTACTTCACTCATTTTTTTACATTTATTTAAATCACAGGAATATGTACAGTTCCTGCTCAAAAGTTTGGAAACATTACTGTTTTTAATGTCTTATGCTCATTTGATCAATAATACAGAAAAAACAGTAATATTAAGCAGCATAGCAAAATTGATAATAAATCAGCAAATTAGAATGATTTCTGATGGATCATGTCACACTGAAGACTGGAGTAATGGTATATTAAAATAGTAAAACATTATTTTGATTTGTAATAATATTTCACAATATTACTGTTTTTTCTGTATTTTTGATTAAAATAAATGCTGGCTTGATGAACTTGAGCGACTTTCAAAAACAGTAAAAATAGTAATGTTTTCAAACGTTGCTTGTAACCATATTTATTTGTATGATATATTTATTTATTCATTTGGTATCACTTTACAATAAGGTTCATTAGTTAATGCATTTACTAACATGAACTAACCGTGAGAAATACATTTGTTACTGTATTTATTAATCTTTGTTAATGTTAGTTAATGAAAACACAGCTGTTCTTGTTAGTTCACAATGCATTAACTAATGCCAACATGATTTTTTTAATAAAGCATTAGTATATATTGAAATTAACATTAACAAAGATTTTTGTTAATTTTTGTAATTTTTGATTAATAAATGCTTTATAAAGTACAGTTATTAGTTCACGCTAACTAATGTAGTTAACTAATGTTAACTAGGGTGACCACCCGTCTCGCTTTGCGTTGTACTGCACAGCATTTTCACCTCTTGTCCCGCCCGTCGCATATTGAGGAAATGTCCCGCATTTTGATCAGTCTATTAGTTTTTAATATCATATTAAGAAAACGTGCATGCGTTCTTTTGCCTTTTTAAGAAAGCATTCTACTTATTACTTTTGCTGCGTAGTTTGCAGCTCTTCGTCATAAGTACAAATACAACAGCTGTGTTTTAGCTATACACTCACTATCCAATGGTTGAAAAGAAAGGAGTAAACACGATCACTCGTTGGTTGTGATGGCTGTCAATCAAAATGTGGACCGGTGATTCGTTTCATATATGTTCGGAAAACAAATGGATAATTAAGTAAATTAAAATGTTAATTTAACTGAATTTATCTGTTGTTGTTTAACCTGCAGTGGTTGTTTTAATTCACATCCTTTCTAAAAATATGAACGTTTTTGGTTTTGGTCTTTAATATACAGTATAAGACTGTCTATCTAATTTCATGTTGTTTTATATTTCATTTGTTCATTGTTTATTTTGTTGGATTTTATTGTTGGACTTGGTCAGAAATATTTATATACATAATTCCTGCTGCCTTTGGGCTCAGTGATGCTGAATTTAAATGACTTTTTTTGGAAAAAAAAAAGATTTTTTTCTCTAAAGAACAAATCATTTTTATCAGCTGAAAGGCAGAATATAAATGTTTTTATCAAGTTAGATAGACATTATATAACAGTTTCAGGGTATGTTTTAGTGTTGGTAACATGTCCCACATTGTCCCACACAAATGTATAATTGTCCCACATTTGGTTTGTTTGATGGTGGTCACCCTAATGTTAACTAATGAACCTTATTGTAAAGTGTTACCATTCATTTATAATTTATAAGTGTAAATCTGCTTGATTTTTACTATTATAAAAAAACATTGGAAAACAATTAGCACAAAAAAGCATAAATATGAAATTGAACTTTTTATGAAAAAACATGCTATTGCATATGTGTTATTGATACATTTGTGATGTCATATGTCACATGTAGAGCATAGTTAAAGACTTTGCTGCCCGCTGTGGAGAAATCCTTAAAGAGGCCATGAAATGGGCGCCATCGGTCACCAAATCTCACCTACAGGTTTGGATTCCCATTAAAAAAACAACAACAGAGATTTGACTTCAACAGTATCATCCTCTGCAATGATTTTAACATCATCTATGCATCATCTACAGGAATACCTGAATAAGCATCAGAACTGGGTGTCGGGTCTGTCTCAGCACACGGGTCTGGCGATGGCCACTGAGAGCATCCTGCACTTTGCCGGATACAATCGGCAGAGCACCAGTCTGGGTGTAAGATGAACGACTTGTGTTGTGTTTTAATTCATACAAAAGGGATTTTAATTAGTTCCTCAGTGATTATGTTTTCTCTCATTTCAGACCACTCAGCTCACAGAGAGACCAACATGCGTGAAGAAAGACTACTCTAACTTCATGGCCTCCCTTAACCTTAGAAACCGCTATGCTGGAGAGGTAGTGCTAAATAATAAAGCAGAGGCTGTTGGGTATTTTATGAAAAAAGCATTAGTCTTAACTCCTCACATGTCTCGTATACAGGTGGCAGGGATGATCCATTTCTCAGAGGCCACGCGGAGCACGTCGGACCTGAATAAGCTGATGATCCGTCAGATGAATGAAGCTCTGGACGGAGGCCAGCCAGAAGCCTTCACTGAAGCCATGTTCAAAATGGCCGCGCTGTTGATCAGCTCCAAAGGCATGTCGTTTCATTGCAAGCTACACGCCAGGAGTAGATCTCCATGTGGTTGGATTGCAATTACAACAAAAATTTACATTTCCTAATCAACTGTTATAAGTATACTGCAAACTATGCTAAATTTCACAAATCTTGATTTCGTTTTTTGGGGTCTATTAGAATAAGTTTGAATGTTTTAAAAACATAACTTTCCCCTTATTCTCCATTGAGTTTGAACAGTACCGCTCTGGGGTGCGTTTCCCATACAACGACGTAGTTCGCTGCTTCACTACCATTAGGGTTGGGTATCGTTTGAATTTGAACGATTCTGATTCCGATTCCGATTCCTTGTTTCGATTCCGGTTCCTGACGATTCTCAATTCCGATTCTTTTAAGAGGCAGGGTCAAAAAAGTTTAGCTAACCTTGCTAACCAACGGTCTTTCGGAAGGAAATAATCCTTTCTGAAGGAAATACTCCTTCTGTCACAAATACTCCTTTTTGTCACAAATTTTGCATTTTGCCGAGGTTTCGTTATTTTTAGAAAAGTGAAGCCACACTTTAGACCGCCGACGTAAGCTGCTCATGTTCGACTCGCGCGGTTATGCCAACACTTCCGGTAGACGCTTCTTCGTTGGTGTTGTTCAGCAGTTTCTTCTTCCGCTCGGCGGACTGTGAATATCGAAACTAGGAATCGAAATTTTAACTTTTGAACGATTCCGGGAAAAACGAAAAGTTAGTCCCGGTTCCAATCGATACTCGATTCTCGATACCCAACCCTAACTACCATAGTACGATGCATCGTTGGAGAAATCAACTAGCTAGTCACGACTGTTCCCCAAAACCCACTGTCGCAAAGTATCGTTCAACCACGTTGGTTTCGCACGTGGTGGAGTAATAACTACTTTTAATGAAACTGTTTGAGATCCAATTAATGCTAGATTTGTTCATATAAATTACAGACATGTCATCTGAGGACTATTTCTAATTGTTCTGTTATTTTGCTTTATTACAATACCAGACTCAATATTTGGCTCGTTCTTACATAGTAGAGCGAGTTCGCACATGCGCACTTTTCAAACACGGTACTTTAAATCGTTTGACAAACTAAAACACGTAAATTACATTTGTATGTATTCTAAATAAAAGGTACTGAATGTCAGCTTGCTTATTTTGCTCAAGATAAGGATTTATTACCTCCAAATGTCATGAAATATAGAAACGATGCCTCTAACCACAGGTCGAGAGCTGTCGTTCAAACCACACAACTTTGCGATGCTGTTTGCGAATGTTCGTTGGAACGCTCGTTTTGGGAAACACCGACTCGTTACACTATGCTGATAACGACGGAACTTGCGATCATAGTTGGCTAACTTCTGGGAAACGCACCCCTGTTTAGTTCCTGTCTCTATGAAGAGCCTCCTTCTAAAAAGCACACTGTGCTCTGATTGGTCGACCGCACCAGTGTGTTGTGATTGGTCAAGCTCTTTTGAGTGTGTTTGGCAAATGTCCCGCCCTTTACCATAACTGCCAGTTTAACACACTACTAACTAACTCAACCAGGCCCCGCCCCTTTATTCTGCATTAGAGCCAGACCGATAAATGATTTTGAAGGCCGATACCGATACAAATTTTTGTTGGTTTTAAAATCCGATATATCGGCCGATATTATTATTATTATTTCAGAAACGCACAACAAAATATTAACAGATTTCCCTAACATTAGTTATTTGTAGTTATTTATGAGTTTTAACTAAAATAATATGATAATGCATTTTAAAAAGAAACTTGTTTCTATTGTCTCAACAGAACAGAGGAACATCAAAATATTTTGAAGTTCTGATAAATAAAATAATAATTAGTCCCTACATTGCCTTATAGTTATAAGCTACCTTATAATTACAATGTCAGCTTGCTTATCCCTTTACCTGCACTTTTTGACAACACTCATGACATGGTCGAAGCGTGATTCGTCCGTTTTTATTTTATTTTTGAAATAATCATTTATCAGCCATTATAACTGCCGATACCGATATTTTAGAAAATGCCTAATATCGGTCTGCTGATATATCGGTCTGGCTCTATTCTGCATATTAATTATTTAAATGAGGAATATTGTGACGTGTTCGTTTCTCGGAAGAATCTCGAGACTACAATGGAGGCGTTTCAGGAGTTCAGAAACACTAACACTGATATAGAGAATCATGACTTTGTGCTTCATATCTTTGCAGAGCTTTTTCATGGAACATTACACACTAAAGATGTAAAAAAGCATAATAAGACCCCTTTTAAAAGAGTAAATCGAGTATTGATTGTTGTATTTATTGTGTAGAATGGGACCCTCAGCTACTGCATCAGCTGTGCTGGTCTCCATTAAAGATGTTCACGGAGAATGGCATGGAGACGGCTATAGCCTGCTGGGAATGGCTCCTGGCTGGAAGGACCGGTGTTGAAGTCCCGGTAAGGCACATGTAAACGCAGTCAAATGTATTTATATAGCGCTTTCATAAATCACTGCTGTTATATTAGATGAACGTTGTTCCATATTATGTGCATGTTTTAGCTATGCATGTTTTCCCTGCATTCTGTGTTCAGTTCATGCGGGAGATGGCTGGTGCATGGCAGATGACCGTGGAGCTGAAGATGGGGCTGTTCTCTGACGCCCAGGTGGAGGCGGACCCCCTGGCGGCCTCAGAGGAGAGCCAACCCATCCCCTGCCCGCCCGACGTCACGCCACACTACATCTGGATTGAGGTTACTGTTACCTTGTTGATCCGTCCAAGCTTACAGGCATTTCCATATCTGTAGATTGACCCCGCCCGAAAGCTTCTTATGATACACACCAGGAATAGCTTGAAGAATCCTTGCGAGGAAATCTCCCTCTCCTCTATTGTGATGGGGTCGTTCTTGAAATAGAACTGTTGCGTAATTGCATCAGTAAACTTTTTACTTCATTTTGCTGCGAAATTTCTCTTTTTGAGCAAACAGTTTGCTCTGTTTAATTTGTTGATTGATTGAAATGACAAACATTTTATTTACATTTCAATTCATTCATAATAGCAGACTTGATACACAGTGATACGAACAGTAGTGATGGTGTCTGTTTTACTGTTACAATTACAGCGCAATTGAGCTGTGGATTTGATTTCGCAGCACAGAAAACTGCATCTTCTCGAAATGAACAACACAAACTAAACTCTTCCAGTCTCAGCTACAGTGTTTGAGCGTGGGGCAAAGTAGACATTGTTCATAGGCAGCCAATGAAGACCAGGCTGGATTTTGCATTTCAGGATTTTGCTGATGACTCATTTCTGCAGTTTAGAACAGATTCTTTCTTTTAGGAGTCAAAAACTTCATTTGTCTTGCACTTTGCAGATCTTTCACATTTACAAACCGCTATATTGCACACTGCATGAAAGGTCATATTCATAGGGCTTTAAGGAGGTAATAACGTGAGAAGTGCTAGCAATACATTGTCCAGAATAGTACATACAAGCTATTACAGGGATGGGTTTAAAAAAGTGGAGCATAAATAGCATTTATTTCATCAAGCTAATTGTCTTTTTTCCGATTTCTATAGTTTCTGGTGCAGCGTTTTGAGATCGCCAAGTACAGCAGTGCGGATCAGGTGGAGATTTTCGCCAGTCTTTTGCAGAGGTCTATCTCTCTCAATGTTGGTGGCCCAAAAAGCAGCTTGAACCGCCATGTGGCGGCCATTGGACCTCGCTTCAGGTTAGCAAGAAGACTTGACTGTTAAAGGAGTAGTTCACTTTAAAAAAAAAAACTTTTGCTGATAACTTACTCACCCCCACGTCATCCAAGATGTCCATGTTTTTGTTTCTTCAGTCGAAAAGGAATGAAGGTTTTTGATGAAAACATTCCAGCATTTTCTCCATATAATGGACTTCAATGGGGTCCAAACGGTTCAAGGTCCAAATGAAAGTTTCAGTGCAGCTTCAAAGGGCTTTAAACGACACCAGACGATGAATAAGGGTCTTATCTAGGACCCTTCGAGTCATGACTCGAAAAAAGATTTGTTCATTTTGATGAACGAGTTTGAACAGGAGAGTCACGAACACTCATCACAGAACAGAGCAAGGCGAGCATTTGTGCTTATAAAATTTAAACTTTTTTATTTATTTTTGAAATGGCCGGTCGTTTCGCTTGATAAGACCCTTATTCATCGTCTGGAATCGTTTAAAGCCCTTTCAACAGTTTGCAGTTTGCACTGAAACTGTCTTTTGGTACTTGGACCGTTTGGTTCCCATTGAAGTCCATTATATGGAGAAAATCCTGGAATGTTTTCATCAAAAACCTTAATTTCTTTTCGACTGAAGAAAGAAAGACATGGACATCTTGCTTGACATGGTGTTGAATAAATTATCAGCAAAAGTTTTTTTAAAAGTGAACTACTCTAAAAATGATTTAAATAAAATGATTGGAGGATATTTTACTTAAATACTATTTCAGTCCTCCTACTTTAATTCAGTGTGTTCCATGCCTTTTCTTTGTAATTATTTGTGAAACTTACTAGCATTTCTGACTGAAAATTTAAAGTGTTTTTCATTGTATTTCATTGCATTTACACTTTTTTATTGTTGTAGTAGTTAAAGTTTTACAACATTTCTCTGCGCTTAGGCTGTTGACGCTCGGTCTCGCCCTGCTGCATTCTGACGTAGTGACCAACTCCACCATCCGTAACGTCCTGCGGGAAAAGATTTACTCCACCGCCTTTGATTATTTCAGGTACTGGAATGAAAATATTGGAGTTTTTGATATGATAAACGCTTGTTGAGAAAATGGGGAAAATACTTCTAGAACCAGAGCTGCTGGAAAAGTTAGCAGTCTCTGTTGAGCTAAAAAACGTATTTATTTGTCTGCCTGTGTCCTTCTTTAGTAAATTATTATTTATTTTTTTTCAGTGTCACATCGAAGTTCCCCACGCAAGGAGACAAACGTCTGCGCGAGGACATCAGCATAATGATCCGCTTCTACGCCAGCATCCTCTCGGATAAGAAGTACCTAGCTGCTAGTCAGCTCGTGCCACCCGGTGAGCTTGGCTCCAATCCCCCTCAAAGCTCCCTATCTGCTGGGATTTTCGGATCGCTTATCGTTTCCAGCACTTCTCCGCTATCGATATTAAGTAAGCCTCTCTTGCTACAACTGTGCAACTACAGTGCAGCAGGAGCTTGTTTATGAGGTTCAAATTTGCATGGCAAATTTGAAACCAACAGTAAAAATGCACGGCAATCATCCTGGCAGCCAAATTTATCAATTTGTTTGCTAAGCGCAAATTGACAAATGCATCCGTCCCGTCTTCACCCCCACCCCCCTCCTCCCTCACCGCCACCACCCTTCTCTATCCATCGTAGAAAACATGAGCTCATCAGAACATTAGCGCTTAGTTTCATGTAAAATGCATGATCATTTCAATACCAGAGAACTAATTGAGACTTCATTCGTCCCTTAAAGCCTCTCCATCGTGTGATGTGCTACATCGCCAGACATCACCACAAATCAGTTGCTTCGCTTGGTATTTACTCGTCGAATGTATAATTTGCAGGCTTCACTTCCTCGAAATGCTGTGTGTTAATAATTCATTAAAGAAAATGGAAATAGGACAGGAGAAAAAGTGCTGGAATAGTAAAAGGGAAAGAAAGTTGAAATGGGGTAATTAAAGGGTGAATTTCACAGAAACTGTCAAGAACATGTCCAGGTCATACGTCACCTCTAAATCAAAGAAATAAATATGAAATCTATTTTACGAGGAATTGCATTTTTGCAGTGACGTTTTCTTTTTGACAATTATGCACATTTTCCCAAAACAAAAAAATGATATTATATTATGTAGTGCACTAATTTTCCCCCCATCAAAACATTTTTTACACAAGAAAATTGTGCTCAAAATATGTATTTAATAAGTATTTGAAATACGTGTAAAATCGTTTCCTGTTAAATGAGTAAATTGCAAAACGCAATATGTAAATGAAAATCTAATGAGATTCATCTCTGAAAGAATAATTGCAATTACAAATCAACTCAAAAGAAAAACGTTTGAGTGCATTGAAGTATTGAGAATTTGGAGAAATGTGCATAAATGTTAAAAAAACAAATATGAATGATAAATATTCTCTTTATGCTAAATATAATACGTTTTTTTCTTGTGATTTTAGTGAGAGATGTGACCTGCACATGCTCTTCGTGAGATTCATCCTTAATAGTTTAGGTGTTTGGTATCAGAAAGGAGTTTAAAATTCGACAAAATCCTTGGCTTGACGACGTTTCCTTTCACAGACAACCAGGATCCGTCCCTGAACAGTTTGTCGGTGATGAACGCCACGGACCCCAGGAATAACATGGACGTGGGTTCGCGGCAGCAGAGCGCTCAGGGCTGGATTAACACATACCCCCTGTCCAGCGGGATGTCCACCACCTCGAAGAAATCAGGTATCGCTCATCCTGATTCGTTTTAATAGTTTAATCTGCTTAGCCAATGTCCACCTGCTAATGCTGTGATCTCCCTGATTGTTAAGAGTCAGCAGGACACTCAGATGAGCAATAAGTGCTTTCTGAGCTACTGGAAACTAACAAGTGGCCATTGTTTCACTGATTACTCTCTTTATTTTTTTTTGGCATCATGCATTGTGAACATTGCATTTTAAAGAGTCTTTTGGTTTTCGTAAGATCTGTAAGACTTGTTTAATATTTTCGGAACAAAAATGAAGATATTTTTAAGGGATAGTTCACTTTGATATTAATTTTTGATATATTTTAACTTGCCTCAAGGGCATCCAAGATGTAGGTGTCTTTGTTTCCACACAGTATTTTCAATTTTGATATTTTTAGGTCAAACCGTTCTTGTCTGTCAGTCATATAATGGAGGTCTATGGTCACCACCTCAAAGAGCATGCACAGAGAAGTCCAAATTAAACATGATTTAATGACTCATAAATGTAAGTACACATTGATGGCCTAAAACACAAAACGAGCGGTTTTTGTGAGAAAACGAACAGTATTTATATCGTTTTTACCTCTTGTAACCACAGTCACGTCCAAGTGATATGAGGGCGAAGGCGTTTCTATCTGCGCAAGTGCCGGAAAGTCCCGGAAGTGATCTCTCGCGCGTTTACGTCACTCATTGTTTAAACAGAGATTTCAGAAGTGTTATCCTTCACTGTGAAGATCTAAACATATTTAGATAAACATTGATTTTTTTTTTCCACAACCGCGCAAGAGATCATTTCCGGCGCTTGCGATTGCCTCAGATTACTTGGAAGAGGTAAAAACGAAATAAATACTGTTGGTTTTCTCACACAAACCGCTCGTTTCGTGTCTTAGGCCATCAGTGTGTACTTACATTTATGAGTCATTAAATCATGTTTAATTTGGACTTCTCTCTGCATGCTCTTTGAGGTGGTGACCATAGACCTCCATTATATGACTGACCGACAAGAACGGTTTGACCTAAAAATTGAAAAATTGAAAATACTGCAGAAACAAAGACACCTACATCTTGGATGCCCTTGAGGTAAGATAAAACATATCAACAATTCATTTCAAAGTGAACTATTCCTTTAATGAAATCTGAAGGATTTCTGTCCTTCCATTGACAGCTAAGCAGCTACCACTTTGACGCTTTAAAAAGTTCATAAAGTGATCGCAAAAACTAATTCAAATGAATACATGAGCGGTTAAGTCCAAATTTTCATCGCTTTATGTGCTGAACATGTTTGATTTTAGGCTTTTATTCAGCTCTCTCATGCTTTCTCGTGTCTTCTGTTGTGTCTATTCACTATAGGGATGTCCAAAAAGAGCAACAGAGGCACCCAGTTGCACAAGTACTACATGAAACGCAGGACGTTACTGTTGGCCTTACTGGTAAGGGACGCCTTTTCCCCAAGCGGATTTCATCTTCACTTCCTGATAAGCAAATCTTGAGCCTCTCTGCTTTCTCAACAGGCCAGTGAGATCGAGAGACTGACCACGTGGTACAACCCGCTATCAACACAGGAGCTGGCCATCGCCACCGAGCAGTCGGTAGAGACCAGCATCTCTAACTGGAGGTCCAAATACATCAACCTGAGTGAGAAACAATGGAAGGACAATGTCAATTTGGCCTGGAGTATCGCTCCGTACCTGGCCATGCAGCTTCCAGCCAGGTACACCAACAACAGGACTATTAGCTCTGTCCCAAACTCTAGTGAGCTGTCTACCTAGACTGTATTTTAAGGCATCTTGGTGTTGATCATCTCCTTTCATGTCATTTTGACCAACTGTAGCAAACTTTGTGCAAAATACCATTCCAGAATATAGTGTGTCGAATTCAGATGGGAAAAATTATTTTAAATGGCTTAATGAATAAAACCTGTTTTTTAATAATAGTAACGCATTGTTCCAAAACTATATTATATTATATTATATTATATTATATTATATTATATTATATTATATTATATTATATTATATTATATTATATTATATTATATATATTATATTATATTATATATATTATATTATATTATATTGTTAAAAAGTGCACTCATGCTTTTACACACAAAGAATTGTTTTAAATCTTTTGATTAACTCGTATCAATCGTATCAATTGCCAAATAAAATCTGGAATGATATTAATGAATTAACGAGAATCATCAATTAAAAAATATTGAGAATTACAAAAACTATATTCATATAATCTTTACACTATGTACATAATTAATTCAATACTGAAAATTGTTGCTTAAAATAGCTCTGCGTCGCCAAATTAAAAATGGATTATATTATTTGTGTGTTTAATAATGCATTTTTTATTGCATCATTTGATCAGTAAAATTAGGTTACTTTTCAGTTCAGATCCTGCCTAGACGGTTTTGTTACAGAGCTCATGTTTTGATGTCAACGTATGACCTCTTTTCTTGCTTTTGTAGGTTCAAAAACGCAGACGCCATCGTGGCTGAAGTGACCCGTCTGGTTCGACTGGATCCTGGGGCTGTTAGCGATGTGCCGGAGGCAGTGAAGGTTAGAGCTGCCATTCTGCCACAACAGGACATGAACTGCCAGTGTGTTATAAATCACTCTCAATGTGGCATGTGTTTTTCCCATAGTTCCTGGTGACGTGGCACACCATTGATGCTGATTCTCCGGAACTGAGCCACATTCTGTGCTGGGCTCCTGCGGATCCTCCCACCGGCCTCTCGTACTTCTCCAGCATGTACCCTCCTCATCCGCTCACCGCTCAGTATGGAGTCAAAGTCCTCCGCTCCTTCCCTCCTGTAGGTACCAGCAGGGCGGCGCTAGAGCAATGCTTCTCAACCTCTGACTTTAAATGCAATATTGAAGATATTTCTGGTCTTCTGCTGTTATGACAAAGCTGCTCGTATTTTATTTACGTGAACTATAAGTGGCAGTTAGTTAGTTAAATTAGTTAAATTTAATAATAGAATATTAATATAATACAATTTTATTTTATACAATTTTTTTTAAATATTATAAAATTGTAATTATAATTATGTGTGTGTGTATATATGTGTGACTATATATATATATATATATATATATACAGTGATGTGAATAAGTTTGGACACCCATGCTAAAGTTGCCTAAAAAGAGGAATAAAAAATCATCTTTTGGATATTGATCTTAATGCCTTAATTAGAAAAATGAGGAAAACTCCAACCTTTAAGGACACAAATTTTCTTTGTGAATGAATAATGTATTATAAATAAATAAATGTTTTTCCTTAAAATACAGGGTGCATAAGTCAGGACACCCCTATGTTAAATTCCCATAGAGTCAGGCAGATTTTTATTTTTAAAAGCCAGTTATTTCATGGATCCAGGATAATATGCATCCTGATAAAGTTCCCTTGGCCTTTGGAATTAAAATATCCCCACATCATCACACACCTTCCACCACACCTAGAGATTGGCATGGGGTACTTTCCATAAGATCCTCTTTCAATTCAAATCAAACCAGCTATTAGGCTAACTGAAGTAGAACCATGCCAATCTCTAGGTGTGGTGGAAGGTGTGTGATGATGTGGGGATATTTTAATTCCAAAGGCCAAGGGAACTTTATCAGGATGCATATTATCCTGGATCCATGAAATAACTGGCTTTTAAAAATAAAAATCTGCCTGACTCTATGGGAGTTTAACATAGGGGTGCCCTGACTTATGCACCCTTCATGCAAGTTTCTATCTAATACAATATTTTATATTTTCACTTAACTAGAAAAAATTATATTCATAATTTTTTTTAATTCATTTAATATTTTTAACATTAATTCCCATGACTTTTCCAGTAGAAATCACACTTTAAAATTGTATTATCATTATTATTATTATTATAAATTAATACTTTTAATCAGCATGGATGCATTCAACTGATCAAAAGTATTAGTATTTTACAATTGGCTCAACTAGGTTTGGATGACAAAGAAAGTGTTGCCCGATATCACATAAATCAACCTGAACTAATAAACAAAGTGACCCTAGTTATTATGCTCGGCATTTTTTTTTGCTCTCTATCAATATCAGTTATTTGATAGCTGTGCTTTAGCTACATTTTCTATTGATGTAATTATAGCTTATCGCCTTTCCAAACCTGTCCTCTGTGGAGCACAAAATGAGATGTTTTAAAGGGTGTTCACACTTTAAACACCACAAGCGTGTCATAAAAGTGGTCCTTATGTCACTTTATTCCTTGTATGAGGAACAGATTGAAATTTTGTTCATTGTGTTTTTTTTTGTGATCTTGCGTTTCTCTTACAGGACGCCATTTTGTTTTACATTCCTCAAATCGTTCAAGCACTGCGCTATGACAAGGTGAGAAAGAGTGAACTGTGACCTTTCCTGAGCTACCTCTGCCTTTTGTTAACAAAAGCAGTCATTTCATTCACCCCTGGGCTGTTATTAACATTTTACCTGCCATTTTTGACAGATGGGTTACGTGCGCGAATACATCCTGTGGGCCGCGCAGAAGTCCCAGCTCCTCGCTCATCAGTTCATATGGAACATGAAGACCAACATCTACCTGGACGAGGAAGGCCATCAGAAAGACCGTACGTAAACTGTTCAGTCTGAATGTGTCCCGTTGTTTGCCATTATTAGACAGATTAATTCAATTTTACATACACTACCGTTCAAAAGTCTGAAATGCCTCTGAGCATGACCCATGCATTAGCCAATCAGAAACTTGGAGGCGGCTCTCTCCCTGTCAGTAATTTTTCACGTTCACATGGCAACACATACAGATAACATGTCAGTGTTAAATATTTATAGCAGCACATTAGGTTTAGAATGACATGAGATGTTAGGGTCTAAGGGTGTGTTCACACTTTGCTGATTTGGTTCAATTAAAAGGACCTCTGTTTGTTTAGTGTGAACAGTAACATCCAAACCCTTACATGCACCAAACAAGCGGACCGAGACCCACATTTCCAAACAAACTCTGGTGCAGTTCGATTAACCCTAGCGTAACACGAACCAAATGCGTCTAAGTGAACCAAAAACATCCCTAAAAAGGACAGAATGCTCAAAGCATACCTGGTTCCTCTTGTCACATGATCTATGTTGCCCATTACAGTTCAGTACAGGCGTCAGAAGCACTTCTCCTTTCAGTAGATCCTTGTTTGTGTGCAACAGAGGAATTCATGCTGCTGTTTTGACACATTATTTAAGCTCTTAATGAGTTAGTGAAAATGCCATTATATGTCTGCACACTTAGCCCTTCGGATCTTTAGGCTCGAGGTAAAAATGACAGTGTGAATGCTAAGCGAACCAGGACTAAATGTATCATTTATGTTTTTGAACTAAAAGAACCCAGAGTGAACACATGCTAAGATTGATGTGTATTTATTGAGTGCTGGGTTTGTGTTGTGGTGCAGCGGACATCGGTGAGCTTCTGGAGCAGATGGTGGAAGAGATGACACACTCTCTGTCGGGCCCCGCTAAAGACTTCTACCAGCGCGAGTTTGACTTCTTCAACAAGATCACCAACGTCTCTGCCATTATCAAGTACGCTCTACACACATGAACTGTCACACTACTGCCGACGATGGCTGTAACCTTCCTAGACGGCCTCAGAACTTAAATATAACAGATTAAAAACATATAATGGTTATATTTCTTTCAACTCCGTCTGCGATCATTTATTCACTGATTTAATATCAGTGCATTATGGGTTGTGTTATACCTAAAGGATGCATACGATGATGCCTTAAAATTAACCCTCAATCGGGTCATGGGGTCTATACGACCCCAATCGACTTTTACTTAATAAAGTGGAATAAGATTTTGTGACTTTTCATACATTATCCGGCGGTGTATGAATGTGTGTGTGAATGGGTGAATGTGAGGCAATATGTAAAGCGCTTTGGTGGCCATTAGGTCTATGAAAGCGCTATATAAATGCAGTCCATTTACCATTTACCATTTATCTATCTATACACACACAAAAACTGGGCTTGATTCGGTTGTTCTGAAGGTATGTAAAAAAATTTTTACACTTCTGGTCGTCGGGGTCAATATGACCCCACATTGAAATGAATGGGAAATGTGAAAAAAACTAAATATATTCTTCATGTGTCCAAAAAAAAAAAAATAAATCTGGCATAAATCTGAAAATTTTTACACAGAAATGAAGGCCATGTATCATAAAAAAATAATAATGGTATAGTTGAGGCATTAGGGGTTATATGGATACAAAAGTACTTTATATCTCCAAAAACACAGCATTAATGAATAGATGAGAAGTAAACAAAAAAAATGATATATTATTTGTATGATTAAAAATGTATATTTTTTGTACAATTACTCAATCAATTGTTGGGGTCGTATAGACCTCGAAGCCCAGAAGTGTAAACAGGAAACGAAGACCATTTGAAGGTTAAAATCAGTTTGTTAGTTGATGAAAAACAAATAATTAATTGGACCATAAAAATATCAAAGTTTAATTTCTAATTTCCAATTAAAATGAAACACTAAAAAAAGGTGTGCATGTCAACAGAAAAGCATAAAAATGCAAATGTGTTAAATATTAACTTAAAATCAAAGGGAGTACTTCAAGTCCGTGTTTTACTATTTTGGTTTTTCCTTTATTTGACAGACCTGTTTTGCATGCACACACTATGTACTTATTGTAGTAATGACACTGACTGGATAATAACTATGTACAAACCCTGTTCCTTCCCTTAACGTTAACCCATGTATTAACTTATATTACCCAGTACTTTTGTGGACAAGTATCCGGTAAGTAAATGGAAAAATCAAGTACTGTAAAATAAAGTGCAACCACAATTTCACAATTAGCCCAAAGAGGTTTAGATAATTAAAAAAATGGTTGCACTTTATCTCACAGTACGTGCACTTACCTGTACTTGCAGTGTTCTTACCTTACAAAGTACTGGGTAATCTAAAGTAACCACACGGGTTACGGTTGGGTTTAGGGGTAGGTTCATGGTTAGTGCCACAGTTAGTGCCTAGTTATTACATTTAATTCAAGATTCTTTGATTAATAGAATGTTCAAAATAAATTAAAGGAGTAGTTCACTTTAAAAAAAACTTTTGCTGATAATTTACTCACCCCCATGTCATCCAAGATGTCCATGTCTTTCTTTCTTCAGTCGAAAAGAAATTAAGGTTTTTGATGAAAACATTCCAGGATTTTCTCCATATAATGGACTTCAATGGGGACCAAACGGTTCAAGGTCCAAATGAGAGTTTCAGTGCAGCTTCAAAGGGCTTTAAACGACACCAGACGATGAATAAGGGTCTTATCTAGGACCCTTCGAGTCATGACTCGAAAAAAGATTTGTTCATTTTGATGAACGAGTTTGAACAGGAGAGTCACGAACACTCATCACAGAACAGAGCAAGGCGAGCATTTGTGCTTATAAAATTTAAACTTTTTTATTTATTTTTGAAATGGCCGGTCGTTTCGCTTGATAAGACCCTTATTCATCGTCTGGAATCGTTTAAAGCCCTTTCAACAGTTTGCAGTTTGCACTGAAACTGTCTTTTGGTACTTGGACCGTTTGGTTCCCATTGAAGTCCATTATATGGAGAAAATCCTGGAATGTTTTCATCAAAAACCTTAATTTCTTTTCGACTGAAGAAAGAAAGACATGGACATCTTGGATGACATGGGGGTGAGTAAATTATCAGCAAAAGTTTTTTTAAAAGTGACCTACTCCTTTAATTCGAAAAAAAAAAAAAAGCTTTTGTAACATTATAAATGTCTTTACTGTCACTTATGATTACTTTAATGCGTCCTTGCTGAATAAAAGTAGGCTGTTACTTTCTTTAATTTCTTTAAAATGTAGTGTATAATGTTACAAAAGCTTTCTGTTTCAGATCAGTGCTATTGTTTAATGTGACTTTTTTTGCTTAAAATTCATTTTAAAATTAAATTGTACATAAATAGGTTAACCAAACACTGTTTATGCCTGAGAACCTTTTAAACGCGTACGAGCCTGAAATGACATATACTGTGTGATACCGTTCACATATTTTAAGTGTCCCTTATTTTAATGTAAAGAACCACGATTGTCCCGCATTTTTCTTTTCTGAAGTTGGCAACCCTAAGTACATAGTATGTAACATGCTTTTTGAAAGAGCTTTTACATTTGACGTATGCTCATAATGCCTAAAAATGTAGCGATTCATTTTTGGAAACTATTCTTATTTTCCACGCCTGTTGCAAATCATGAATGCAGTCAGGTCCGTATCATGGGAATTGGGAAATATCACTTAAATTGGACATTGCTGATTGCCTGTCAATGTTTTTATCATTCATCAGCTGGAAAAAAATCATTCTGGAAGTGATTCCAACGACATCGATCCTTTTTTTTACAGTTATTTCTTTATCGTTATTGTCCTTGTTTTGAATGGGCCTTAATTTGAAAATAGGCATAATTTTAAATAGAATAGAGATCAAAGATTGCTGTTCTTGTTTTCCAGGCCTGTTCCAAAAGGAGATGAGAGGAAGAGAGCGTGTCTGAAGGCGCTGTCAGAAATCAAAGTTCAGCCAGGTCATTTTAATATAGTTACTTGTGATAAGAGTAATCGCTCTCATACTACTTCAGTATTTTTCACTGATCTTTCATAACGTTTCTAACACTGTTATCAGGGTGCTATTTGCCGAGCAATCCAGAAGCCATCGTCCTCGATATCGACTACAAGTCAGGAACACCTATGCAGAGGTATCACAGCTCACCGTGTGCTCTCGTTCTTTTGTTCACGTGCTATCTCCAGTATTGACAACATGTGTTTACATTGCACATGTGATTGATGAGGTCATTAACATTAGCTTGTTTTTACAGTGCTGCCAAAGCCCCTTATCTGGCTAAATTCAAAGTGAAGAGGTGTGGAGTTAGCGAGCTTGAAAAAGAGGGTGAGTCACACATGCAGTGATGCTAATGTAAATGCAGTTTTTCTGTATTGTCGTCCTGAGCGGCCCGTTGTCTGTCTGCAGGTCTGCGCTGCCCGTCAGACTCTCCGGATGAAGGTGAAGAGAGTTCAGAGATGGCTCAAAAGGTCTGCTGGCAGGCGGCCATCTTTAAAGTGGGCGATGATTGCAGACAGGTCAGTATCATGGGAAGAAGCTTGCATCAGTTTTTTTTTTGGACAAATTTAAATGTAAATGGGTGAATCTCACAAATCCTCTGAAGTCTGTATCATAGCTTACTCCAAAATTTGGACTGTTCTGATGTTTTACATTTTCATCAATTCAATTAAATTCAAATTTATTTGTATAGCGCTTTTCACAATACATATTGTTTCAAAGCAACTTTACAGAAAGTGCATTTTAGAAATGTACATGGAAAAAAAAAACATTTAGTTAATCATGTAATAATTTAGGGCATAAAAATCTCAGTAGTGTATTGAAAAAAAACTAATTTTCATTACTGTTATAATGTAAATATGAAAAATAGGTAAATATAATTTACAAAATATGATATAATAATAAATATTTTATTTATACACTACCATTTAAAAATGTGGGGGTCAGTAAGGTTTTTTTCATGCAATTTTTTAATTGCAATTTTAAATGCAATTAATACTTTTATTCAGCAAGGATGCAACAAAATGATTATAAGTGACATTTAAAACATTTATAATGCTACAAAAGACTTATATTTCAAATCAACGCTGTTTTTTTGACCTTTCTATACATCAGAGAATCCTTAAAGGAGATGCATCATGATTTCCACAAACATATGAAGCAGCACAACTGTTTTCAACATTGATAATAATAATAATAATAATAATAATAAATGTTTCTTGAGCATCAAATCATCATATTAGAGTGATTTCTGTAGGATCATGTGATGCTGAAAACTGGAGTAATGATGCTGAAAACTCAGCTTTGCTCACAGGAATAAATAATATTTTAAAATATATTTACATAGAAAATCAATTATTTGAAATTCTAATAATATTTCACAATATTACAGTTTTCTATTACTATTTTTGATTGAATGCAGCCGTGTTGAGCATAAAAGACTTCTTTCATAAACATTAAAAAAATCTTACCAACCCCAAACTTTTGAATGGCAATGTGTATATATTTTTATACATTACAAGTAAAAGTAATCTAGACAAATTACAATTGAGAAATTGAAATGCTTAATTGGCATGATGTAATTACTAATTTATACTATGAATGCGCTGAAAGCATATCAAATGCATTTTGGGGTGAAATCAATGTGACCTGTATGGGTTTTCATGAAATTCTGCCAAATAATTATTGTCCAATAAATTGATTGATTGATTTTGTTTCTCTTGTATCAGGACATGCTCGCTCTTCAGATCATTGGCCTCTTCAAGAACATCTTCCAGCTCGTGGGTTTGGACCTGTTTGTGTTCCCGTACAGAGTGGTGGCCACCGCCCCTGGAGTGAGTGACCCTTGAACTTCCTGTGAGACTTCATGTTGCTCTCCTGCTGAAGTTCTGCTTACCTGGACTTCCTGTTTCATTCTTTCAGTGTGGCGTGATCGAATGCATTCCCGACTGTAAGTCCCGTGATCAGCTCGGCCGGCAGACCGACTTTGGCATGTACGACTACTTCAGAAACCAGTACGGGGACGAGTCCACGCTGGCCTACCAGAAGGTGACAACCAATTTTTTTTTAAATTTCAAGCATTCAATAAACAAGTCTACAACATAAGACAATAATCGAAAGAACACTGATGATCAAACAAATAAAATTTCAACGCTGCTTGAAAAGGAGTGGGATGAAGTTTATCACTTATTGATTCCCACCCCCTCTTTCGAACTCTTAATACATTAGTTTAATTCCTTTGGTATGGTCCAATTTTTTCCAAAACACAAGCACACATATCTTCATACATTTATACAATATTCTAGCAACAAATTTACAGCTTAACAGCTTAACTTTTTTATAATTTTTAATGTTTTTGTCAAACGATTAATCGCATTCAAAATAAAAGTCTGTGTTTACATAATATATGTGGGTGGACTGTGTATAATTATTTTGTATATATATAAATACACACACATGCATGTATATTTAAGAAAAAATATTAATTTTATATCAAATATTTATATATTATATAAATTATATATAAATCTATGAAAATATTTCTTAAATATATACAAGCATGTGTGTGTATTTATATATATATATATATATATATATATAAAATAATTATACACAGTGCAACCACATATATTATGTAAACACAAACTTTTATTTTGGATGCGATTAATCGTTTGACAGCCCTAGTTACATTAATTACATTAAACATTAATTATTTTTAATAAGATAATAATAAAATAAGATTTTATTTTGTCTGTATAACCATCCTTCCACATACTGTATATATTTGCACAAGTGCACAGTTATGAATCTGCACATATACACTTCAAATCAATTTAAACCAAGAAATATGTACACAGATCATGATCAACAATAATAAAAAACACACTTGAGAGAATAGAAAATGATGAACATACTTTGGTTCCGGTTTTGCTCCAGCTAATGTGTTTTTATTAAGTTGCTTAAATGCATCTGATGGTCTGTTCTCTCTTTAAAGGCTCGATATAACTTCATCCGGAGTATGGCTGCGTACAGTCTGCTGCTCTTCCTGTTACAAATCAAAGACAGACACAACGGCAACATCATGCTGGACAGCAAAGGCCATCTTATCCACATCGGTCAGTCGGGTTAAACCACACTAGCTTAACGTTACTTTGTAGCATTTTATTCCCCTCCCCAAATAAATTCCACTTATGTTAGTCATGGTTTCTTGCACCATCATTTGACTCTTGTCCTCCTGCTCTTTTACCATTTTATTCAAAGTCAAACAGACCGTTTTTGCACCTCAGTGTTTTGTTGTACATTATAAAACAGTATGCAATAACAACAAATTATTCGGTGCATATGATTATATTTATTTGTGATCAAAGCTGATCATTACTCCAGTCTTCAGTGTCACATGATCCTTCAGAAATCATCCTGATATGACGATTTGCTGTTCAAGAATAATTTATTATTATTATTATCAATGTTGAAAACAGTTTTTTCAGGATATTTTCATGAATAGAAAGTTCAGAAGAACAGCATTTATTTGAAATAGAATCTTTTGTAACATTATAAATGTCTGTACTGTCATTTTTGATAAATTCTGGCTGAATACAAGTATTAATTTCTTTCCAAAAAAAACCCAAACTCTTAACTTTTAAATGGTTGTGTGTCTTACAAAAGCTTTCTATATATATATATATATATATATATATATAGTATAATTAGGTATAATTATAATTTTTTTTAGTTCAGGTTTCTTTTTTAATTTATTTCCAGTTTGCCATTTAGAGCTCAACCTTTCTAAGTTCTATATTTATTTTGTTTTATTTTAGCAATTAACAAAAATGTTTTTAACAGTTTGACAATATCCCTGGTAACTACTACATATTATGATTTTCTTAATATTATATCTATAAAACATTTTCATTATATAAGCTCAAAAATTATTAGATTTTTTAATTTCATATAATTTTAATAATTAAAAAAAATACAGTTATTTAATGTTTGACTTTTAAGAAAAATTAAAAAAAAAACAAGATGAAAAGACTGAGTTTGTGTTTTATATATTTATCTATTCATCTTGTAGATTTCGGCTTCATGTTTGAGAGTTCTCCGGGTGGGAATCTGGGCTGGGAGCCCGACATCAAGCTGACCGACGAGATGGTGATGATCATGGGCGGCAAGATGGAGGCCACACCCTTTAAATGGTTCATGGAGATGTGTGTGCGCGGATACCTGGCCGTAAGGTGAGATGCGCCGCTGTTCAATATTTCAGAATCCTCAGAGATGATAGATTAGGTCAGACGTGTTGACACTTGAGTGTGTCTGGGAAGGATTTCGGCTGCAAACCACCTGAATATTTTAAAGGGGTCCTATTCTGCTTTTTTCATGTTCATCTTTCTATAAGTGTGTAATGTTGCTGTTAAAGCATAAAAAAGCTCTGCAAAGTTCTAAAGCACAAAGTCCCTCTCTATATCAGTGTCACTGTTGCTGAACTCCTTCAGTTTCTCCTGGGAACAAACACAGTATTGCTCATTTAAATAATTCATATGCAGAAAAAAGGGGCGGGGCCTGGTTGAGTTAGTTAGTAGTGTGTTGAAACTGGCAGTTATGGTAAGGGGCGGGACATTTCAAAGCGCTCGACCAATCAGACCAATCACACTGATCACACAATCAGACCAATCACACTGATCTAGCCGACCAATCAGAGCACATTGTGCTTTTCAGAAGGAGGGGCTTCATAGAGACAGGAACTAAACAGAGCGTTACTGACAGACTGGGAAGAGATGAGCCGCAACAATGGAGAATATGAGGAGAATAATCAACATTCAAGCAGGAAAACCTGTTCTACACTCTAAACAATGCTGGGTTGTTTCAACCCAAATTTGGGTCAAATATGGACAAACCCAAATGTTGGGTTAAAAATGTAATTTAAAATCTTCAACTTTCACTTCAACTGTAAATTTTTTAATTACATTTTTAACCCAACATTTGGGTTTGTCCATATTTGACCCAAATTTGGGTTGAAACAACCCAGTATTTTTTAGAGTGTAGTAGAGCCCAAAAACATCAAGACTTTGAAAAGGGGTGTAATAGATCAACTTTAAAATTATAGGGCATTAGCTGGTTTATAGTTATTAGATTTTATATTGCATGCCTGTTTTTGAAATCCTTTTTATAAAATACTCTTCTTGATTTTCAGTAATATTATCAATTTGAAATCAATTGAGCTGAATAATGACGCACTGTAAAAAAATGTTACTGCTATTTAATTTTTTTTTTTAAATATGGTAACAAAATTACACATAATATTTTTGAATAGTTAAGCCTTGATTTTTTTTTTTTTTCATGGGATCTACCTGAATAAATCATGTAAAATCCCCCTTAATTATTTAGTATATGATACAATGAATTACAGTGATGTGAATAAGTTTGGACACCCATGCTAAAGTTGCCTAAAAAGAGGAATAAAAAATCATCTTTTGGATATTGATCTTAATGCCTTAATTAGAAAAATGAGGAAAACTCCAACCTTTAAGGACACAAATTTTCTTTGTGAATGAATAATGTATTATAAATAAATAAATGTTTTTCCTTAAAATACAGGGTGCATAAGTCAGGACACCCCTATGTTAAATTCCTATAGAGTCAGGCAGATTTTTATTTTTAAAAGGCAGTTATTTCATGGATCCAGGATAATATGCATCCTGATAAAGTTCCCTTGGCCTTTGGAATTAAAATATCCCCTCATCTTCACACACCTTCCACCACACCTAGAGATTGGCATGGTTTTACTTCAGTTAGCCTAATAGCTGGTTTGATTTGCATTGAAAGATGATCTTATGGAAAGTACCCCATGCCAATCTCTAGGTGTGGTGGAAGGTGTGTGATGATGAGGGGATATTTTAATTCCAAAGGCCAAGGGAACTTTATCAGGATGCATATTATCCTGGATCCATGAAATAACTGCCTTTTAAAAAAAAATCTTCCTGACTCTATGGGAATTTAACATAGGGGTGTCCTGACTTATGCACCCTGTATTTAAAGGAAAAACATTTATTTATTTATGATACATTATTCATTCACAAAGAAAATGTGTGTCCTTAAAGGTTGGAGTTTTCCTCATTTTTCTAATTAAGGCATTAAGATCAATATCCAAAAGATAATTTTTATTCCTCTTTTTAGGCAACTTTAGCATGGGTGCCAAAACTTATTCACATCACTGTAAATATTTTTAGTGAAATATTCTTTTTGATGCTCAAAAGTGTGTGGAAATTACATTTGACTTTTATATTGCATTATTAAACAACTATACGTGCTAGCTTCATAAAATAATATAACATAAAACACTTAATTTCAATATTTCCTCTCCATTACCAGCCATGTGCAAAGCATGCTGGGAACTAACAATGGTGTCTCTAAATAAAACCGCTTAATTAAGCTAATTCTCTTCAAATAAATTGGTAGCCCTTTTTTCTTAATTTTATCAGCTTAATCAGTTCCTCAATTCAAGCCTCAAAACTGTGTTTGTTTCCTTAAAAAAATAGGAAAATGTATCTCTTGGTTTTATTAGTGAAATGTTCTCAATATTTTCTATACAACACTAAACCACAATGTTTTTAATAAAATATACACAATATTTTTAATTATCACCTTCATTTTTTTTAAATGAAAATTACAAGACCCCCATGATAATTTTTTACAGTGCACTATTATCTAGTTTTTATAATTGATGAACTCTGTTATTGAACTGAACTGAATCAACATTGAGCTGACTTGAACTGAAGGACAACACTATCGTCTTTTGTAGAGCTGCTTTATCACTGAATTAAAACTGCTTTGAAACGATCTGTATTGTATAAAGCGCTATAGAAATATGACGGCCCGTGCTTTAATGGTTTATCTCAGGCCGTATATGGATGCTGTCGTGTCATTGGTGACGTTGATGCTGGACACGGGGTTGCCGTGCTTCAGAGGACAGACTATCAAACTCCTGAAGTACGTTACTGAATATTAAATCATAATTTAATGCTCGAATCTGTCATTTGTTCCTCTGAAACACTGATCGTTGTTCATTGTGTTCGGCAGGCAAAGGTTCAACCCCAATATGAGCGAGAAGGAAGCCGCGGCCTTCATGATTAAAGTCATCGAGCGCTGCTTCCTCAGTAGCAGGTAACAAACATCACTTATGTCACATGATATTCAAAGACAGAGTTGTGAACATAGTAACACTCTTAGTCAACATTGCTTATTGCATTTTACCTTACATTTGTTCATTTGTTAACATTAGTTACCAAAAAAAAAAACAAATGTTCATTGTTAGTTCAAGTTATAGTAGTGGCCAAAAGTGATGTCACTTTTGTGAAGGTGTCACAAAATTGACATTTTCACCTTTTATTAAATTTTTTTTAAAAATGAGTATAGTTGTGCTTGAAGTCGATTCTTTTATTTGTGATTACTACTTAATCGCATCCAAAATAAAAGTTTGTGTTTATATAATATATGTGGGTGCACTGTGTGTAGTTATTTTATATATATATTTATATTTAAGAAAAAAATATTATTTGTATATAAAATATGTATATATAAAATAAATTGTATATAAATATAAAGATGAAAATATTTCTTAAATATATACAAGCATGTGTGTGTATTTATATTATGCACAGTGCACCCACATATATTATGTAAACACAAACTTTTATTTTGGATGCGATTAATCGCGATTAATCATTTGACAGCCCTAGTGATAACGCAATGAAAAATTGTGCGTCATTAATATTTGTCCAGGCTGTCATACAAAGAAATTATGAACGCATGCAAAAACAAGAGAGAACCAATGAAATATTAATCACTGATTATGTTCGTATGTCAGTATGAGCTTTTTGTTTTTCATGAAATAAAACCTGTAGCTGTAGTTTGCTCTTTTTTATGCCAAATAATTTCTTAGATAAATACTTTAACCAAGTTTAGTGTTTTGATCTTACCACATATATCAAATATTTTCCTCATAATTTGATGCTTTAATCAAATTTGCAAGGTCATTAAAAACAAATATCACTTTTGACCACTACTGGAGCGCCATGAAATGTACAGATACAGCATTAAAATGAACATTTACTAAAATAAGAAAGGCTTTAGGAGAGTTATCTTTCATATTTAGTTCATGTTAACAAATCAAACCTCATTGTAAAGCGAAATTGTGTGTTTCTCCAATACAGGAGCAAAACCTACGACATGCTGCAATACTACCAGAACCAGATCCCATACTGAGACTGAGATCCGACTTCTCTTCACCGGCCTCAGATTCAGATCAGTAGTTACTATCAGTCTATTACAATGAGCACTTTATAGATCTGAATAATTCACCCACTCTGATTGGCTCGGATGGCAGCGTCCAGGTGCGTCCTCAGGGTGATCCGCTGTACTCCGAAAGCTGCATGTGTGTCCTCTAATCTCCCTTTAAGGCAACTGCCATGACGGTTTGTGACATTCCATGCGTATGAATACATCCTTTAACTCTACTTGAATCTTTACTGGGTTCAGTCGCGTCACCCAGGAAGCCATTTCTAAGACTATGGCACCAATTGCACTGGAGATCGTGTGCCGTCAGCAAATGACCCGTGTTATGCAATACATCAGTGTTTGTGCGTTGTGTTTTGTCCATACATTGTGTTCGGCACTGCACTTGCAAAAGATGATTTTGTCTGAAATGTGTTTTCTTATGTTTTCCCCAGAAAATATATCTAAACATTCTTCAAGCAAGACACATTTACCTGAGAAGCCAAATGACTCGAGGCGAGTAGTGAGTCTATGCTTAAAACGAGAAACTAAATCAGAAAAGCAAGATATTTTTTCTTGTTTTAAGCAAAAACGTAATGTTTATATATAATATTTCATAAAACAAGACATTTTGCTTCTCAAGTAAATGCATCCTGATTTCAGAATCTGGAAAAACAGGACAGAAATACTTTTTTTTTGCAGTAATGAATGGGTGAATCTCACGAAACCTGTCTAAAAATGATAGAAATTAGAGCTTTTCTAGAAATGTGTCTATTTTTTGGACTGTTAAGTTTTTGTATTGCATTGTGACTGTGCATGGCACATTTTTAACCACATTTTTTTTTTAAATCAAAATAATGCAAAATGCCACTTATTAATATTTATGTTATTGGTGGTATTTGTTGTACTGCCATTAATTTGTGTTGATTTTTTTTTATATATATATATGAAGAGTTCAGATGGAAAAACCTCTAAGTGTCATTTGAAATTTTCTTCTAGAATGATCATTTTTTTCAAGCTTGTATATTTAAGTTCAGTAATTTCACTTAAATGGCAATGAAGATTACCTATTAATTGTCATTTAAGTGAAATTACTGAACTTAGATATACAAGTTTGATAAAAATCATCATTAAAGAAGAAAATTTCAAATGGCATTTAGAGGCTTTTGCATCTAAACTCTTCATATATATAATAAAAATATTGACTGTATTGTACTGAGAATCTGGATTGAGAGAATGAGAAGTACACTCTCTGAATGCATTACCGAGAATAATAAGAAGAATGCTATTAATACCAAATAATAATATGCAAAATATCTTAATGCTCCTGAAAATAGGCCTTTCTTTCTGTGAAATATCAATAAGATTTCAGGGTGAAGTCTTCCTGTGTTCGTGAGATTCACTCAGATGTTGTTTAGTGTGTTTACTCCCAACAGGGATCTTCAACCCAAAAAGAAAATGTAGTTTCCTGACCTTACAGAATATGTGGTGACCATTATGTGTGTCATTCGGCATGTACTTTTCTTAAAAAAAGATCTAATTTCATAGTGGTTTAAATAGGGAACTGCAAGTGTTTAAGGGATAGCTCACTTTGATATTAATGTTTGGTATGTTTAGCTTATCTCAAGGGCATCCAAGACGTAGGTGTCTTTGTTTCCACACAGTATTTTCAATTTTGATATTTTTAGGTCAAACCGTTCGTGTCTGTCAGTCATATAATGGAGGTCTATGGTCACCACCTCAAAGAGCATGCACAGAGACGTCCAAATTAAACATGATTTAATGACTGGTAAATGTAAGTACACATTGATGGCCTAAGACACGAAACGAGCGGTTTGTGTGAGAAAACCAACAGTATTTATATTGTTTTTACCCCGTGTAACCACAGCCACAAAGCACTCGCAAGAGGTTACAAGAGGAAAAAACAATATAAATACTGTTGGTTTTCTCACACAAACCCGCCGTTTCGTGTCTTAGGCCATCAATGTGTACTTACATTCACGAGTCATTAAATCATGTTTAATTTGGACGTCTCTGTGCATGCTCTTTGAGGTGGTGACCATAGACCTCCATTATATGACTGACAGACAAGAACGGTTTGACCTAAAAATATCAAAATTTAAACTACTGTGTGGAAACAACGACACATACATCTTGGATGCCCTTGAGGTAAGATAAAACACACCAAAAATTAATTTCAAAGTGAACTATCCCTTTAAGTTCATTTCGTCGATGAAAGATTTGCTGTATAGTTGCTCATATGCTGTCGTAGTTCCGCTGGTTTTTTACTCGCTGTCAGTGAATAGATATAAAATAATCTCTACACGTTAGAGACAAAAGCTTTAGTCCTATGAATACTTTTCGTTTAATGTTACTCAAAGATAAGAGCTTATTAGCACCAATAGATTCTATACTCAAGTTCAGATATAAATATATATGTGTGCGTCTGATATTTGTGACAATAAGAAATATGCCAGAAAAGACTTTATGTCTGTGTATGTTAAAGTTTCATCTGTTTAATTTCGTGTTTTAATTGATTTGCCTCACCATTAGCATCATTGACAATCACGTCGCTTGTTGAATTGTGTCCTGTGTTAATTCACGTTTGAGAGAAGCGTCACAACATGCTGGGAAACGTCTCCTAACCTCATGAAAAGCCGTCGCTACTGATGTACGCCGTTTGTCCACATTTGCACTTTTAACATTTCATTGCTGTCAGTGTAATCAATCAAATGTATTTGTGAAGAGAAATGGACCTGAAATGACCTATTAAAATATAAACACTTGGACAAAAATGTTTTCCTTGATTGCGTTCCATTATTCATTGTAGACAGTCGAACCTGATCCGTCTCTTCTGTGTGTGTGTTACACCTGGAGGACGCTTTAGACTCCTGAAGACATTAATATTGAATCGGCCGCAAAATCCTGCTAAGAGTGACCGTCACATCACACACGCAACACTTACACACTCCTTAACACTGTAAAATAAAACAAGCCACAAGTGTAAAACTGATTAGAAATACAGTGATATGAATAAGTTTGGACACTCATGTTAAAGTTGCCTAAAAAGAGGAATAAAAAATCATCTTTTGGATATTGATCTTAATGCCTTAATTAGAAAAATGAGGAAAACTCCAACCTTTAAGGACACAAATTTTCTTTGTGAATGAATAATGTATCATAAATAAATAAATGTTTTTCCTTTAAATACAGGGTGCATAAGTCAGGGCACCCCTATGTTAAATTCCCATAGAGTCAGGCAGATTTTTATTTTTAAAAGGCAGTTATTTCATGGATCCAGGATAATATGCATCCTGATAAAGTTCCCTTGGCCTTTGGGATTAAAATATCCCCACATCATCACACACCTTCCACCACACCTAGAGATTGGCATGGGGTACTTTCCATAATCTTTCAATGCAAATCAAACCAGCTATTAGGCCAACTGAAGTAAAACCATGCCAATCTCTAGGTGTGGTGGAAGGTGTGTGATGATGTGGGATTTTAATTCCAAAGGCCAAGGGAACTTTATCAGGATGCATATTATCTCTCTAATCTCTACTATATTTACAAAAGATTTCTTAAGATTTCTAACTAAAATATATATATATATATATATATATATATATATATATATACACACACACACACACACACACACACACACACACAGTATGTTGGGTGACTGTATGTGTATCTGTGTATATATATATGTGTGTGTGTGTGTGTGTGTGTGTGTGTGTATGTTTACACTCACCTAAAGGATTATTAGGAACGCCTGTTCAATTTCTCATTAATGCAATTATCTAATCAACCAATCACATGGCAGTGTCTTCAGTGCATTTAGGGGTGTGGTCCTGGTCAAGACAATCTCCTGAACTCCAAACTGAATGTCAGAATGGGAAAGAAAGGTGATTTAAGCAGTTTTGAGTGTGGCATGGCTGTTGGTGTCTGAGTATTTCACAATCTGCTCAGTTACTGGGATTTTCACACACAACCATTTCTAGGGTTTACAAAGAATGCTGTGAAAAGGGAAAAACATCCAGTATGCGGCAGTCCTGTGGGCCAAAATGCCTTGTTGATGCGAGAGGTCAGAGGAGAATGGGCCGACTGATTCAAGCTGATAGAAGAGCAACTTTGACTGAAATAACCACTCGTTACAATCGAGGTATGCAGCAAAGCATTTGTGAAGAAGACACAACACACACAACCTTGAGGCGGATGGGCTACACCAGCAGAAGACCCCACCGGGTACCACTCATCTCCACTACAAATAGGAAAAAGAGGCGATATTTGCAAGAGCTCTGGAAAAGACTGGAAAAATGTCGCCTGGTCTGATGAGTCAGTATTTCTGTTGAGACATTCAGATGGTAGAGTCAGAATTTGGCGTAAACAGAATGAGAACATGGATCCATCATGCCTTGTTCCCACTGTGCAGCTGGTGGTGGTGGTGTAATGGTGTGGGGATGTTTTCTTGGCACACTTTAGGCCCCTTAGTGCCAATTGGGCATCGTTTAAACACCTGAGCATTGTTTCTGACCATGTCCATCCCTTTATGGCCACCATGTCCCCATCCTCTGATGGCTACTTCCAGCAGGATAATGCACCATGTCACAAAGCTCCAATCATTTCAAATTGATTTCTTGAACATGTCAATGAGTTGACTGTAGTAAAATGGCCGCCACAGTCACCAGATCTCAACCCAATAGATCATCTTTGGGATGTGGGGGAACGGGAGCTTCGTGCCCTGGATGTGCATCCCACAAATCTCCATCGACTGCAAGATGCTATCCTATCAATATGGGCCAACATTTCTAAAGCATCTTGTTGAATCAATGCCACGTAGAATTAAGGCAGTTCTGAAGGCGAAGATAGTAATCAGATCGGATAGTTCTAAATTTTTACTATTTATATTTCTAGATTTCAATTCTTTGACTATAGAGCCCAAAAGCAGTTCATACCACTGTGGTTGTCTTTAAGTTGACAGAGAGATCTGAGAGCTGGATCTGCTTTGTAAGAGAACTGTAGCACAAGAAGCCTCAACTGTCTCCAGGAATTCCACTTCCACATCCATACATTAGTGGAAATACTGGGTTGCCACGACAACGGTTCCCTCAGCACTCAGGGGTGGGGGAGGTGGGAGTGGGCCGCAATAAAAAGGTGTTGCCACTGATTTCTCCCGTCTCCTGAAACATGCCCATTTATTCTCGACAGGGCAATTTTCAGCGAGCATGGGGGGTTGGGGTTGGGGGGGGGGGGGTTCATTCATTACAGTTTTGGCGCAGAGACCACAGAGGATTCTGCAACTCATGAGCAGAATCATGCGCATTACTGGCACCTGCATTTATTGAACATGTGTGTGTGTGTGTGTGTGTGTGAACGAACTACCTTGTGTTTCGATGAGGGTTGTCCTGATGGGATTGGAAGCGCAGGGCTTGCATTAGGGCTCCACTACTGATACTCTCATTTTTAATGAGCTTAGAGAGATTATGTGCTTTAATGTGTAGCTGCTCGTCATGACAACGTGCCAAGAATACTTTAAACTAAA